GGACGTACGTAGGCGCAAAAGGGACGGGGGCGAGCTTGCCCCCGTTTACTGGTGGGGACGGGTGCTAGGTCTTAACCCCGCAGGGGGACGCCTCGGACACCTGTCCCAGTACAGTAGTACAGTACCTGCCGCCTAGTGCGTGCCGGGTACTGTACACAATTAAAAAACTAGCGCCATAATTGCTACTACCGCACGGACGCTGCTACTACACGTGTGCACTACTGTACACGCGTGTTGCTTACAGACTACCGCACGGACGACACGTGTGCTAACGCGCACACGTAACACGCGTAGACTACCGCTCGGACGACACGTGCACTACTGTACACGTACGCCAGATTACGGCCGCTCGGCATGCGCGCGCGCTCGCTACACGTGGGCACAGCCGCCCACGTGTATACCGTATACGGCCGTCCGATGACCTCCGCGCGCTCGCGCCGGTCATTATACTACAATCACCAAATAGACCACGTCTAGTCTCGTCGCTTAAAGTGTCAATACTTTGTCGTGCTATTCGTGTCGGAGGCTGCAATAAAGGAACATTTCCAATTTGATTTGAATGGTAGCTTGGAGGGGTGTTCGCTGTTGCATCTGCTGAAAGCTCGCGCACATTCTGGCTCATTGTGTGCAACAATTTCGTATCTGCGACTGACGACAGATAGAGACTCGGCTGTCGGCCGCTTGACCCCCGAAAATGATCCGCTGTAGCACCTGGGAAGCTCAAGAACCGTAAGAGATTCTTCGATACATTCGGCAATGGCTACCACGAAGATCGAGACAAGGTCTGCGATCAAGAATGTCTCTAATGGACGGCACGAAATGTGTCGAAGTTCCACGGAGACATTCGTGGTTTTGAGACATACTTAAGACACAATTCGTGCATGAACGTGATTGGCTACTTGTTTTCTCTCTGTCTCCATATTTCACACAGAGTCACCGAGTTTTTTTCTCCCTCGTACCACGTTCGTACCGTCTCGAAGTTTGGCACCGGAAAAACGGCACGATAGCTTCGTGCCGCAAAATACGGCACGAACGGCGCACAGGGTTACGGAACTATGTATCTGTTTAAATCTGTCATACGAAAGGCAGAATTCTGAAAAAAATCATTTCAGAATTCTGCATGCGTAAACTCACTATTATTTGAAAGTGTTGTGTGCAGCTTAGAGGCGCATGAATCCATTTGCTCATTTAAGTACATCAAAGGGCTATTTGGGGTTGAATATACCCCTCAATTGTGCCGCGGTGATCAGTGTACCGATCACAAGACAGATATCGAAAACTTCTAAAAACACTCCTCTGATCGGTGTATTGGACATCCGGGGTGTTAGTGATATCGCAGATCACCGCATTTGCATTTGTCCACACGCAGGTGTTCTGTGACCCGTCTGCCTTTTGGATGCGTATCATAGTTGTCTTAGTATTACACGTCCGACAACCGTACATATAATTTTTGACTTGGAACGACCCTGAGGGTCGTAATTTACGTCTTGACAGTTGTGTTGGCTGTAAACACGTCGGCACGAAGTCAGAAGAACTCAGGGCCGTTCCTAACGACGAGCACGGTGTGCTAGTGTCTAGACGACCGGCAATTTGCCTCATATGAGGTCAGGCTTGGCCTCATATGAGGCCGGGTTTTTTTTTGCAAAAATGTATACATTAAATCGAAATTTTATAAAATCAGTTTAGACACCATTTCTTTAACCAATATTCCCTCGGTAATAGCTTCCTGCAAAACATCGGGATAGCAGTTATGAATACACAGAAATACTAAGAATCTAACATAGTTTCAACTATCGGATGATATTTTAAACAGGCGTTTTGGTTTCGAAGATATCAACAAAAAACGTTTTGATGTTCTTTAAAAAAGCTTCTTCTTTAGGTATTCTCAAAAAGCCTGGAAAGGACGTGCAGATCTCACCAAGCTCCACCCTTCCACAGCGCAGAAGGCAACTGCGGTGGCGAGAGTATCTTTTTCCATTTTGTTCTGCTGGCACAAGTCGAGAAAAATTAAGTTGAAAAGTGACCTCATATGAGGCCATTTGTCACCTAGACACTAGCACGCAAGCACCCTGACATTTGGATTGGTTGAACGGGAGTAAAAGCATTTCCAATAATTTTTTCAACCAATACATTCATGCCAAGTTTCAGGGTGCTAGCGTGCTAGCACACCGTGCTCGTCGTTAGGAACGGCCCTCACTTGACAGCGTCGTCGGCCTACTGTATTTTAATATTTACCGTAAAAACAAGAACAATTGTCGAGTGAGTGCTACTGTAATAAAATAAAAGGCTGTCGAAAACGCTTGATGTTTCAGACTACGTCAGACAGTCTGTCCCATAGAGAGCATACTGTAGGGCGGGCACGCACAGGCGCCCACGGTGGGATCGTGAAGGGACGAGCCCACAGCTCGTTTTTCATTGATACATTAAAGTTTTACCCTTGGTACCGTAGGCTAAATTTATCACACCACAGTCCGCAGCGGGCCTCCGCGCTTGAGCAGCACAAGCCAATTAAAACCATGTTCTTGTCTTCGCCAACGACAGTAAACTTTTTAGAGCCCTGGGCCCGCCCACGCGTTCGAAACGCACAGCGGGGCTCTCAGGTCGCCAGCAAGGCACACTGCGACAACGTCGGTGACGTGCTGCTGCCGTGCTCTTCCACATCACTTTTGAAAATTTAAACCGTCGTGCTCACACTGTAATTTCTTAAAATCGACGTAGTCATTAGTTTACACTGCGACCTGACAAAAATTTTCTCCCGTCCGGCTTTTCACAGGGGAACGTCGACGACGACGATAACGGCGGTGAAGTCTGTGATGGCGTCCTTCGCTGTGTGACGGCTTTCAAAGACTGCTGAGCTGGCAACAAGGGAAAACTCAAGGCGGTCCGGACCGCTGAGTTACGAAATAGAGAAATAGCGTACAGTACGGATAACTAAGTCGCACGGTAACCGCCTACGCGGCTGGTGTCTGTTCGGCTGTGGACCGATGGGGAACGCCTTCGTGTGTTCGTGGAGGCGGAGAAAGGCTCCACTTGGAAGAGACTGGGGGCTCGTGACGTTCGGGGCCGGTTCGCCTTGTGCGTCTACACCACAAAAGTTTCGTCGTCCGGGGCACCTGTCGACTGGACCGATGTAAAGGCTATGGTAGGGCGCGATGGTTGGAACTGCAATCAACTTTGTAGGACGAACGATCTGACCAATGAAATAGGGAACCGTGGCAAGACAGCGGAGCTCACCGGTCCTGCGGCGTCAGACCTGTCACGGCCGAAGGAAGATTTGGCTTTATTTGGGCAAAATACTGTACTGAGCGAAATAAATTAGGTAAATTCGATGCGGCGCCCACCAACCATCCCACGCGGGAGAGACAATCTGGAGCAGTGATGGCGGCATGGGTCGCGGGGTGCGGAAGGAGACGCTCGCAAAACCTCTGATGACTATCATAACCTTGCTGTTTTGTTCAGCACTGTTGCCTTTGGGGACCACCGTATTCTGAATGCGAGACTTGCTGACCAGCCCCCTCGGGCCGCTGGGGTAGCGAAAGACCAATTTCTGCATCTTGAATTCGGTTTTATGGGGAGACGGAGGTGGGAAGGGTCGCCCAGCGCGGTCCGGTGTACTCGAAACACACGCGATTTCTGTACGGTGAGGCCACGTGACTGAGTGACGCTGTGAAAAGGGAGTGCTGAAGGCTATGAGATGGTCCCTCTGGGAAATGGTTTCGGGGTGGCGGGGGAAATGCAACCGTTGCGCTATGCCTGAGAGCCTTGTGATTGGCGATGAGGCCTTTCGCCAACAAGCGCAGGGGCCGAGGAGGATCTTATATCGTATCTGCCTTGCGAAGGGGAGCGGGCAGCGTTTGAGGAGGATGTTCGGTCCATTTTGCTGGAGGGTGGGTTTGAGTAAGCGCTGGTGCCCCTTCCGGGGCGTCATTTTCGTTTAGGTGTTCGCAATTCTTGCACCAGCGGCGTATATGAATCGAGATCGCCTTTGGGGATTCTGCAGCATTTTCGGTCACGTCACCGCAAATTCTGCAGTCTGGCCCTCGTGTCCGCCAATCATTTCGACTCCCGCGAAAACGTGGCTGCCAAGTCAGCAGGGGCCCTACTCCAAACCTGTTGTAGGCGGGCCAGCATTGTGCGTCATTATACGAAGAGCACACACTTTTCGAAAACAAAATGAAAAACTAGTGGTGCACCTTGGCACTCAGCCAGCCGCAGTCGGTGGCTAGGGTGGTGTCTGTCCACGCAAACGTGGGCGTCTCCCCGGACCGGCGCGGCGGCCTGCATGTGTGACAGCAGGACCCCTTTCGGGGCTCGCGAAGCACACTCCACGTTCGGTGCACCGCGAGTGCGATGGAATTGCGAGCTCCTGTCACGCTATGCTTGTCGTCACTTGCGTGCCTCCCCCTCAGATCCCCGTTTTTGGCCCCGGCAGCGCTTCTGTCGGCCACCTTTTTGTCCTCGCATTACAGTTCGTTTCGGAAAAGAGTATATAAACGCACCGCCCAAGTGCCCTGTAGTGCTCGCAATTGCTGTCGTACGAGTGCGAACTGGAGTGATCCCGCCCGCCTCACCCCCGAAGCCTTCCTCTCAACCCCCCCCGTTACGCCGACCACATCCCATCTCTCAGTTCGCGCATCATCACATACCCAACAACGCCTTCGCCTGTGGACTCTCTGCCCATCCACAACCATCAATTTTCTCCCCCTTTCTCTCCCTCTCCACGTCTATAGATTTTCAAAACGCAATTCCTCTCTTCACTGGCCGTGCTCCCCAGAGTTTATATTTGTTTCATTCTTCCGAGTATTTACTCCACTTTCGTTGCGCATTATATCTTGCCACACCTCGCACCCTTCACTGCTTATTATCCCATAAACTACATTGGCGACGCTGAGCTGTGACATTTCGTCGCTCCCATTGACTAACTACCCAATCTCGCTGCGACGTCGGGATCGCGCCAATTTTGGGATTTTGTCTTGTCTCGGCCGTCCCTCTATCCGCTCATGGCTCGTCTGTGGGAAGGAGTCCCTGCGAGCCCGTGCTCAGGAGCTAGCGACGAAATTCACCTGCGAAACGGACAATCTACGATGCATGACGACGATTTGACTGACGTCGGAAGCGCAGCTTCTCCTCTATCGGAAGACCTCGATGCAATGCACAAGCGCCCCCTTCCCGACTCCGGCCCGTCAGCTACTTCCCCTCCACCCTGCAAGCGCTCTCGTTCCACCATCTCCGATCCTCATTCACCCTCTGCATCGCCGTCGGTCGAGTTTGTTGAGGCGTGCACTTCAAATTCGGGACCTGCCCCGGAATTTGTTGCCCGCCTCAACATTTCCGCCCAGGATGAGCGCCGAAAACAGCTACTACTGCGACTACGCGATATTGACGCCAAGAAGGCTGCGCTCGCCAGGCAACCTTTGCCTCCCCACGATGGTCAAGATTCTGATGTTGTTATCGTGGAACAGAAGTCGATACCTGCGAAATCCCGGCCCACAAGGGGCCGAAAATCTCGTCTGCCCGCGCGCAACAAGTCCACTCGGGGCAGAAAGCCGTCTACTCCTATTGTCATTGACGTCGACGCTCAGCCTTCATTACCACCTCAAAAGGCTCGGGGGAAGGCAGCGGCACGCGCGAACAAGTCACCGGCTGGCAAGTCGGCTCCTTCCGCTCCCACCCGGACATCTAGTCGAGTTCGGAGACCTCGTACACCCAACGCTGTCGCATCGCCACCCACTTCCGAACTTCGCCGCCCTACACCTACGTGCATGTCTAAATGCAAGCGTTTCCAGTTTTGTAAGAAGCTTATCACCTCGCTACTGCGGAACGCCCGCACTGGCCCATTCTCTGCTCCAGTTCTTGAGCTGTGGCCGAAGGAAGCAATTCCTAGATATTTTGATGTTATTTCACATCCCATGGACCTACGAACGGTCAAAAGAAATTTAGAAACTTCAGTCTACATCTCTCCTTGTCATGATGGTGTGCTTGCGTACCAGTTTGAGGCCGCCATGTTCATGGATGATGTACGCCTGGTATTTAGAAACTGCATGGTTTACAACCGAGCTGGAGATATGCTCTTCAACGCTGCCCGAGACCTTCTCGAGGATTTTGAAAAGACAATGGATGAGCAATTGCCTCCGAAGCCTTCCATCAAGGAAGCAGCACAAACTTTAACCAGGAAACGTAGCACCGGCGGTAGGGCTCGTAAAGCCCGAGTTGTATCCGTTGATGAGAAGGATGAGGAGCCTGGTCTTTCTGACTCTCCTACTGTCACTAATTTAGCATCTGCCACGGCGAAGACACCGATGAAAAAGGATTCATGGTCTGCTTCAGTGTCGCGCTCTGACGAGTCGGAGCCTTCTGATGTGCCGCCCGGTACCGTGGAAGAGATGAGAGAAAGGCTTAGTTATCTTCGCGATTGTCGAACTGCCGTATTGGCAAGAACTCCCGTTCCGAAAGGCTCCGGATACCTCACACGGGCGGCATTGTTGTACGGGGTTGACGTTTCTCACACTCAAAAGCAAAGGTGTGTTAGTGCCATAGAAAATCGTGTTCCAATCGGAAAGATGGAGGCACTGCTTGATATGGTTAAGGCTGCCGGGGGTGGTTACATGGATCCTGAAGACGAGCAGTTTGTTTTTGAGTTTGACAAACTAGATAACCAATCCTGGAGGAATGTCGAAGCGTTTCTTGAGCAATATGTACCCGGCTTCAAGACAATAAGGCATTCAACCCTCGGTCGCGAGTTCACCGCTGTAGAGACTGTTGATGAGGAAATAGAGTCTCTGCAGGAGAGCCTCAAGCAGGCTACAGCCGAGCAAACCAGACGCCCACAACAAGCGGTAGTCGATAAGCCACGATCCTTTTTCGGAGGTGATGAGAGCAGTTCTGATGAGTCAGATGACGATTCTGACAGTAGTGACGAGAGTGATTCCGACTCCGATGCAGAATAGTGTAGATTAGCGGAGGACGAGAAGCATGACCTTCACATCCACATCCAGTTGGGGAGAGGTCTCCATTACTTCATAAAGGACATTTTTCCCAGTCTTGTGCAAAATTCTGCTTGCATGTGGAGCTTCGCAGCTACTCCACGCCTTGACTTTCCACTCTTGCGCGATGCTGGCGGCGTCCGTTGGGTACTGACTAGAGCCTATGTTCATGACTGTCGCCGAGACAGATGAAATCCACTTGTGCTTCCATTGTGCGGCGAGTTGGCGGTTTCATTCTTCTAGAGCGCAACTTGTGTTTCCATGGAACGATTACACGGCGATCACCTCTGGTTGTTGATAGCCACGATGAGACTTTGTCACGACAATGGCCAATGTGATGGCGAAGCATGCGTAGGCGACACCAACAACGGCGGTGCTTATCCCTTCCAAAGTGTGCAAGAGGCTATTTCTTGCGGCAAAGAGCGCGACAACAATAGCGGCTAGTGCATCCGCAACGGCGACGAGTGCGGCAGTGCGGGTGGAAAACGGTTGCCTCAATGCTAGACTGAAGAGTAAGGCAGCTGCTAGAGCAAGGACGAAACCGATGATGCGAACGATTGTTGGGGATGGAAGGTTAAGAAGGCTTGCGAGTGAAGGTGCGACGGCCATGAGCGCGAACGCATGCAAGGCGAGGAGAAGCGCGTTGGCTTGAAGGATTCGCTGTAAACGAGCAGGCGTATGCGAAGGCAAGACGGAAACCTCGGGGGACATGGTGGTGCTAGTGGAGACAAGGGGGGGAGTGGGGAGGGGTTGGGCAAGAGCGAACGGTAGGAAGGACGGGTTGGGGTGAGGGAACAGAGGGTGGAGAGGGAAGGATGGAGGGAAGGGGGGCATTTACACAGCGAGGAAAAAAAGGTGCACCAGCGGGTCCCCTCGAGACGATAGTGGAATTGGACGCCTGTGGCCGTGACTGGGTGGCAGAATACAGCCAATGAGCGAGGTAGGCTACGCGAGATGGGGGGACGGTTGGCACACTTGGCGAGCGTAGAGTGGGAGACGGGATGAGTATTTTGTGGTAATGTTGTGCGCAAGCAAGATTCGATTTGTGTGGAAGGAGAGATATTTTTTCGGCGTTTTCACGGGGGCTGGCAACGGTAGCGGGCTTCGCGTTGGCTGGCCCTGGTTTGGCGGCACGATGTGGACGTGCCGTGCACCGCCCTTTTGAATCGCTGAGTGGGGCATGGACATCGGGACGTTCTGCTGTTGCAAACTGCGCAGCGTCTTCCCAAGTCTTTGCCGGAATGCAGATTCGCTCGAAGCGGCGGTACCTGCCTATGGGGTGAGGTGTGGCGCAATGGGAAGGCGCTGTGTGTCGTAGGACTGGGACGGGCTGTCGGGGTACGTGTGTAGTCTTAAAAAGAACGTCTCAGTCGCTTAGGGATGGATGGAAAGTGCAGTCTTTAAGGTGGAAGCGGTGGAGTGGGGCCAATGGGCGTGGGAAGGGACAGCGGGCGCGTGTAGAGCTGAAGCGGAGCAGAGCTACAGACGTTGAACGGGACGGACGGAGAGGTCTTGAAGTGAGGGTGATGGCAGCTTCCGACACCATTTGCGCAATTGCGGTCACTAATACAAACTGCTCAATGTAGTCAAAAGCCCAGTTTCAATGCAGCTTTCTCTGCCTCGCGCGCAAACGCTCGGAAATATCCGTACACTGGACGCCGCCTTGCGTTCCTATCGCTCCTCAAGTGCTATGGTATGCACACTACCGTTCCAATAAAGCACTGGTTGAGGTGAATGTGTGTATTGGAGGTTGGTGAGGGCAGTGTCGCGGAGTCTGTCGAGACGCAAAGCGGAACTGAATCTTTGCCGATGTCCTTACAGCAAACAGTGAGTGATGCTTGCGTGTTCGGCATACCTGGACTGTAAAGCTGTGCATCTAGCAGCGAGACTCTCAAGAGGGGATGCTCTGATTTGATAATTACAGTGCCACATCCAATCCGGAAGGTAAGTTGGAGTATTGTTTGGTTTGCTTACAGTTCCTTATTGTAATGGGCAATAGGGGCTGTGAGGTATGGGATTGGAGGTGTGCAAAAGTGACCTGAATCTAATGTCACGCCCAACTGTCTCCAAAGGAAGAGTGTAAGCGCCGCGAGTCAGCACCAGTGCTTCATTGACAAGTCATATATGTTGATCCAGGTCACCGCCACACATCATACTGTATTCGTGCGCCCCCTCACTCAGCAGCAGCCCGCCCCACCCCTGAAAAATCCCAAAGGCCTATCCACATCCCGACACCGGGCATCTCTTAGAGCTACTCGCACCTCATCCGCTTGCCTTCCTTGTGTTGCTCATCCACCACCCCTGCGTCCAGCTTCGCTCCCTTGGCTCGCATCCACTAACACGCCCGCACTCACTCCCACATCTACCTTCTAAATCGCTACACTTCCGACCGAACCGTCGTTTGCTTTGCTTCGCCGCACCGGTGCAACCCCCCCGCTCCTCGCTCCTCTCCGCTCTCCCCGTCTCCCACCATGGAGGTGAGCAGCGCCCAGCCCGCCGCGCTCTCGCGCATCCACGATGCGAGCATGGCCACTAACTCGGCCACTTCCCTCGCCGCCTCCACTCAACTTACATCTCACGACAACCCTGTCCCTCTCAACACCCCCACTGACACCCCCCACGATCTCTACTGCCTGGCCAAGGACTACGAGCGTCAAGGCCGTCGTGCCGATGCCGCCGATCTCTACCTTACTGCCTCCATGAACGGCCATCTCGCGGCCATGGTCTGCTACGCCTCGCATCTTCTCGCCTCCGACGAGAAGGCCGCCTTCGTTTGGTTTCGCGCCGCCGCTGAACGAGGCGATGCCAGAGCTTGGGCAGAACTGGGGCAGCTACTTGCCCGCGGTCGCTACTTCGAAGTCAACGCCATAGATGCTGCGCGCTGCTGGAAACGCGCTGCCCAGATGGGCGACAACAACGGCAAGAGCGCCCTGGGCCTGTGCTATATTCGAGGCTTTGGGGTGCGAAAGGACGCCGCCAAGGGCGTGGAAATTGTGAAACAAGTTGCAGACGCCCATAACGATGTCACAGCAATGCAGAATCTGGCCTGGATTTACCGGCACGGTAAAGGTGTGACGAAAAATTTGGAGGAGGCCTCATATTGGGACCGCCGCGCAAAAGAACAAAAGCTGCGCCTTGTCAGTAATTCCTCAAAAGAGCAGGCATTGTTCGGCAGGGGCCGGTCGAAGCATCCCAAGTACCGCCCCACCAAGGACGACAGCCCCACCAAGGACGACAGCCCCACCAGACCGCCTGTCTACAAGGACGTGCTGCAAAAGGAAGCAGTAAGCGGCGACACCTACGCCACAGTCCTAGAGGAATCTGACATTCGAGACCGTCTCAAGGACGTCGCCGAGGACCCTGCCAGGCGAACATCTGACTCCGTCCAACAAGTTTCCGAGCAAATTACTACCGGGTCGGATACTGCGCTCATTGAAGTGAGTCAGTCCGCGTCTACAATTACCAAAGTAGCTGCCCCAAGAACGACCTCAGGTGCTATTGTGGACTCCGCTCCGGGTCCGCTTCCAGTTACTGCCGCGACGCTCTCCGCCGTCCCCGCTCTAGCATCTGCTCGAGAGACCGCTGCTGCTGCCACGTTGGAAAAAGCTTCTCCAGCTCTCGATATTGCATCAAACCCCGCCCTTGTGTCCACAACGGCGTCCCGCCTTACCGTTAGCACGGCAGGTACGGAAACCGGCGCTGCCGTGTTTCCTACACCAACAGCAGATTCCCAGCACTTCACAACTGCTTCTGCTTCTACTGCTGCTCAACTACCAGTTGGGGAAATCACCGCTGCTTCCGCCCCAGCGCCGGCACGGGTTACACCCACAGCGTTTGTTCAGCCGAAGTGGCCCAAGCCGGAGCCGGAGCGACTCATCGGAGCAAAGGCTTTCGGTGCTACTGCAGCAGGAGCGGGCGCCGTAGCCGCTGCCGTTGCTGTCTCCTCTAGCACTGCAGACGTGGTCAACGCTGGAGCGCAAGGCGTGATGCCTTCCGTCGTGGAACGTGCAGAGAAGCTTCAGCACAGCGCGGTGGAACCGTTGCAGCAGGCCATGGGAAAGAAGGTGGAGGATCCCGGCGTCGTCGTTCCAGATTTGAGCGTTGCCCAAATCCGTACATCAGGCATGAGCCCAAATCCAGCGAACGCCGAGAGCTTCCAAGTCTCGACGTCCGAACTACATGCCGTCCGCCAGGAGGCCACCGAGAAGATTGCAGAAGATGTGCACAGTCCGACTTTGTTGGGGGGTAGTTCTTCTAGCGCTACGCGAGGGGAAATCGTCAATACTACTACTGAGGTTGCTGCCGTGTCAAAGGGACAAACCGTAGAGAAATTGATTGACGACGCCGATGCCAGTGACGACCAGTTTCTGACCCCACCGGAACAAAGTGAAGAAAGTGAGAAGCACGGGTCTTCCAGCGTCGCGAAACGCGTTGTCGGTGCCATCGGGGTTGCGTCAGCTGGCACCGCTGCTGCCTTCGGTATCGGTAAGTCTGATCAGGCAGCAGCGGACTCCCGCTTGCGTTCATCAAGTGACGGAGCCAGGACTACAGTTGCGGGCTTGATTCCAAATGTGCGGGGCACCGCAGATGAAACCGGCGATTCGAGTCCCGTGCAGGAGGCCCAGCAAACGGGCCTGAATGATATGGCTTCATCTACTGATGCCGGCAACTACAGCGGGTATCTCTCCCCTCCTTCGGTTGAGACGCGCACTAGGATGTTCGAGGAAACAGCAGCAGCCGCAGCAGCAGAGACGGGGGCTTTGGCAAGAGGGAAATCTTATTCCCTAAATGGAGCAGACGGGGCTCCTGCGAATCAGCAAACTCTGTCTCATCTTGATGAATTTGAACAGGCTGACATGCGCAAAATGACATCTGACGGCATCAGCTCCAATCCTACATATGCCTCTTCAGCCACTGTGGGGTGCAAGATAACAAGAGCATCCACATTTGCGAGAGAAGCGAGCAATTCACAAGAAAACGTAGCAACACCCTATGTGACTCAACGAGCTGTTGGGGCGGGCTTGAGGCAGGTGCCAGAATCCAGATTTTCGAGTGAGATTCAGGGTTTACCTCAGGAATCTCGTTCTGCTCTAATGAAAAAAGGCAGTGGTTTCATAGATGAGCCCATCACTCAGCAACCGATAGAAGAAGTGCTTGACCTATATCCGAAGAACCCGCTGAGGTCTGATTCGCAGGTGCCACTCTTCCGGATTCTTGAAGCTATTCAGAACATACCTGCAGATGACTCAGAAGCGTACGGTATTTTAGACCAGTATCATGGGTTTTCGAAAGTGATTGTCGCAATGTTGTCCCAGTTCGAAGATGGAGCGCTGCAGGAACAAGGCTTACATTGCATTGTTCGCATTCTACGCAACACTCAATCATCTCGGAAGGAAGTACTGGTACTGAACTCCTACGGAGACTGCTACAGAACGGTACAAGGAACTGCGGATGCTGTGGTGCCCAAGGGCAACCCTGACATTGACGTGCGTTCTTCTGGCGCCGTGCAAGCGGTTGTGCAAGCTCTGCACAATTTTGAGTCAATGCGCAGGGTGCAATTGGCTGGATGTGCGGCATTAGCTGAGATTGGATCTATATCTACACCGTGCAAGCTTCTTGCCTGCGAATACGGGGCGATATCACTAATCAACAACGCTTTGCGCCATCGAAGTACTCAGGCGGCAAGCAGTATTCACGATATTGCCTCGCGGGCTGTGAGTGCCTTCTGCTCGGGAAAAGAAAATCTTAGCTACAAGCAGTCCTTTACCAAGACTGGAACGGAGAAGGAGCTTCTGAACGTCTTGCAACTATGGGGACTTGCAGAGGGGAATACTTCAGAGCTTTTGACCACAGCGACGAAGAGTTGTTGTTCAGCTTTGCGTCACTTGACAGATGGATGTCCTACTGCCGGGGTCCAATGTGTACAAGCTTACGGGTATCACCACCTTATCAGAGCAATGGCAGTACGGCGAGATGACGTCGCCGTATGCACATTGGTAGTCTCTGCAATGACATCAATTACCAGAAGTTCTGGCTCAGCAGCCGAAAAGGGTCTCCAGGACTCAAAACCTCTCCGCGAAGTTCTGATCACCATGCAAGCTCATTCGGACCAGCCGCTGTTCATACGGAAGTGCCTCGACTTCATGGACGCCTTGGGATGTTACAGCAGTATGAGGGAAGAAATTGTCGCGGCAGGCGGAATTCCGTTTGCTGCAGATATCATAGAGCAAGGGGGCAACGACTCACTGCTGCTGGAGCGCTCCTGCGGTGTTTTGGAAAAACTTTGCCGATCGCACGCGCGCAATCAGGAAATTTTGGCTTCTCACAACGGGATCTCGTCCCTGACGGCTTTACTCACGACTCATCAAGGACTTCCTGGCGTCATCGAAAAGGATCTGTTGGCGCTTAGCAGTGTCTGCGCCAGCAATGGGAAGACTCAAAAGGAGGCGCTGAAGTCAGGCACCCCGGAGCAGGTCGTGCGTTCGCTTGGACTCTACTCAGCTCAAAACTCTAAAGTTGCAGCAGCAGCGGCAGCGACCATGGCCGCCATGGTAGTTCCGAGAAACACAGCCATGTCTCAGAGTTTTGCCAAGTTGAAAGCTCCAGAGCTCGTTGTGAGGGCCATGAAACGCCATCCCGACAGCGTGATGGTGCAGGAGAACGGCAGTGCAGCGATATCATCTTTCTGTGAGGCCGATCCACGGATTATTTCGATGATTTTGAAATCGGGAATATCCAGCCTTCTTGTCGTTGCCTTGCAGCGCTATCTGCACAAGCAGACGGCAGTGGTACAGATCGTGCGGGCGATGCGAGCCATCTCGAACGAAGCTTCGGAAGATTCGTACCGATTCAAGTCCAAGTTGCTAACTGACAGATCAAACGAATCTTCTTTGTCAGAAGTTTTCCACACCGCCCTTTCTTATCACAAGAAATCGCTGCCAGACACAGCCAATGTAATTATTAGCATTTGTGCAACCATCAACCGGTTGTGTATGAGATCAGTAGCCTTCAAGAACGAAATTGGAAAGGATGGCATTGTTGAGGAGTTGAAGAGGTTGGTTGAAAGAACAGCCGAGTATAGAGAATTGGGAGCTTTGCAACCTGTATTGGCCACAATTTGCACGCTTGTGTTAGACTCGGAAGACAACAAGAATAGATTCCATGCAGTCGGCGGAGTGGAAGTGATACTGGATGTCATGCAGAAATGGAAGAGCGACACATATGTCTTGGAGCATTGTTGTGCAGCATTACGCTACTCTTGCAACGAACACTTTGGAAATTGTGACGAAGTTAAACGACACAACGGTGTACGGAGCATTTTGGGCGTGATGGAGCTTCACCCTGAAAATGTTAATGTTACCTTATGGTGCTGCCTCACACTTGCAGACTTGTGTAAGGGAGACGAAGAACTACAGTCCTCCCCAAATGTTGTACAAGGTATCCGCAAGGTGGTTAGCGCGATGACAACCTTCTCCGGCAACAGCAGATTTTTGGCAAGTGCGTGTGAATTTCTGCGAGCGGCTTCGATAGAGAACGACGAAAATCAGGAGCGAATTGTCAGGCTTGGCGGCCGAACAGCGATTGTGAGAGCATTAGAATCTCACCCAAGTGATAGCTCACTTACCGAAACTGCGGCTTACGCACTGTTGCTGCTCCAGGATGTACAAGATGCTCGGATTTCTGCCGATGGCGATTCTCAAATCGGCTTCGTAAAGCGGCTTAGCCGAGATCTTCGGCGTTCCTCCAGCTCAAACCGGTCCACTCGCTCTGGACGGGGACTTTTTGGACTGAAGTCGCGGTCGTTTATCTCGAAGCGCAAGTCAACTGAGCAAATTGAAGACGACGTACGTCTGAGCGAAGCTGCCGGGGCGGAGGCAGCACCTGATCGCCTGCCGGCAAGTCGACCTTCGTTGATAAGTTTTTCTCGTCGATCGAAGGGTTCGCGCAGGAGCCGACGAAACTACATTGAAGAAGTAGAGGATGATGTCGATGATGTCGATGATGTCGAACAGTTCGCAGACGGAGCTGACAACGGCTACGGGGAATATGGTCCAGCCCCGGTGCCTCTCACCGCTTCTGGTCCTCATGTGGAGTAGAGACTGACGACAATAACAGTAGAACGTTGCAAAACGTATAGCTCTTCCGCTTAATTATTCACAGACAGCTTTCACCTTGTAATCACCGGATCGGTGCACCTTGCCGAGACCAGCGCGGCTCTGCTTTACCCTACAATACAGTTTGCGTTGAGACTAAAAGACTACTTTCGCACCAACAAGTCGATACACCACGCTCTTACGCCCTAGAGAAGGGTGCCAGTCCGCCTGTCTAGAAATTGACGTTAAAACTCATCCCCAAATTTCCCGGCCCCACTCCAGTGGTAAACCCAGCAGGTCCTAGCAAGGTCGCAGATTCGTCAGGAACCATCGAGACCTGTAAATTCGTCTTTCCCTGTTGATATGCTAATGAAAGGTTCACGTTTGAATCCGGTGGTCTATATGCCGCGCCAAGGTTCCACTGCCCCACACTCCCTCCCAACGCCTGTTGTCGAACTGCATTCATCTGCGCATGTTGCATCTGAAGGAACTGCATCGCCTTTGTTTGTTGCTGAGAAGCATTGACTTCCGTTTCTTGAAGTTTGCGTTGCTGCGCTGCAATCTCATTCATCATGTTTTGCAAATCAGTTCGCTCAGTTTGGAATGTCCAATTACTGCCCTGTCGAAGGCCCTCGTTTGCTCTCTTCACGAAGATGGCGTCCGCATTGTAGAGAGCGTAGTCGGCTGGGAGGTCAGCTTCGATTGATCCTTTGAATGCAGCCAAAGCTTCGCGAGCGATAATCGCGACATTCTTCATGAAAACGCTCATCAACCCAGTGTCAATGATGGCCTCGAGCTCTGTTCTCTTTCGTTCGTAAACAGGCTCATCGGCAAAATCGCTCGTGTCCGCGTCATACTCTTGCAGTGTGTGAGATACGATATCGTCACATTTCTTTCCGAAGTCCGAGATCACAGAGCTAGACTCGACTTCGTCCAACAACTCGCCAATATCGGCGGATGCATCCGCAAGCTTCAGTGAAAAAATCTCATCGCATCGGTATGCCGCGACAATGGCAAAGTCATCTCCCCCGTAAAATTCGTCCGCTTTCCGGTCGATATCGTCACCGCCGAGCCCTGGGTCAGGGCTTGCAGAGACGGATTGCCACAACGTATGGGCATAAACAGAAACCCCATCTGCTGGTATTTGCTTGGAATGGTCGTCGTTGGCTATCTCTCCGTTGTACAAACCCTGCTTCAAGCCAGATATACATTTGTCGAAGTCGTCCGTTTGGTGTCGAATATGTGGGAACATGACTATGTGAAGATCGACGAGCTCGGCAAGAGGAGTGCCGCCGGTTCCGACAGCAAGACCGGCTTCCAGAGCGACATTTGCCCATATATCGTTAACCTAGAGGGTAGAAATTGAAACATTGACAAGGGTTCGCATCAGATAGTTTTTGTCAGCGCCACCGCAGGATCAGGACAAAACGAAGAAGGCATACATTAGTCAGTGACTATTCGCGTAAGATGTCCGCAAATAGCAGAGCTATGAGAAGCGAAAAAGACGGGAGAAACATACGTCGTTCTGAATCATGGATGAAAGCTGTTCGAGCGCCTCACTTGAGTCCTCCTCCGCATCTCTAACTGCAACAACGAGAGAAGTTCTCGGCTGGCTCCCACCAGCGAGTCCGTCAGCGCACGTAAATAAGACGGATCTAATGAGAGAATAGGCGGCCGAATCAAGCCTGCAAGCGTCATGAAACCATAAATTAACGACGACGACATCGGCAAGAGCGGTGACGAAGGCAGCGCATCGTGCGGCAAAGCCCTTTGCATCGCGCCCCCTTGCGCGCGCGTCAGCGCCTTCGACGTCGAGAACGAGGGTGTCCTTCTGAATCGACTCTGTGGCGGGGACGTGTGAAAGGAGGATTCCACGAGTGGTGGCCTCGCCGACGTCGCCTCGCTTAGCGACTGGAAAGTCGGTACCGAAGAGAGCATTCGCAATGGTACTCTTTCCGGAGGCTTGGGGCCCGGCGACGGCAACGACGAAGAAGGATTCGATATCGGAGGTGTCAAGGAGCCAGTCGTCGGCCTCGGCCAAATCGCCGTCGGGAGAGAGGATCTCCACTGGGGTGGAGGGCATGACGTTGGCAAGATGCGAGGGAGCAGCGGGACGCCGGTGCGGACGATGGAGTGAAATGGGAGCAGGCGAGAAGCGGCGGAGACGATAGGGGCCAGAGAGTGTGAGAATGAGGGCGTGTATGGGGGGGGGGGGGGGGGGGTATGTTTGGTCAAAAGGGCGGGGGTGGGGGGTGAGGACCGGCAACTTGGGGTGCCTGAACGACCAGGATTGGAATCGAGCTCACGAGGCAGAAGGGGATGAAGAGTGCACCCCATTTTGGGTAAAAATTCGGGGATTTCTGTCGGGCACACATTTAAACTGGACATCAGGTATTGCTCGTAATCCCGTGACGTCTCTTCGCTATGGGCACCCCGCCGGAGACGCTTTTCCAAATACTGCACTGTAATGCACTGTATTTAACGGGAATTTTTCTCAATGCTCAGCTGAATACTGACTGAGTCTGTCGCTAAGACCCTCCCGGGGTTGAGCCTTATTCTCCCGCTTCCACCGCCTATTTCGGATAATAATAACAACCATATGATGGACACCAGTCTAACTGCTTGCAACGAAGCCGTTACGCCCGACAGTTATGTCCACGGTAAATTTACAAAGGTATAGACCTTTTTTTTCAGAGTGTTTACCTGCAGCGGAGTCCTCACCCTCTCTGACATTTTTATTTCCTTATCAACGCGTAGAGGACGAGTAATACTGCAGGAGGAGTTTATTCGATTCAGGTCGCTACCGATTAAAAAAGTATAAACGCGCGGTTTGTCTCCCCATCCCCAATACAGACCTTCTAACTTCCATGGCCACTTCCGTTCACTTCCCGATGATCTCCAATGTCGAGTATTCATCACAGCCATATCCGTTCTGCGACGAATCAGGATTACTGACTCATAAACGTTTTCACGGTCTTGGTATTTTCCTCAAAACTTGAGTTCTGTCCAAGCAGTTTGAGCTTGTAAATTGAAGAAGAAAACAGTGCTTTCTCCGCGTAGGTATTTACCTCGAAACCTTCTGAAGAAGGAATGCAGTTTTCTATTAGTTAGACAAGCCATAAAGGGTCCAAGTGATCTATACTGTGGTTACAATCGCGGTCCTTCTCTCTAAAAGGAATCTTCATAGATCTACTTCTAAAGAAAATAGCAAGAGGGAAATTTTCGCATCTAATTTGCATCTAAACACTCTATGATTCAGAACAATGAAAGGAGTCTACAGCAGAATTCGTCGCAATGCATACCCTTGTACACGTTTACTCCGAACAGCTTGATGTGCAATAGATCTACATTTTGAATTCTCACTACGGAGCGCAACAATACAAGTACTAATAATGTCTAGCCATGCATGAAATCGCTACGGCTTTTCATTCTATCCGCGTCTCAGCGTCCTTGTGTTTCTATGATGCCGAACTCTACCCTTAGCTGTTCCCGTCAGTCCAATTTAAGAGTACAATGTGCCATTCCATTCCCCTTGTTGTTTGGTGACTAGCATCGGTTCCTGCTTTATTGTCACGGCCTCTATCGAGTCCGTCCTCAGAAGGTCAGTATGCAGTTCAGTACACTGATCACAGTATTTAACCTAGAAAACCTTGTAACCCTGTGCTCCTTTTTTGTGACGGCTATTTTTTGTCCCAATCGGGTTATTTTCCTCCTACTTCGGTCTTGTTGAGCGCTACGCCCCAAGAGTAGGTTCGCTGAACGTAGAATTGTGTTGTCGTTAAGAAGATATACGTTTCGTCTCCAGGAGACCCGTACTTTTCGAGTAGTGTCCTCCCGAAAAGTGTGGGGTGGTCCTATTTTGTGATCGGGGCATAAACTTTACAAAATGCACACAAACGTTTCAAAGTTCTCACAAGTTTTGTGAATCTCGCTTTGTTTTTGTGAATCTCACCTTATTTTTGTGACGTCAACATTTCGAAGTGCTCTTTTGTTGAATGTTTTGTGATTCAGAAAAATTTGTGATGGACTGCGAGTTAGGAACGGGTCTGACACACAACTTTTTTTTGTGACTCTCACAACATTCTGAGGGACGTCTCACAATCATCTCCAACATCAACAAACCATCACAAACCCACCTAAAAATCATAGCTGATGGCCTTGTTCTACAGACATTTTACGACCTTCACTTTGGGGCTTGTGGGGCCTGTCTTGTTAGTCGAGAAATGCGTCGCTCAGAGTCAAACTCCCTCTCATGGACAGGAGAGGGCCCATGTCGCTTCAGTGTAGAGCGAGAATGCCAGGCCGTCCAGCAGCTGCAGCAGATAGCCTGCCTACATGTGGAACACCACTGCACCTGGCGTGAGCTCTTTCAAAGTGTCTTAGGTCGCCCGTCTTTTGTCCCTCTTTTGACCCAACTACATAGTACGCAACAGGTTGGGGTCCCACTGACCTTCTCGTGCAGTAAATTCCGGTTCAACCTACGAGCCTTGTGCGTACCATAGTTGTATTGCTCAAAGGCCTTCCGTTTAAAGTAAGGCATGAGATTCACTGACGTTTGTGCCACAGAATCATTTCGTTCCTCCAAAGCCTGCGCTCCCATTTCTTCTGTCCATTCTTGTGCTAGACGTTTAGGAAACGACCCAAACGTGTCACAGCTTGAGACCTTGTGTCTCAGGGAGGCGTACCCGATACTTGAATTAGCTCCTAATTCATTAGGTCCTGGTAGAAAGTTCCGTTCCCTCGCAATTGAAAGCCTGTACACCACAGCAGCATTGTATACTTGCACACTTAGCAATCTAGCTATAGTTGACGTCAAAGGGTTCTCGCTAATGTTTGTACGTGCTAGAGTTTTACGGTATCTGGTAGCTGGTGGTTGAGGTTTTGGTAGAGCGGTGTGGGTTCGACACAACGATGCCACGAAAGGCAGATCGACGTCCTCGACGTGGTAACTCGACGCCTTGCGGATGCGACGTCGTCACGGAGGACGAATCCGGGTGCTATGCTGAGCGCTCGTCGTGCGTTACCCCTGCAGCGGGTACGTCTCGTTGTACTCGATGTACTGAAGGAAAAGCAAATCCTAGTGAGGCAAAAGACGTTGGCACAAAACCAAGGGACAAAGGGGTCTGCCCTCGAGATGATGCCACTGCGTTGATCGATCATCCCCTCGAGTCCTTCCACTTCCCTGCTTTATTATATCTACTACTGTAGTCCTCGTTCTTACAGTGCCAGACTGTAACGGTACGACTACACATCGGGCCGTAACGGTCCTGCACTTGGGCGCCAGCGAGGTACGCTGGTGTCATACATTAGATGGTATGATTCGAGTACAGTACGTACACGGACGCGAATTGCCCTGCCCAATTTACCGGGTGAGAAGGTAATTACCTTTCGAATTGGGAATTAACCAATGCGGTCCTTGTCATACACCATCGGGTGTTCGAGTACAATATGTACACTAGTGAACACTTGGCGATATACCACACACTCCAGAGGTCATGATTTCTGTCAGCCGACAATCCCATTTGAAAGAAGTGGCCACTTTCCAAAGGGCCGAACACAGTTCGAAGGAAGTCGTTATATTAAGCCCAGAGGATGTGCAGGATAAGCATACGCAGTATCGCTTTCTTCGTGGTCCCTGACTTTCTTCTCTAGTGCAACACACGGTTCGCTACGTATCGTACCTTGTCTACCAAACACTCCGTAACAAACGTGCGTAAGCAGGCTGGAGGAGTAAGTAACTGCCTGGCATCGCCTTCGTCCTCAGTCGTACGGAATTACTTGTTATATCGCTTATAACTCGGTTAAGTGCATTATTGGCCTCTTCGAGGAAACGACGCTCCAGACTGCTATTCACGTTATCTGTCTGGACAGAAACATCAGCGAAAAGACTGTCATAGTTCTATCCTTCTAGGCCAACATTCGGCTGCGCACGTGCGCGTTCCTCCAACTCCTCAGCAGAGACGGTTGTAAACAAATCTCTTGTCTGTGTCGTTTCGATGTCCTCCCAGTGCTCCCTAGAATATCTTTCGTCGTCGAAGTCATAGTAGAGCTTACTGTGGAGGTCTTAGCTAAGGGTAGCACTTGTGTTCGTCTGCTGTATCTGGGACGTCAGGTATGAACCAGGGTGTAAAGATCGCACCTCGGTCTCCGTGACTTCAGTGTCCACTTCTCCTACAGTCTGAACCTCACAAGAGGAAGAAGATGAATGTGACATTTGCAACTCCTATGAAAAGGGTTCGTCACTGTCGTCCAGAGAGTCTGCCTGTTCAAACAACGGTTCAACTTCAGCTTTCAAATGGCTGCTGTTCTGTAATGCGAAAGGCGCGAAATGAATAGGAACCCCGTTATTGAGCTGGGATGGAGCTGTAATTCCGGTAGGGGGTGGGGAGAGTTCTTCTTCGTAAAAGAAGTCTGGGGACGTCTGAAGGGAAGAAAGGGTAGCTGGTGGTGGGTTGATGCGGAGATCAGTCTGTGTCAATGGAAGCGTGGGCTCATAGTCTTGCTCTGAAATGGGTTGACGTTCAGGATACTCAGCTCTAGAATCCAACCCCTCTCTCAAAGGTGTGGTATTAAATCTGTTACGCTGTGGGGGTTCGGCGAGTGGAGAAGCATTGTAGCTGTCATCAGCGGATACCAGCTGATTGGAGGCGTTATCTCCGGGTTGGAACCTTTCAGCCATCAGCTTACCCGCAATGTTCTCTGAAATATGGTGCTTCTTGTGGCAGTTGCGAACACGAAGAGAAAGGGAAGTGCCTCAGGAAACTAGCCGTAGAGGGCTGGAAAGGGAGGTTTTTTTTGACGTTGTTCAGTTTTGTTTGCCTTTTGAGATGGAGAGCTTTTTATATGTGATCTTTATGATGTCCTCACACAATTCACACAAAGACATCACAAAATGCACACTGCCAGTGTGAGAGTTTTGATTTTAAGGTTCGCATTTGAGAGTTTTGAGATGCGTCTCACAAAACCATCACAAATGATTCACAAAAATGTGTGATGTTTGAGACGATTTTTGTGATGATCACAAAACGTTCTCAAAAAGTGCTACAATTCAACAAATATTCACAAACCATGTGTGACGAATGAGAAGATGGAGTGAGACGAATAGACCTTTATCACAGTTAGAAGGGTACTGCTGAAAGAGCCAATACATTGCCAGAACACAGCGCAGATTCTGTAAACAACGAATTCATTGCAGGTTACAGCAGTAAAAGTCAAGAATGCCAACAATTTGTCACAATATTCTACCATGACCACATACGTGGCTGTACAGTGCTGATAAAGTCAGAAACGAGGCGGGTAAACTATTACAAAAAACTCCCCGCCTTATTTCCAAACCACTCAATGATTGCGCATAAGACTGAAATCGGGACTGCGGCCAGGTCCTCAGACAGTCCTTCCCCTCAAATCTCCCATTCCAACTTCCTCCTATCCCACGATAACCTCGACCCTCCCCTTGATCCGAACTCTCGCTCCCTCCCTCAACCCCCCACACCCTTCGTTCCAACACCCCCTGACACACCTCTCGTTCCAACCCTGACAAATGTCAGCCAAGCTCAAGCTGCCACAGCACTGCAATTGCTCGCAGATGCGGCCGTGGACCGCCGCAACGAGCTTCGACAGTAAGATGATGACAGCGATCTATTCGACTCCGATGAAAACGATGACTCGGATGCGCCCATTTTCGGTAGGTTTTACGAGCATGGAGGTTCTGCCGCTATACTCGAGATGACGAACTTCGACCCTACACAGTTTTTGGGAATATGGTCTGGATTTCAGGGTGTCATATCTCAGAGCTATACCTCGGGACGGGGTAGGAAGTCAATCCATAGCGGCAAGTACGTACTTTTTATGACATTTTGTGTCGTAAAACACGGAGGACAGTGGGATTTTCTTGCGAAAATGTTCGGATTGAAGGGTCCGTCTTTTGAAAAACTGATTATGAAATTCGTAGACCTGCTTTGGCTACCTGTTTACGAGCAATATGTTGAGCATCACGTGACCAAGTGGACAATGACGGCTGTGTCGGATGTTGGGCGTTTGTTTAGGCATTTCCCTGTGGCTCGGTATGCTACCGATGTGACTTTCCAGCCAAGCTACCGTCCAAGTGGTAGCATGCAGGAGGGCAAGAAGTACTATAGTGGAAAGCATAAACAATATGGCTATAAAATGGAAGTCTCCGTGCTTCCGAATGGAATGGCCATTGGCTGTAGCGAGCATGAGCCCGGGTCAGTCTCCGATCTGACTCTTTTTCAGAGGGATGCAGTATTTTCACGACAAGCAGCTGCAGAAGAAAGGGGAGGAGAAGGAGTGGGATGACGATGGGCCGTATGTGGGCAAATATCCGGAAAGCTGGGCTGTATTATGTGACAAGGGATACCAAGGAGCTTTAGAATTCTGCCGTGTAATTCATCCAACTAAAAAGCCGCCGCATTCTGTAATGCCTCCTACGGATGTCAAGCGAAATCGTCTTATTTCAAGTGACAGAATTATTGTCGAAATTTTTTTTGGCAGGCTGTGTGGAATTTGGAACGTGATGGGGTCTAAGTTGAAGTGGAACGAAAAATCGTATGATCCAATTTTCAAATTGTGCTTGGGACTTACCAATTTCCATATTAGTGGAATCCGTTACTGCAAGAGGATGGGCAGGTTTATGGGCAAATAAGGACGCGGTGGTTTAGGCTAGCTGCGAACCAGGCAAGGAGGAGGAAACTCGTACAAGAAAAATATCGCGAGAAGCGAAGAAGGGGCATGAACATTCAGTTCAGGGCGGGTGGCGTTCCTGATCGCGACCCTGATGGTATATGACGTAGTGGTTAGGTGAATTCGTAAATATTTGTCAGTTGTGTGGTTGACTACAGTGCACAACCATGTTTACAAAGTCTATCGATGCGCACTGAATGACTTGGTGGCGATGTTTTTGCGAAGTGATTTACGGAGAATATCGATCTTTTGGGTGGTGCTCTGTCTTTAGGGAGAAAAGCGGTCTTTGGTTAGGAGACCTAATGAGACGACGGCGGCGAAAAGATCAAAACTCTCACAAATCGTCACACAAATCGTCTCACTTTTTGTGACGCCCTAAATCGTCACAAACCGGAGCACAGGGGTAACGTGCATCCAGGTTAAATTGGCCACCAAAAAAATAAAAAAATGGTCCAGGTTATTCGGAAATTCCACACTAATTAGCCTTGATTCAAAATTAACATCGTTCAGATTATTTCATGAGTGGTTACGGAAAAGTGGGCTTCAAATGGTCCAGGGTGAATACTTCGATCAGGTGTACAGTATTCGGAAATACTGTACAATTGTCAAATCCACGAAAGTTGCCCAAATTATAAACAAAAAGTGAAGCAGGCTGCTCTATACAGAACAGTTTCGGTGAGCCATTTTCATGGGTGTGCTATTGATAGCAGGATGATAACATCCGTCTCAGCGCCCTCATCATTTGATACGACTCATTGTCTGTAGACGTCCGCAAGGTTGCTGTGAGTCACGCACAAACCAGCGTCGATAGAAGGGCTGCGGCACTTTTCGTTCGCGTGATCCAAGGCCATATCTGCCAGAATTCTTTCGGGAGTAAGGGCGCTTTTCCCGTTCCAGTGACTTCTTGTTGAGGACAGTGTCGAGATCTGAAGGCGCACGCCGCAATGACGGACAACTTCGATTTCGAAGATGACAGTGCTCATTTGAGTAAAGATGCGCAAACTCGCCGGAGATATTTGCGTTGGTTCAACAAGCGACGCGACGACTTTTCCACTGACCGGGAATATGATGACTACTTGGAGATGGTGGAGGACATCATTTTTAACTTAGTGAACAACGTCGACGTCGAGGAGACTAAGGCACGGGTCGAAAAGTACCGAAAAGAAAACCAAGGCAGCATCGGTCAAAACCATGCCAAAAAAGGAGAAGAAGATCGCTTGGAAGCGGAGCGCGTAGCGCAACTTGAGCGTGCACGCATAGCAAAATTAGCAGAACTACGCAGACAAGACCACGAAGAAGAGAAGAGGAAGCAACAAATTCGCCGTGAAGAAGAAGCGGAGGAGTTGTTGCGAGTATCTAAGGGAGATGACGCGGTGGAAAAGCTGCGGAGAAAGAAGGAGAAAGCCGAGCGCAAGAAGCGAAAGAAAGAAGCGGCGGCGGCGCGCGAGGCGGAGGAGCGGGAAAAGCCCGACTTTCGTCCAATGTTTTTCCGGCCTCAGTTTCCGAGCCCGCTCCCTGTCCCTGTTGATCTGAGCAAGATTACTATGGACCAAAGACCGGAAGAGGATGCAAAGGCATTTGAGGCGAGGACTCAGGCGGAACAAGCCAAGGCAGCTACTGCCGCAGGTTTCAAACAGCAGTTCGTCTACGAGCGGGCGCTCAAGGAATTCAGTCAGTCTCTCAACGTATTGCAACTGTGAAGGAAACTACGGCGTGTTGAGTCATCTACTGGCCTGTCTACGAATATTGGAAGGGAGCTTGTGAGGCGTGACCGTGTAAGAATATTGCGATTGATTGCAGATGATGCGTCTTCCACCTGACATCTTGACCGAGATCAGTCGGGCGCGTGCCATGGTGCTGATGCAATCCTGAAAAGAAAGAAGATAAGAATTCATTTGCGGGCGCCTTGTATCGATGTTTGAACCGTAGAGACACCTGTGGAGCTTGTTTGTGAAAATGGCATTGGTTGAATTCCGCTTAAGAGATGACGTGATCGGCTTGAAAGCCAAGGATGGGATGACCGTATAATGCAACAACGTCTATGAATGGCAGCAAGCGAAGGGGCAATTTCTGGGATTCTACGTGTTCAGAGCGTCGCTGTGTGCGATACGTGTGAGGTAATTACCTATTGTCAAGGTTTGATTCGGTGAGGCAAGTGAATTTGCGGTGAATGGGAAATTGATATTTATTTCAAGGGGGAAGCCTGCGGTCGTGTGGTGATGGTTTTAGGACCGGAGACAGACATGTGTGATGGGGAATTTGGCAGGTGAATGCACATGAAAGGGTGGAAGGTCGATGCGTATTGCAGTGCGGCCCAATACGGACTCGCCTGTAATGTGGGGAGAAAAATGAGCTGAAGGGCATGAAGGGAAGGAGGAGTCAAAGCCATAGCAAACTGGCCCACGAGAACGGGAGTTTAGTGGAGTGCAAAAGAAATGATTAAAAGGCGTGGGCAAGAGCAAGAATGGCGGACTGTGGCAGGTGTGCGGCGATGGCGGAGTGATGCGACGAGTCGGTGGTATTAGGTCTGCGACTCTGGTGGGACGGTTCCGGGCTCTCCGCGACGAATGACGGCTGCAATGACAAGTCTAAACTCGCCGAGTGAAGGTGATATGAAGCTAGGCGAGGGCGAGGAACTCGTGCTAGTGGGATGCTACACGGAGGCGGTGGCTCACGCGCCGTACGCGGCCGGGCCGGGGATCCTGACGGTAGCCGTGACGCAGTCGTCAGTGCGGGAAGTGGCGCGATCGGGGGTGAGCGAATGTGGGGCCAACCCATCGTACCTAGCGGTGAGACGTGACAAGGAGGGCGTGGTGGTGTACGCGGTGAATGAGCAGGAGGAGGGATGGGTGACGCGCATGCGTCTACAGAAAGATGGGAGGTTGAAACGGACGGGAAGGGTGCGGGTCGGTAAGTGGCCGGCGCACGTGGCGACGGTGGGGGAGACGGGGGTGGTGGTGGGGTGCTTCGGGGACGGGAGCGTGTGGTCGCTCGAGGACTCGGCGGAGATGCGAGCAGTGGACAGCGTGCGGATGGGGGACGTGCACGGGGGGAGGAGCGGGGTGCATCAGGTGCTGGTGGTGTCGGGGGAGCGGGCGGGGGCGCGGCGGGTGCTGGCGGTGGACCCGTTGGCGGAGCGGGTGACGGCGGTGGAGCGGAGCGCGGAGGGAGTGCTGCGGGTCGGGGCGGGCGCGCAGTTTGACGCGGGGAGCTACCCGCGGCACGCGGCGGAGGACGGGGGCGGGGTGGTGCACGTGGCGCTGGCGAAGGGGCGGGCGGTGGCGCGGGTGGAGGTGGAGCGGATGCGGGAGGCGGGACGCGAGGCGGTGGGGCGCGGGGCGGGGGTGCTGGGGGCGATCCGGTGCGTGGAGGGCGGCGTGCTCGTGAGCGACAGGGGCGGCGGGCGCGACGGGATATGGAGGCTGGGCAAGGGGTGGAGGAGCGGCGGCGGGAAGGTGCCCAGGGACTTTGCGGTTGGCGAGGCCGTCGTGGTCGTCGTCAATCAGGCGGATGGCAGGGTGTGTGTCGGCGGGAGGGAATGCGTCGACATGGAGCACGCAGGCGGCGGTGGCCATGATGACGAATTGGGAACGTCTCGCAGTTGCCATATTCATGATGATGACATACGGGGGCCCGCTCTGGCAGGCGATCGCGGTGCCCCGGTTTGTGCCGTCTTTGTGCCACACGTTGAGTGCTTGACCCTTTTATAGTGTCGCGTGGGTCTGCGCCGACAAGTTTTAGCACTCGACAAATTCCTACGCCGCAATTACCCTTGGGGTAGTGTCTCTAATATAGAACCTCATCGGCTAACTCTAGTTTAACGGCCTCGAGCTTTAGACCGTCTAGCTGTCCAGTTGGCCCCAGCCTCGTTCAACGAAATGAAGCTCCTGTGCCTAAAGGACAAAGTTTGAATACCCCTGAAGAAAACAATCTGTCTGGTGATTCCTCAATACTCACTGCGCCAGCAACTGCTTCACCGGGTCAGTTGCGTCAGAGCCGAACTTAATTTCCTGTCCGCTGCCCGCCCCCAAGCTACTCTCGACCTAGATGTCATGTCAACGTAAGTGGCGCTTTCTTACTATGGTCAGGGCGCGACTAGGGTTATGATACCTAGCAGGAACGGTGGACCTCACTGTTTCAGCCGGCCCGGCTGCCCTGGGAGAACGCACCCGCTGGGCTTGGCATTGGAAGTCCGACGCTTCCTGCGGCCAATCCTCCGGCCCGACAGTTACTGTGCAGTCACCAATTGTCAACTCACACTCCATGCTCACTTGTACGGCCGACACCGTGTCGTTCTCCGACCGATCTGGAACGCCTCCGTGCACGTCACTCTTCTCTGTGGTCGCGTTCATCGACCGAGTCTCCTGATATACTTCAGTCAGTTCCGCGGGAGTCAGAGCTCCGACAGCCGCCCAGTAGCTGACGCGAACCGCCAGCCCGATATCCGGGGCCATCGCCAACAAGTCAGCACCAATTCGGACGCCTTTCCCGCAGAGCGTTACGATCTTGGCTTCCCTTTGGTAAGCACTCGGGTCATACTCACGGCGCAAGTACTTTGAGATATCATCGATAACGGCGGCTCAGTTGACTTCGAACTGAATCCTTTCAAGCCGGGCCAGCGCGACTAGACGTACCGTCGACATAGTCTTGACTTCACTTACGTCCTTCCATCGGTCGGTCCTTCCATATGGCGTACGGTCGCATTTCCCCAGCCTTGCTACTCTCAGTTCGACCCGTTCCCTCTGTGACCCGGGTGGTTCTCTGCGTCCGATCTGATTTTGAAATCTTCCTTTGCGGCCCAGCTGTTTCCGACTCGTATCGGGCGGCGCTGTGAGTTCCGTTCGATTCTTCCCCCCCAGTAGCACTAGCGCTTCATCTGCCATTATGCTTGATGACACAGGCTCCATATCGTCTAAGTAGGTCGTTTCCAGGTGGCATGACACATCATTGCGCCGAGCGATCATCGTGACAGGGGAGTCTAAGGGCATCATAGAACAATTGTACTTTGTCACTGCAGACATGGCCAGCACTCTCCGGCTTAACTCAATAGTCATTTGCACCGGTACTGCCTCCCTCGACGATTTCTGTATGCTCAAGAACCACACTACAGCCCCCGCTGCTAGAGACAGTGCCAACAGGGCTATTCCGGAGAAAAAGTAGAGGTTGACAGTGGCCACCGATTTAGTATCAGCGGCGAATCGTCCACTTCGATCTCCAAGGGTGGCCGAAATCCATTGGACTTTAGTCGTGAAACCCTGCTCCGGTCCCCGGCTCCAACTTCCGAAGAGTTCCCAGGCGGTATCGTAATTGGCCGCACTAATCTGCAACGCCATGAACGCCGAGACTAATTCGTCTTCTCTGCCCCATGTCCGACCTCGACAAGTCTGCTCCCCGGCAATCCCTAATCCACTATCGTGGCGTAAACAAATGACCGAGTGCGGACCGTCCTTGACCATTGAAACGCTCATCGTCTTCAGCCTTACCAGATAGGTTTTATTCCCGATTAAGACCTGCTCCACTGACCGTCTTCTCCCTGAGCTCGACGGAACTAGCGTAGCTGTGCTAAAATCGTTCAATTCACTGAAGCTCACCATACGTCTCCCATAATTGACCTCCACTTGCTGCGTCAGTAGCACTGACTGGTCTGGCGGGGATAGGTTCCTGTCATGTCTCTTCAACCGGGGAGGCCCGCCCACTTCATCTGTGCAGGTGACCGCCCAAGTCTTTGGGTACTCAACCGCGTCATCAACCCCGTCATCACACGTGAGCGCCAGGTCTGGTTTCGCAACTAATTCCACTATTAGCTCCATCCCAGCCTCTGCGTAAGCAGGCAGTGCGTTTCTGAAGCTAGGAATAGACACCAGTTCCAATACGGCCATGGACGGTTCAGGTGGTGACTTGACATTTTCGAGTATAAAAGCCCTAAGCCCGGTCCAGAATACTTGCACCTCCGGCTTTATTAACACAGCGCCAGAAACGCCCGCGAACAAACGAGCACCCCTTCGGCGAGTGAAAACCTTCTCCGACGGCTCAGGCGAGTCCAACAGTTGGAACTCGCTGGAATTCAACGCCCCAGTTGACCTAAGCAGATCTATATCGCTAGCCGTAACGTTGAACCTGGCAGCGTTAGACTCCTCCAAAAAGTAAATTCGATAAGTTGCCGAATGTTTCCGGGACAGATAAACCGTCGGCTCCCATCGGTCGCTGCCTCGATTCACCACCTCCACGGCTCGGCCCGGGCCGCTCCCCTCGTATCCGGTAGGGTACCACATACCAGAGTGAACTTCCGTCGACCCTGATCCGAACTCGAGTAAGAGATCTGCTGCTACCAACGCTACCGTTACGACCAGTAAGAGCCATCTGGATGTGTTATCCCTGATGTCCTCTTCAGCGACCAGTGAGCTTCTAGTGTAGGCCCTGGGACGTAGCTGGACAGGCACCCCCGCTGAAATGCGGTCCCCGGCCCGATAGGCTAGCCCAGTCGACCAGACTCTGGAAATGAGAGTGGTGGTCAGGATGCTTAGAAGAACGAACCGGACTACGTTCCACAGTGGGACCCCTATACCCAGTTCAAGAATCATCGCGCTTGATTGATTGAGGTACAGTCAACCACACCGAGTAGTACACCCCCATGCAAGGTTCCAACAACATGCAATACTCGCATCTTGCACTAATGAATGGGGTCACACAAAATACTCGTTTACAAGCGTCTGGCGCCTCTCGGAACGACTCTGCTCAGCGTGTGCAGTTAGCAACTCGCGCTTTGCACGGTGCAAATGACAAACTGCATCCTCGATACCCGAATTGTTCACCATTTCCTCCACTCCCGTAAAGCAGGCAATTACTTCCTCAAAACCTGGAATAACACACTCATTTGATTCTATCCCTTTGGTTCCATCTGCACTCGTCTTTTCATGCTGTGTTGTGGTTGTGTCGGTGCCCTTGCGTGTCACTGGAGTAAGACGGAGAGGATCTGTGGGGTCTGTTGGAAAGGATGATCCGTTTACTGTTGGGCATCTTCGTGGCCGCGTCCCCGTCTAGGACAGGTGTCTAACAGCAATGCAAGGTATGATAACCTGTGTTCACCAAAAAACCCCTGCATTACTCAGGGCCATTCCATTCATTGTGATTGGCAATCATGCAATCACGCAATCACGCGATCACGACATTAATTTAACGTCGTTCTGCATCGTTCCTTTCTCCAACGTGTGCTACTTGTAGCTGTAAGCACATTTCCACGGCTTTGCATGTGCATGTGTTAACGCACTTCTTGCTTCATTCCATTTCACGTTTGGCACTCTGGAAAAACGAAGGGCAAAGGTTTCAAAGGAGGTAATGATGGCACGGCAAAGAGAGTAGATCCTGCTTTCTGGCTTTCCCACATGTGCAACCCTGGGTTGCACAAGCAGCGCGTTGATTATCATTTCGAAATGTACGAATATTTGAATGGGGTTTAAATCTTTTAGAATTGCAAGGAGCATTATAGGAAGTTGGAGCACAAGATTAATTTTAAGTCGATTGTTTATTTCTTTAATGAGCATGACCATTTTTTAGGAAACATAATATAAACAACCAACCACAAGGGAGCAGGCACCATTTATTGACGTGATTGCGTGATTGCGTGATTGCCAATCACTCGTGGAATTACTCAATTCGGCACTATTGGGCGAGTCCTCTCTGTAGATTGTTTGAGAGCTTGATCGATGGAAGGGATGGAAGGGCGACTCTCTCCGTCGCCGTCTACTGGGGAACACTGGCCTAATTACTGAGATAGTCTGCTGTAAGGAGTGTATCATACGTCACCACTACTGTACAATATGATGTTGCGGGAGTGGATTACGGGAACGCAGCATTAAACATTACTGTACACACGTGGCACGACAGGCAGTCATCGGTGAAACGCTGGTATCCGACAGCTGTTTCATTACAGCAGGGCCTGCATCATGCAGTACAATGCGAGAATCGAGATATTTGGGCCCCATATCTCATCCTCTCGCGTCCCCCCATTGGCCCGCCTTGTGATATCTCACCCGTGCTTTCCCTCCATTCCAACCAATCACACCACGACAAATACGTTGTGCAACGCCTGCCATCCGCTGCATCCACCTATAAAGCTAGTCACCCCTCCACCAACCGCTTCCCAATCTCCCCCCCCCGTCCCCCCGCTCTCCCCCCCACGGCCGTCATCCTTCTCCATCCGAAACATCCACGATGGGCACCACACCGCGTGGCACCTCCGCCGCGCTCCCCCACCTTCCGCACGATGTGCTCCTCCATATTCTCGATCGCATGACCCCCGCCCAAACCACCCTCTTCTCCCAGCTGTGCACCACCACCGCGGCCGCCGCCGCGGACCCGGCCATCTGGGCCTCGCTCGCACGCCGTCATCTCGGCATCGCCCCCGCCCAGCACGCGCTCTCCGCCGCCACCCTCTCCTCGCTCGCCGACTCCCTCGTGTCCCGCTGGTGGGTCGCCACCGGCGCCTTCGTCCCGGGCGTCCCCGTCCACTTCCGCAAGGGCTTCACCGAGGTCCACGCCCGCGGCGGCGTCGAGCGCGACGTCGCCGAGGGCTCCGCTGCCGCCTACGTATTCGGCGGCCGCCACAAGGACGCCGCCGTCCCCGTCGCCGTCCCCGCCGTCACCATGCAATTCTTCCTCGAGGCCGCGGGCCCGTTTCCCATGGAGGGCATGCTTCTGCGCCTCGTCCACGTCTCCGAGCCCGCGCCGCGCGATCCGCCCGCCTTCCCGCCGTCGGCCTCACCCCCGCCCGCCGCGCCCGACGAGGCGCGCGTGCGCGTCGTCGTCAACGGCTCGACGTTGCTCGCGTGTGCCGTGCCCAGCGGCGACCGCCTGCGCGTGCTGGACGTGCACGTGCCGCCGGAGCTGCTGCTGACCAAGCCGCGGCTGAACACGATGGCCGTGGAGTACGACCGCGCGTCGCGCGCGGCGTACTGGCTCAAGTCCGTCGACGTCGTGCCGTGCATCCTGCCGCTGCCGCCGATCGCCGACGACGAGCTGCGCTTCGCGCCGCTCGTGCCGGACATGACGCCCCCGCGCCCGTGGGCACACGTCGAGATCGAGGACTCGCGCGCCCCGCCGTCGGAGGAGCCTCCGCGCGAGAGGGCGCGCGAGGAGCACAGCCCGCCGCCGAGGCGCGCCGTCGGATGCCCGCCGCATGCGGGGCTGGCAAGGGGCGGGGACGCTGCTGGGGCTAAGCACCACAAGGCCACCAAGGTCGTCAAGCAGGCTAGGAAGCCCAAGCATGTGTTCCACCACAACCACTACCGCAGCCCGCGTGGACATGCTCCGGGGTCGCCCAGAGCGCGCGCGGGGCGCTAAGGAGGGGCTTGGCACCCGTGTCGTACGGAGGGGGGTTTTGTTTTAGGGGTGGTACTTGTATTATAGGCGGCTTCGTTTTTGTGTGGCTTGCGCGCGAGGCACGCTTGTTGGTCGGGATAGCGAGAGGAGAGGTAGGGACCTGATGTTGTTGTAAATATATCGCTCTTTCTTGCTAGGATGTTACGCAGTTGTTCTAAGAGCGGGCGATGCTGGGCGGGAGCTGGAGGATGCGAGCTGGAGGATGGAAGATGTTGGAGGCGGGAACGCGGAAGACAGAGCTGCGTTGGATCGGGCAGATCGAAGCGGAAACGTGGCATGGCACGAAAGTTCCGAATGGTGCTGGAGAATGCGAGATATTTGGGGGTAAAAGAGCTCGGCGGTGTCTGACAGTATTCGAAACGATATCTTGGCCAATCTCTCGTCATGAGATCGGTCCAAACGGGTCAAGCGGCCCCTTTCGGTCTGGTGGCGTTTCTAGAGATGGCGCTGCGACAAAATTACTGTAGCGAGAGAAGAAGACTCCGGTCGGCATGACGGCTACTGCATCGGGGCACGCGCCAGACGCGCTCAGTTTGGCGGCATGCCGACAATCTGCCGGGAACACATGCAGTAAAGAGTGGTGTGTAGTAAGCCGGGTACACATGCAGTACGCTTGGTACATGCAGTAAGATTACACAATGGATTGGTTATAAAAAATATTGGAAATGCTTTCCTCCCATTCAACCAATCCAGTCATGCCAAATGCCAGGGTGCTCGGGTGCTGGCACCGCGAACTCTTCGTTCGGAACGGCCCTACTAAAGTTACTAGTATAGGGGCCGTGGTGAAGAGGGTCGGCGGCATGTCGACAATCTCCGGGGTACACATGCAGTATGAGGACACGCGCCCTTCTTTTTCATTTCACTGTAAGATTTGTAATCGGTACTTTTGCAAATTCCTCGCTTCTTCTTGCACGCCCACGGCAACATAATCTCCCTCTAGAGAGAAAATGCTATCTTGCCCAAATGCCTGCGATTTTGGTACGGTACACGTGTTCACGCACACACGTTTGAGCCCTCCAAGCTGGTCTGCATCTCCGCGGGGTCTGCTTCTCCGCACCCCAAGCGAACTACCAAAGCGTTCTTTTGCAAGTTCCTCACTTCGTCTTACGTTTCAGCCGCGTTAGGGACCATATCCTTGCTTGCAACCCCACTTTAATCGCCCCGTTCCGTCTTGGCGACGAAAATTATAACAATCCCCAAAGCTCACTTAGCCTCCACACGCATACCCCCTTTTCCCGACCTCCCATCTGCTTTTCTACGGTGCCCCGCTTGCAGACGCTTGAGGAAGCCATATCTCTTCTTGTGTGCACACACCCCGCGCCCCGCTTGCCATGACCGACGCACTCGCGGCCGCCACTGGCACCGCCCTAGACGACGAGCGTATCGACCGCGCCCCGTCGCGCAAGCGGTGGAGCTGGTCGCGCGACGTGACCGAGTTTGAAGAGATCGAGCAGATCGGCGAGGGCACGTACGGCCAGGTGTGGATGGGCCGCGACCGCCTGTCGGGCGAGATTGTCGCCCTGAAGAAGGTGCGCATGGATCAGGAGAAGGAGGGCTTCCCCGTCACCGCCATCCGCGAGCTCAAGATGCTCCGCTCGTTGAGACATGAGAACATCGTCAACTTGAAGGATATCGTCACGGGGCAAAACCAGAATAGGAATAGGGCGCGGAGGAATAAGCATGAGATTTATATGGTGTTTGAGTATGTCGATCATGATTTGACCGGTTTGATGGATACTCCCTCCATACGCTTTTCTGAGGCCCAGGTGAAGACCTATGCGAAGCAGCTTCTGTCAGGGCTCTGGTATTGTCACGAAAGAGAGGTACTGCATCGGGATATCAAGGGCTCCAATTTACTCATTGACAATAAGGGCAATCTCAAGATTGCTGATTTCGGTCTTGCCAGAACTTATAATGACAACTTGAAGCGTTATACCAACAAGGTTATTACGCTATGGTACCGTTCCCCAGAGCTTTTACTCGGAGCGAATGAGTATGGACCGGAGGTCGATATTTGGTCGGTGGGCTGTCTACTCGTCGAGCTGCTCACAAAGAAGCCTTTGTTTCCAGGCAAGGATGAAACCGAGCAGATCGACCTTATTTTCCGCGTATTAGGATCTCCGACGGAGGACTCCTGGCCTGGTTGGACCCGTCTCTCCTATGCCGATATGTTAAAAGGTCAATTTTATGAGCCACGCCTCGATGAGGCGTTGCAATCTATCACCCCGACCGCACGATCCTTGATCGCCGATTTGCTTCAACTTGACCCCAAAAGACGGCCAACTGCGTTGGACGCGCTTGATCATGACTGGTTTTGGACCCCACCTTATCCGACACCGAGGGAGGATTTGCCTAAGTATCGCTCGACGCATGAGTTTCAGGCGAAGCAACGGCGGAAAGAAAGTAACAAGTTTAACTCCCATCACTGACTGCCTTTCAAGACAATTAAGTCGACGCTCTGCTCGCCGGGAAAGATTAAGAAAGCTCTCGCCACCGCCACAATACATTAGTCTCCCATGGCGTCGAATATATCGTCAAGGTCATCCTCATCCTCGTCTGAGGCGTCGGAATCCGAAATTTTGTTGTCAACCACCTTGCCCATATCCGGATCGCTATCGGGAGAGCGGTTACTTCTTGAAGCATTTTTCTCAGGTGTGAGAGCATGTCGCGAAGCACGTCTTTCTGTTTGCACTTCGTTCGTCCCACCTAAGTTCTTGTGCGAAGGCATGGAGGGTGCGGTATGGTTCTTGTGTATTGATGTGTTAGCACCCGCCACGATTGTTCCGGGAACCGAGGCTGCCAACCGAATGTGCGCTGGAATTGCGGTCACTATGCGTGAGTCATGTTGGGCCATTAATTCATATAGAGATGGTTTTTGATCCGCCATTGGTTTGGATGCGTCGTTCGGCCCGTTGTAGACTCGCAAAGTGGCGTCGCGAGCAGCGCTGTCATTATCTTCCTCTGTGCTCTCAAGCCCTTCGTGATTCTCATCGTAACGAGCGCTGTCGTCCTGCTCAGCTTTATCGAATGCTTCGACAACTTCTCCGATATCCTCGGCACCATTTCCCTTGGGGAAACCGGGCATTCCCGGATTGATTCTTGGTATGTCAGCGCCGAGGAGAAGTTTAGTTTCGACAACTACTCCTCGCAGTTCGGACAAGACTTTCTGTTCCATAACGAAAAGGCGAGCGAGTATAGCTATCACAGCAATCGCAAACGGGAGGAAATGCTCCCTGCAAACCAATTCAAGTACCACTTTCACTGCTGCCTTTGGGATCACTTTGGTGACCAACGCTTCTTGCGATTCCTCGATAGACTTGAGGTCATCTAATGTGAGGGTTGATAGGGAAAGGGGAAGTTTACTGCTCGGTCTTGCCCTCGAGTTTGCATTTTCCCTGAGGGCCTTCCTGACCGACTCCCACGCAACATGATTGTTTGCAGACCTAAGCAAACGACGTACATGCTCCAGTCTTCGAAAGTAGAGACCATGCCTGTGTTGGTTCCGGTTTCTATACAGCAGACGAGTGAAAGTCGTATGCTCCACTTTCCGTATTGGATCCACTTCCATGCGAGCGATCCGTTGGAATCGATTGCGCAAGTCGTCCATTTTCGCAGTTGAGGTCTGCGATTGCACGCGAAGCTCTTGGAGGAGAAGAGCTATGCTGCACACACACACTAACGAGAATAAAACGCAAATATACAATGATCAATCACTGAAGCAAAGGATGCTGATTAGTTGAAACAGACCCCTTTTCATTTACCGAAGATCAAAGCCTCGCGTGTGCCTTGTTCTTTCCATACGCTAGTCTCTCGCTTTGAGAAACCAGCAAAGAAGACGTTCTTCACCGGAAAACACTCCCAGAAGCAGCAGCGAATTGTTGTGGCAAGAGCAACATTTTCCGCGATCGATTTTTGAGTGGATTTCCTTTTCTTGTGTTGACAGCGTCATCGATCATTGAAGCGTCCAGCGCGAGGTTAGTATCCTTCCGTAATGCTGGCACAGCACAGTATGTATGGTACACGTGCCGGCTGCTATCTGAAATATACCGTAGAATGAAGATTTTGATAATACGATAGCCACCTTTCTACGTGTGAGTCGGTCTCGTGAACCTGTTTGTACTCTCAGAGCGAGATACCTTCTGACCGCGAAGCTAGGCAGCCTTGCGTGCATGTCGGAGGAGTCCAAAAATGCCGAACGCAGAGTGTTCTTTTCTCCCACCCGGACTTCCGAAGCGGATACGTAGAGAAGGCAGCAGCTTCCCACAAAAATGTTGTACTCGTTTCCACGCTCATGAAGTCAAAAATAGAGCTACTCTGGTAAAGCCTGCTCTCCTCTTCGTGACGCCCAACGGGTTCTGTCAAGACTACGCGAAGGCCATAACACGGGTACAAGAAGTTATTTCCGCGGGAGCGTCTTTAGTCCAAATCAGAGATAGAGGCTCTACTGCAGATGAAATACTAAAGCTCACGGACCGGCTGTTGCGAGCTGGTGTGGACCCAACTGCCCTGTCACTAAACGGGGTACATCCAGAAGAAGCCCGCGCGTTGACACCAGCTGTCGGTATTCACATTCGCGAAGCCGATATTGATGAGTATTCACATGCTGCAGCGATCAACGCCTCGCTTGGTGTCGTTATTGGCTGCTCCGTCCATTCCGTGGCTGCAGCCGAGCTTGCGTGTGAAAAACTTGCACTAACCTATCTGCAAGTCGGAACAATGTTTAACACGAACAGTCATCCCGGCAAGATCCCAGAGGGTCCAGCGTTGTTGAGAGCTATCCGCGAACGATTGGGACCATCCGAAACACTGATTGGTGTTGGAGGTATACAAAAGCACAATCTTCATACCGTATTCAAAAATGGAGCGTCGGGCGTTGCCGTGATCTCTTCTATTTCGGCTGCACATGACGTACGGAGGGCAACCTCCGAATTGCATAGGCTTTGCCGAGATAATTTTGAGATTGAAAATGGTTCCTTGTAGTTCCCATGTCTGTGTTCCGGTCAGTGGACGTCACACATGTTATCATAGTGACGTGATCAGACTTCCGAATAATGCCCTCTCCGAACCCGCTGCTTCGCTCGATGGATTTGTAACATTAACCTTTGGGGGCGTCGCCTCTGCAATCGCTCCGTGTTCCGACACACTCTGTTGAAAACCGATGAGAACAATCCAAGCTAGGGAAAGATAAAACAGTAGCACAGGATACAGCGCCAGCAACTTTCGACCTTCCGGGAATCTCGCATCAGCCAGGAAACTCGAGGAGGCTTTGCAGCATAGATACAAAGGAGTGAGAGTTAGAAATCGAATACATGAGAAGAGAAGTGTACCATATCTCAACGTGCTCGATACGACAACTATACACTTACCCCACAAGGACCATAACAGGGCCACAGCAACTGATATAAATCGAAATACAACCGCAAAGTCATTCTTGACGAATGAATTAATGATCCAACAAGCTCCCGCACTCAGCAATACAGGAAAGATACAGTAACCCAGCAAGCATACACTTTGAAAAAAGGACCTGTTCCGCGTCGCAATGAAAACCATTAAGTTTGCCGTTAGAACCTTTCCAGGGTACGCCAAAAGTATGTACCACGAGGACGTTCAATACAAACGTACAGTTTTCCGCCGAGGAGTTGGCCGTTGATAGTGATGACAGCAGCACCCACCCAAACGATGATAAATATTACGGAAAAGACGACGGAGGCGTCATCGTGAGCTTTCAGACTAAGCATGACAGCGAGAGACATGCATATAAAGAATGGACCCCACAAGTCCCAATCCCGAAGCTCCGCACGCATATCGCTCTGCAATAAAGATACATGGAAAGAAAAGGTCAGAAAGACAATTGTCGTGCAGACGACACTAATTTGGCATAGATCGAAAAAGAGCATTGACATACCGAGCTAATCGCTGGGACCATCACCATGACTAGTCGCCGACCAACCTGAGTGCAACAATAGACGAAAAGATATGCTCGCAAATGTCAGGATTAGTGCTGCGCGAAATGCGGTGTGTGTTCGCTTCAAGTAATGAGAAAACGCACAAGTCTGAGGTCGCGAAAAACAGTTTCTGACACTGGTTCATCAATGGTGTTCTCACCAAATTGCTGCCCAAGGTCTGCCATGACGACTTAGTCTGCTGGAGGTGGTAGATAGGAAGATATGCCACGACAGCTGAGAAACAAAAAGGTCGGTTGACGGAATGCAGGCGTTGAGTCCTCACCGCACGAATTTCAGGGCGTCATCGGTTGCAATGGAAAGTTTAGGCATGTTTGACGATGAATGGGCCTTACAGAGGAGTCGATCAGCAATTCACAGTCCGAACCGAATGGCTCTGACTTAGCGCTGCAGTGCATCCTCTTTCAAGCTTTCAAAAGTGCACTGCATACAGTCCGCCCTATACAGAAGGCAGAGAAACTGGACGGCAGCCAAAGCTAAAGAGAGCCACTGCCCTTCCAGTGCACTATAGTGGCCACGCACTGTAGCGGTTGAAGGGAGCGGCCTCGTTCCCAGGCACTACTGTACAGTTGGTACAGCTGTATGGCTGTGTACACGTGGCAGGGTGGCATGAAATCGTTGCTGTCGCAGCGATTTCTCTGGGGATTGACTGCATGTTGGAGATGCAAACTGGCCATTGACCACGTCGTAAATGGCGTAGAATCCGATACTGTATGGGAAACTGGATATGCGCACTGTGGTACCATACGCTGCTGTACATATCCAACTGCAACACAGTTGCAGAATTCTACCTGTAACATCAAGTAGACATCTTCCACATCAAACAGTTTCAGACGCCTCGGGGCTCTTCCACCTCATCACCGACAACACCAAGAGCTTCGTCCGTGCAACCATTAAGTCTTGCAACTCTCAATTCTCACCGGTAGCACAAGTACTCGTCCAGCAAAACGACACCCCCACATCGTGAAGCATCAAGTGTTCAACGGCTTTGATTTCGAGTGGTGGGGCAGTTGAAGAGATTAACTTTGTTTCCGAGTGTGGAGCTTTGAGCGCTCCAAGACTGCGGTGCGCACACGTCAAACGTTGAAGGAAGAAGGAAATTGCTTTGGCGTTGTTGCAAGTGTATTTCTTTGTTGGTCTCAAGCTCTTATTTAATTGAATCCAACAATGAACAATTCCGCATTTGTGTCTCCTGTCGGAATCGGTCAGAGAGGTAGTTTTTGTCTACCCAGAGCCACCTGTTTACCGACGCGTCCCGCAATGCCAATCCCGGTCCCACAACCAACCTGGCGAATGAATGTTATGTCGCAGACTGTTTTCAAAGATGCGTTGTTAGCGCGTGTGACGCCATTGGACTTTGGACGCACAGTTGTCGACGACAAAAAGCAACAAGAAGATATTGAAAATCTCATTCGTCAAGTGGAAGCAACCAACCCATCCGCAAGTCCAGGGACGGACCCCAATCTAAGTGGTGTTTGGGACATGATTTACACCACGTCAACTAGTATTCTTGGCGTTAAGTCCCCTTCGTTTCTGCGTGCAAAGAGAATTGTCCAGGAATTGAATGGCGTGGAACTCACTGCCCGGAACGCAGAGTTCTTCAAATTTGGGCCGTTAACCGTGGAGAACGCTGTGGAAGCAAAACTCACTCCGACGGCACCAAATAGATTCGATGTTAATTTCACTCGCTTTGTTATTGCGCGTTTCATCAAAGTCAACGTCGAAAAGAATAACCGCTTCAGGGGGTGGCTGGAGGTCTCCTATTTAGATGAAGACCTCAGAATCTCACGGGGGAACGAAGGCAACGTCTTTGTGCTTGTGAAGAGAGACGATTAACTTTCGCGCATATACCTACACTTCTCTAGTATCAAAAATTATGTAGATATCAAATTGTATAGAAAGCCCTTTCCGCAGCTACTTACTCATCTTTACGGGGAAGGTCGGTGTTGAAGTATGTTGCCCTACGGCATTGGTTGCCGTAAAGAGAATTTCCTATGTCTAAACCTACCGCTTGCCCTGGCCTCGAGCTGGAACCGCCATAGACCTAATCCGACAATGGTCCAGCCATGAACCAAACACCTCGGTATCTTTTGCAACACCGCGCAGCCATGGGTGATCTATCAGCTCATTCGTATCAGAGCGACGATTCGGGTCCGTAAAGGTACAATGCTTGACAAAATCTTTTGCATCGTCAGATACAGATATACCACTTTGTCGCAGCCCGCTCCACATGTTCGTTGTCATTGTCTCCTCAATATAATCAAAGTAGCTTTGAGGCTTGTTGAAAGGATACCGACCAAGTAGGCATTCGACCAGTGATACGCCAAGAGCCCATATGTCTGATGCGTACGTGTATTTTGAACCTTGCAAGCGCTCCGGAGACATATACGCCACTGTGCCAACAAACGTTTCTACTCGTGAAACCCCGGGATTCAGGTCTCGAGCCAGGCCGAAGTCGCTCAATTTTGCGCAACACAACCTCCTCGACAGTAGAATATTTGCAGTTTTGAAGTCCCTATGAAGCACATGGTGCCTGTGCAAAAACCGCAACCCTCGCAGGCAATCCAAGGCAATCATTTGCACCACTCTCTCTGGGATAGGACCCACTCTGTGAACAAATGTCGACAAGCATCCATGGTCCATAAATTCCAGAGCAATATGCACAGCCCCCGAACCATCGTAGAATGCACCATAAAAACGAACAAGATACCTGCTTACGTGCGTAGAAAGAGTTTCTAGTTCCTTCAGAAGCTGATTCCTCTTCTCCTTATCATACACATTCACTACCTTCATTGCCATTGTCCGCTTAGATGGCATATGCTCTGCAAGATACACCCGCCCTGCTGCCCCTGCCCCTATTGTTGGGCCCGCTCGAAACTCTTTTAAAGAGCGAACAATGACAAGATTGGCGGCAGATTGGGGAATATCACCCTCGTTATGAGGGTCAGAGTCTTCCCGAGTTGCAATTGGAGGTTTCCCCACCATGCCCTCCGATGTAATCTTGAATCCTCCTGTCGTAAATCCGCCATCCATTCCAAACACTCCAGTCTGAGACCAGTCGGAGGCGGGATCTGATGTTGACTTACCATCTCCTGGAGATAATAGAGGAGGTGGTCTCTTTCGAGACCTGCCACGTTTTAAATCTGGTGTTTGCTTCTCTTCTGTCTTGTGCAGACCCTTCTGTTCTGTATTCAGATTCAGTTGATCTTCGTTTGACGCTGACATTTGCACAGCACCCAGTATTAAATTCTCATGTAGGCCTGGGATGTCTACTGGAGACTGCTGGGTCTGCGAGAAATCCTTCCTAGTTGCTTCCTCAACCAAAAATGCATCATCTTCGCCATATGCAACTTCAAAATCGATTGCCTTCTTTGGCTGAGATCCTTGACACTGACTATTCTTTGCAACTGCATGCTGTTTAACAGCCTCAGGAGAGCGCAAATTAGACGGAGATATTGCCGTAGCCATGGAAAGATCCGACATTAGGATCTCGACGTCTACTCCGTCCGACGTTGATAGAATAGAAGAATTTGACTCCTTAACTTTGCTTTGCTCTTCACCGGCTTCTTTTACAGAATTCCCTCCCATACTCTGCCGACGACTCTCTGATCTGGCAATCTTTCTGGAAACTGATCTCTTGATGGAACTTCTTCTTGCCATCAGTGAGATTGAGTCGGAGCGTTTTAAAAGTGCTTCATGACGACTTTGAGATCTTGCCATAGCCCTTTGGTTGACACAAGCTGACACAGCCGAGAAGTTGCGATCGTCATCCCTGTACATGCCCCCTATGATGGGGAGCTGAGAACCTTGTTCGGGCTGGTTAGCTTTGGCAATACCGATATCGTCCATATCAACAGTAGGAGCTGGAACTTCTTTGTCTCCTGGTGTCTCATTTGCGAGGTCGACATGCTCATCTTCTGCGCCATCTGCAAAAAGAGTAGCAAGTTTGGGGATTCGGCTAGATGTCTTTCGCATCCCCACCTTTGCAACTGGTCTTGTGCTTTCAGGGACAACGGAGCTTTGCTCTTTCGCGTGTTCCTTACGGGTACTGAAGAGACCCATTCCGACGAACGGTGTACTTAAGAGCGGAAAACGGGAGAGCAACACAAAAAACAGGAAATGAAACGCCGACTCAATGCAATGAACTCAATGCAACGAAGAAGAGAGGGCGTCCTTGAACCGCACAGGGTTGCCTCGAATACCTTGGCGGAGATTGGGGTTAGCAAGAATATACTCTCACTTATTTCCGTTGCCGTAAAGTTTTACAACAAGTGTATATTCAACAGTGTCATGCGAGCGAAAACACTCGTCTCGGTTGAGAAGCATATCAAGTGAAGCCAATCGCTCATCTTCGTAATAAAGTAAAAAATTAGCGCAACTTCTTTCTCCGCCTCAGTCTATCTTGCTTCTGTATGAAGATGGAACTTCATGATTACGTGTCGTGCATATTGAAAAGACGAAGAAAGGAATGCCGTCACATCCGTTCAATAATCCGAACTCTCGTTTGGAAATCATGAGGCGTCTGGGAAAACAACCATTCCGCCAGCCTAGAGGGATATTCGAAGATATCATAAAATTACATGCTGAACTCTGTCGTTGGCAATATTATGAGACAGCTATTCCCCTGACTTCGCGGTAGCTGGGGCATGGCATAAACTCAGCGCAAGCAGAGTTCTGAACAATAGTATCGCTATCCGCAATATTCATGGTTCGAATTACTTATACTTGTGGTCATTTGTTACAAATGATGCTTAATCATTATCTCGCGGTTGGCGTAGAATAGCTGTGAGGGGACTTTCGGGCCGTTCAATTCTGGCAGGGGTGCTTCGGGATGATGAGATGCCTTCGACGTCCTCCGGCTCGGAATTTGCAGACCTTGCCTCAGACCCAGAGTCGCTGTCTCCACTTAAAGACCTCCGATTCTCATCCTTCGGGAATACATCCGCATTGCACAGGCAGCAGACCGCTCGTCCCTTTAGAAGCCAGGACCGCAAGCATTCCGAGTGGGTTGCATGATGGCATTCCAAACGGGTTACGGCTTGCAAGCAACCATCCTCCGGCTCAGAGTCGAGACATATACAACAAGACCATCCGCTCGCGACCATCTGACGCGCTTCTGTGTCTGAGACTTTGGCGTTATCAACCAGCGCAGAAATTCTTTCCCATGACCTTTCCAGGCGGGGTCTCGCAATACGAGTCGTCAACGTATATTCGTAGGGTGTATGCACTGTGCGGCGGAGCTCACTGTTTGTCCGTGTGGTGTCTTCTTGACCAGAACTGCTGCTGCTTCTCCTCCAAAGCCTACGAGCAAGCCTTGGCCAGAGTGTAGTCTCACAGTTAGGCCTGCAAATGCGGATAGCGCAAACGACAGCACAAAGGCCAAAGAAGCCAGCCATGATCTTCACGCCTTTCTTGGCTATTCTTGCATACCAGTGGGCGGTTACAGTTCCCTCGGAAAAGAAATGAACAGTATTGACTTTTTGGTCGACCCAACACTCATGTTTCGTTCCTTCTTTAAACTTTCCGTTTAACTCATCGCCATCTTCGCATCTGTAGTACTTCACACTACGATATACCCAACGTTTTTCTATCTGGGCCTCGGCATTGAAGGGTTGGTCCGACTCTTGCAAAGAAACGGTAACGTTGACTTTCACGAGGCATGTATCGTCGTCGCTGGACTGGCTTTCGAAAGGTGTGCTCGTTATCTCGCATTCACCTAAAACAAAGTCATTCACAGGTATCAACGAGACGATCACAGAAAGAATGAGAAGAGCTATCCATAATGCAGCCCAGCAGCTGGTCTTGGTGCTGAAATGTGGCATTCTGAGAAAGGGTATTCAGATGCAACTGCGGGGAAAAGTGATTTGCTGGTCTTGTTGACCTCTGATCATTTTCCGTGTTTAGCGAAAATGAGGCACTATTGAGCGCAGAGCGTGTGTGCGTACCGTGCTCCCTATCGACGCCGAGGAGGGTAATTCGCTTCCAATGCTGAAGCCCTGTTAATGCAATCCCCTTTGGACGGGGAAGAGCACTTGATGGCAAAGTGGCAAGGTGGAACGGAGCAGAAACTCTGATCAACTCAGGGGCCAGGAGCGAGCTGGAGAGGCGAGCTGTGCCACCCTATTCTGCACTAGCGAGGGCGTTTAAGGGCAGCGGAGAAGAACGGAAGTACAAAGCCACCACTTTACAAGGCCCGAAGATAAGCGGTGAGTAGTGTCCCTTTTGGTACGGTATGAAGGGCGCAACTGCGAGCTTGATTAGGCGTGTGAGAGGCAGTAAATATCTCATCTGACACACCCTCAGGGTGTGTCTTAACTTGCCCGGGTTTGCTTTGCTTGCCCGAGTTTGCCGGTCATTTATTAATTTATTAATGTAAGTACACGCCTTCCCCTTACGTTAGTAGTGGACAGGTGTCCCAGAGCGACGGTGCTGACTTACAGAGGCATACAGCGCCATAAATTGCCAGAACACAACGGGGAGGACACTGTGGGTTCTACAAATTCGCTCCGAGGACGCATCGACAGAGACGTGACATGCTGCAGCGTCAAACAACTTCGCCCGAGGGACGCGTCGACATGGACGCGAGACGCTGCAGCGTCGCTCGCTTCCGACCCAGAACGTGGCCATTGCGGGTGATCCCAGATCACCGGGATAAATAATTGATCTCACCCCCTACTTCTCTCCTTACTACTCCGCGGGATAGCGTATCTATCGCCGGCGCTGTTTGGTCAAAAAACGGATCTACAACCACTGCCCAGTATCGCCGTTCGCCTCCCCTCCTTTCTTCTCAATCTAATCACTCCTACGCAATGCACGGCAATAGAATCATCACTGCTACGACCGCACTAACCGCAACCGCAGCTCTATTCTCCCTCCTTTCATTTCACCAAGCTATTTCAAACTATCCTCGACCCCGAAAATTCACAAAGCCCTTAGATCTCCGACGGGGATGGACCTTTGTCAGAGCCAACAGAATTTTTAACGACAAAGAATTCAGTCGTACATACCGTATGGAGGGGGGATAATATTTGGTCAGAAACGCCCGCTGCAGACGAGGAAGCAATAGTGAGAGACTTTGCGTTGGTGGCCCCCGTCTTCCGAATGGTGGGAGTCGGAGAGATGCGCCAGAGGCGCGGAGAACGGCGCACGTGGCATTGAGGTGTGGAAGCCATTTTCAGGAAAGTAGTAGGCAGAGAGGTGCTTCGTAGAGTTGGGTTGCCTTTGCGAGATGGCAGGTGCATAGATTTTTGCAAAGGGGGAGTTGAGGATGTTTTCGGCAAGGGGCAAGCACTGCGTCCACCGGAGCACAGCGTCCAAATTCGAACGTTACAAACTTACAAAAGTAGCCAATATATGATTGACATTTGTCATTACACACTGACATAACTTGAGCTTGCAGTGTAGGGTCGTACTTAGTTTCAAATCATATATTAACGCCCAGTAGCCAATAGTAGTGCAAATCATGGCTCCGGGCAAGCAAACCCGGGCAAACTCGGGCAAGTTAAGACCCTCCCTCAGGGAGGGTCTGAAACCGATGAGCCCCTCATGTCCGAGGACATGATGAAACAGAAGATTCCTGCGAGCTGCTCATGGCAGGCAAACAACGGTCCCATTGGGGCAGGTCCCGTTTCCTTCAGCTTGTATGAAGCTTTCCGTAGTCCAATACGGTAAATTACGTCCAGTACCCTCGGTACACGTGTTCAATTCTGTAGATGCATCTGCCACTGGAGTTACAGAGGTAAAGTTTAACTCCACTGTTCCATACCGGGCAAGGCTTTTTCCGTGCCCCTCGCAACTCCCTGGGCCGGCAGCCCCCAGAAACCTTTTATGCAGCGGACCCCCGATAGCTGCATGCGGTCGGTAGACCCCTTTCGCACGCAGGTTGCGGCAGTACCATATGCATGTGCGGGGGGAAGATCAAGAATGACCATCCGTCGGATACATCATCTCAGAAATTTCATAGAAGGTTGGCTCTCTAGTAGAGCCAGCTAGCGTATGCTCACTATTGTGATTCAATCTGTACTGTATCTCTGAGATATTTTCGTGAATGCTTTTTCTGGTTCTTGACGTGCTGTACACTACACTGTACTGAACTGTTGTAATTACAGTATCAATGACACCGGACCACTCTGAGAGGGCCTCAACAATAGTCATTGAATAAAGCATACACAGAATGGGCCGCACAAAGTGCAGTGATTCGTCCACTGTAACTGCAGGGTAGCTGAGGGGCTGGTGAAAATGTAGTTAGCGAGGATTTGGGCATGGAGTTACTATCCTGTCTTGGTCCATTTCAATTCCGTGAGAAACACAAAGTCTGCCAGTAGAGTTGGAGTTGTGAGAATCCTGTGCCCCGTCTATAAAAGTGTTGTGCACGGGAGAGATGCACGATAGCGGATCAAGTTACTGTACGGTTTTGAGAAGCTCGGACATCCCGTACGGATTCTGGGTGAAGCGCGAAGGGTCTACGGGTGGTACTCTCGCTGTGACGAGGACAGGAGAAGGTCAGGGGGCGAATAGGAGATTCAGCACAAGTGTTGGGCTTGTCTGCCGCTGTCTTTTCTTCGCATGCTACCTTCGCTTACATGCATTTGGTCGCTCCTACTCGCTTCGTATATATCCATCGCTAGCTTAATCGGGCCGTGTCGATATCGGTTGCCTCTGCACGCCTGCAGACCCTTGTCACCTCCTCCTCGCGTTCGCCCTTGCGCGATGGGGTTCCGACCATTCGCCATGGTCGTGCTTGACCTATGCCGTGTCCACCTTCGCAGTTTTGCTGATGGCTGACCCTTCGCTCCATATTGACCTGCACATGTCCGCCCTTATTAGTCGTCGCATATCCGCGATGAGTACCGGCGGGATATCCATGGCCAAATTGGCACTGAAAAAGCCATTTTGCCTTGTGCATTCCACAACGGTAGAGGAGGCGCATGCATACTACACATCATATATGGTCCTCCATGAAATCACCAACGACTTTTTGGATGATGTACAGACTACGAGGCAGACTCTTGTGGCAGAAAACCCTGCTGTTGGGAGTGGACAACACTAGAGTTTTCGCTAATACACAACACGTTCTAGAACGGTGCTGCTCTAAATACCCGGTCTCATATTCTGGTGAACTCTATCGACACTGCTATTATACATGTTCATGTAACATGACAATAGAACTGTCCGATCTCGGAGAGCTGCCCACTTCTGCATACTGTACTGGTATAAAGGGCCAACAAAATGGGCAGAAGAGTGCTATCATTCAGGCTCTTAGAACGAGGAACTGACTGTGATTATAGGTACCTGATTGTGTTTACCATGTTCATGCTCATGAACAGTATGTTTCAAACGTGTTCAACCGATATCTCCACTTGCTCTACTCAGTACGATATGCTACTGAACAAGTTTGGAGGTCAGCGCGGGCGAACAAAGCAAGTCAGAAACACCGAAGCTTTCAATTCTAATCTTGCGATGCATAACCTTTGTACACATTGATGGCAAATTGAGATCCCACACTTCGTGCTGTTCAACATAACAACATCATCGCGTTCCACATTCCGCATACAACCACATGGAGCTCATTTCTGAACTGCCAGTAATGGAGCACTCAAAAGTAATAAGCTCTATGGATGACTATCTTCCCCTAGCATTTTTTCTCTGCTCGTTGCGTTCTCAGCTGCCCAGAGGCCTTTTATGTTCAGGGCCGCTTCTACCGGAGAAAAGTTCTCACTTCTGAGAGTTACAGTACCAAGGGTACTGGCAAATCTCCTTTCCAAAAAGGCAACTAATCTGCCAAATTTCGTTGTGGACCAATAGAAAGAAACAAAAAATTAGAATGGATGAACTGGGATCTAACTCGATACGGCTGAGATCACACCCGCATAAAGTAAAATTTATCCGGTAACGAATAATCTCAACACCTCCTTTCCGTACGTTTTTCGCTGAGACTACGGCTTCTTGTCATCATCGACTTGATCACAGAACAGTTTCACCTACATTTGAGCGTTTCAGGGTTGTGTGAAGGTTCTTCGTATTCCTTTTCGCCCACTACCGATCAGGTACTCACTGGTGGCCTTTGCACAATGACCTTGGCGTTCTTCCAGGGAGCGCCTCTCGGCAGAGTTGCGACCCATCGAGCGACTTTTCGCCGCAAAGACGCATTGAGCAGGAGAACGCCTCCAATCGCAACGCCTATCCAGATGAAAAAAAGGGATGGCTCATTGCCAGGGGTAAGTTCGTCACACATTAAAAGGCGCACTAGTTTGTTTGTTTATGTCTAACGAGAATTTTCTTGATGTATTTGCTTCGGCGGGTCGTAATTTGTTTGTAGAACCCAAATGCGAAGACCCACACAGTTACAGTACACGATCCTAAGAATGATCGAGTTTTAAAATATCAAGTTCCGGAGGATCGGTATGTTTGGCATGGCATGTCGGATCAGGACGCTGATATTCCTTCCTCATGTCTAAATGGGTGTTGTACCACTTGCGCGGTGAAAATAACTTCAGGGGAAGTCGACCAAAGTGAGGCATTGGGCTTGCTCAAGGAAATGCGCGACCAGGACTACGCGCTTCTTTGTGTAAGCTATCCGAAAAGTGATATTGAATGCGTTCTGCAAGACGAGGACGAGGTGTATGTCAAACAATTCGGTTCCTCATTTGAGTCGGGTGGAGTAGAATGGGGCGGGGTCGTCCCAGAGGACGACTGATATCGACGCTTGACTACAGGAGCGGCGGGATGCGTGCTCACGTACAGTGAGATACTCAAGAGGTGCAGCGGGCATCGCAATGTAAGAACGTCTGCATTGTTGACCTTTGGCCGTCAGAGGCGTAGGGTAGTAAGGTATTTACGGTACGTTAGAAACAATATGTAAACAGCTTAGACAAGCCCTTCTTGTCCTTTTGTGAAGTAATCCGGATCAAAATCATGTAATCTCACGAAGCCGTCCTCTCCTCCTGACACATACTGTTTGCCGTCAGGAGAGAAAGCTACCGTATTGATAGGCCCGAAATGACCCTTGACGCGTCCGAGCTCCTCTTCATAGACCAAATGGAAGATTTTTCCCTCGAACTTGCCTTGGCGATCACCGGTTGTAGTTACTTGGCTTGCCTCCTGGCCACCACCAAGTAAAATATGAGAAAATATGGGCGACACAGCTGCCGAGTTAACCGGATGATCTACGGTGTATGTACGAAGCAAACTAAAGTCGTGGAAACTCCATAACTTCGCCGTGTGATCCTTTGATGCTGTAATCACCATTGCGTAGTCTGCGCTGAACTGACAATCCTTGATATCGTTCTTGTGAGCTGTAACGCATTGGATTTCCTCCCCAGCTTCAACATCCCATTTTCGAATCGTTTTATCTTCTGACGCAGTCAAGAGGATTTCTGCCGAAGCGTGCCAGAGCACTCTGGTAATCGTACCTTCATGCCCTTCTAGAACCTTGACCGGCTCCTCAGTTTGCTCGTTGGAGCTCTTGTTATGGGCAAATATAAATACGTTGGATGCCTGTCCCATGAGTTTCGCAGTTGCAATTGCGATGTAGGCATCACCCGGGCTGAAGGCAACAGAGCGGACAGGTGACTTGAAGTGCCACTGATGGAGTTTTTCCCCGGTCTCCGCATTCCAAAGAATTGCAGAGTTGTCCGCAGAGCCGGTTATGACCCTAGTTGTGTCCCATGTCACAGAAATGTCGCGCACAGCACCATTGTGGCCTTTGTAAGTACCAATGCGTTCGCCGTTCGAGGAGCGCCAAACACTAGGTGACTTATCCATCGCTGTTGTGAACAAAAGATCTCCTTCTCTGTTGAACTTGGCTCGCGTTAACGGCCTTTCATGACCTTTGAGAAGGAGAGGGCGCATTGCGAAAAGTCCTTGCCGTTACAGATATATCCCGCACAGGATCGAGCGGGGCCCTAGTCTGATTTCGTTTCTCCGTCCGACTTCTTCAAAATCCGGATACAGTATAATACCGTCGACAATGTGTGCGAAAAGATGGGAATTACGAAAGACGACGAAGAGTTTGGTTGACTATGACTGTGCTGGTGGCAGGCGCGGACGAAGAGTTCAATAGAGGCCGATCGTCGACGTCCCCAAAAAAATCATACCGAGGGAGGGCACGACTAATTACAGTATCCTGCCCACTGTGTGCTGTAAGTATTCGCCGCATGGATCAAGAAAATCGAAGCTCCCCATCTGCACCCATCCCATCCATGCCATAGACGCTCTGACCATCCAGTAGAGATGGTGTAGAGATGGTGATTAGTATCGCCACGGAGCTTAAAGAGAATAAGCATCTTGTGGAGAAGTCTTATTCCTGAGAGGCTAGCCAGGAAACAAACTCAACTAATGGCAAGGCGCGAATATGCCCATGCTGCTGCAGCTTAACGGTCGTAAATGCAGGCCAGCAACAGACGTGCTCCATCCCGCATGCTAAGGGGAATCAATGAGCACGAGTGGACGAATCTCTGTAGATGAATTTGGAAGCGCATTTTGCTGGGAACATTATAAACACAGGCGCTGATGTGAGAGAGTCGGGAACTAGCGAAACCACAAGCACAGCTTAGCTTTATTTGCTGTTGACACTGAGGGGTGCCCTATATACGAAGGTCCCCGTGACCGGAACTTGTCCTCAAAACGGAGCAACTATATCTTCTCGACGGAGCTTCAAACCTAGTTTCTAAAAGATTCAGCTTCTTCACATGATCTAACAAATTGCGAGTGTCAGGTCTCCGGGTTTGTTATGCCATATTTTCACATGTCGTCCCGGCAATGTTGTGTTTGATCGTCTCGAGCATTGCAGAGAAACGTCTTGTGTCAGTCCCGAAAAGGAGTCTTAAATGTTCTGTAATCAGCGGGAGCCAGCGTGATAGATCGGCGAATCTACCCCTTCAATAAAAAGAACACATATTCTCTTCCTCCAACAGAAAACGATAAGAGGACAAACGAACAGACACAAGTCACTGAAACATTCTCCAAGGTGATCATCTGCATCAACCCCGATGATGGGCTTCGACAATCTAACAGTCCACGAAAAAGCGGTGCTGCTTCGCCACATGATGAAGTCAGCTAAGCCAAGGAAATGAAGCCTAAACAGGAGTGACACGATTCAGCTCCATGCGCACGCTGTCGTGTACGATGTATGAGTACGTGCGCGAACCTCTCTGCTTCTTCTTGCCCTTCTCGCCGGGCGGGGGTTTCTGGCGAGAAACCTGTGTTTCGTGGCGGCGATGGTGAGCTGAAGGTTGCCCGCGCGATTGATCACGTGCAGCTGGCTGTGATGAGGAGATTTCAGACGCGCTTAGAGTAGGCTGCTGCGCATGCACGTCGGTTTGCGTGTCCGTTGCAAGCAGTTCGCCGTCTGCGTTCATACGATGGGGAGTGCCTGGAACACGGCGAATCTCCGTCTGATTAGTGCGGGTGTGGTTCGTCACCGACTCATTACAGAGAGGGCATCGATGCTGCGAAATAAACCAGTCCAAAATGCACTTGGAGTGAAAGACGTGGTTGACGTTGCACGGGAGTTTGCGGACGAGGTCTTTGCCATGGAACTCCTCAAGACATATAGCGCACGACACCTGGTGCGGGCACTGGGGGGCGATGAGATGCAGCGGGGGTATCTGCATAGCCGAATGACCAAAATCTGAGTCACCGTTTTCGGGAGGGACTTGCCGATCAGCGACAGGGGTTTTTTGATCCTTGCGGCACTCGCGACACTTGTAATGTACAGCGGGGCATTGATTATCCAGGGCGATGGCCTTATCACGGAAGATGCGTAGCAAGCCCGGGTAAATGTAGATCGGCTTCGGGGGGCTCTCTCGCGGGGTACTTGGGGGGTGCGGGCGATAGCGATGGAGGAAGGAAGAGAAACTGCCGTCCTCGGGGACGGAGGAGCGATCTTGGTCGGAAGAGGGGACAGTGGCAAGGTTGGAATGGCGGCGGCGGCTGGAGTGACGGAAACGGCTGCGCGTGAAGAGGCTGTGCAGATTAGTTCGCGCACGGCGGCGAACGGTTGTATCGAGGGTCGGGGAATCTTCAGTTGACATCGGGGAAGGGGGGGAAGGGGGGGAAGGGGAAGGAGGGATCGAGGGATATAGACAGGCAATGGTGCCTATGGCCCGTTGTGCAAGGAATGGGGTGATCCTTGAAGGGAGGGGAAGGGGGGGGGGGGTGAGGGACGTTTGTACGGAGAAGAGGGGGCGAGGGGCTAGAGAGATGAATAGCGAAGCGTGCGGATGGCGGGATGTCTAAATATGCCGCCGGGGTCTCCAAGGAGAAGCGGGGGGTGCGCAAGGTGGGCTGGTAGGAGTTGTTTGTGAGTAAAAAGGGTGGGAGGTGATGAATGTGGGTTGAGGGGTGTGGGTTAGGGAGAGCGGCGAAAAGGACTTGTTACGGCCCCCAAATATATTTGTTTTTTTGGAGGTGGGTGAACGTGGCGAATCATTCGACGCCGGGGCTGTCTGCCTGGCGAGGCCTCTGAGACACCCAAAAACGGCCTTCTCGGTGATACGTGTTGCGTCGGCCCTCTTTCGGAGTCGAACTTATCCCCCGCTCACACGTTACAGAGATAACAACCTTGGCAATATTTCGTGCCATTCTCTTCCCGCCACTTCACGCCCCTTTCTCGTGGCATGGCACACCCCATCAATCCGAAAACGGAGTCATTCCCTTGGGATTGCATCTGTTGGGACGCCGGTTCTATCTCCCTGGATCTCACCTGAACCCTTCACCATATCTATGATTCTTGGACAGAGAAACCATGCTTTTCGGTAATTTTCTCGCATCTACATAAAGTAATTTGATACCTGGAATGGCCCCAAATCCCTGAATGTGCCCTTTGTAAACTACGTTTCCCATTTTGACCATTCAGATTGATCTACTATCCACGGTAGTTTCCTTTCCACTGTAAGCTCCTCCTATTCCAAGTCACTGTATGGCTTTTGCACGCCCCCTCATCGTGCCCTTCAACCTGCTCTCGGGTGGAAAGCTTCCACGCGATCGTATTTACAGCCGGAAGAGACCTTTCCAATTCAAGCATAGAAGTCTCTTGGCTGACTTCTGAACATCACCAGGATAACAATTCCGCCCGTCCGCCACGTCCGCAATGTTTGGAAATCCACTCTGTGGATAGATGCGCAAAATTGAATGCTGCGCTGCTTTCCAATGTTCTTTCTCAAACGTCAATAATGGGTCTTTCTCTATGTTGGACACAGTCATGACGTACAGAAACAGCTCCTTTCATAAAAGAACGGAGAGCACTCATGAACGTGTTTTTGAGCACGTTTCCAAACCCTCCTGCGCTCACCCGTTTTCCCTTCTCGCGAATGCAACATAGGAGAGTAAACCAGTAAGTGCCAAGTATAATACTGCAAACCACAGCACATAGTTTTCCAGAGGCGCTTGGTAGCCTGTTCAGCCACATGATCTCTTTAGAATCGTGCTTAACGAAGTCTGGTAGACTCAATACATACATGGCTGTCCAGAGTCGCCGAGCCCCTTACCTACTGTGGAAAGTATTGAAACTAGCCCTTTTATCACCTTTACAACTTGTTCAGGGAGAAGTGCAACTGTGCTTCTGTGCTAGCATTCGATATGTGCCTGGCCCACAGAATACCATACCCCCGATCCCCGATGTGAACTCCAGTCTCATATTTATCCAATAAACCATCTTACAAAAACGATGTAAGCAGGCCATCGATGCCCCTCTGATGCTGCAGCGTAGATTATTTTAGCTTTTCTCTTTGTACTGAAAAAAAAGAGAACAGATTCGACTACAATCCGTTCTCCGCCTCTCGTTTCCTAAGAGTTTATGTGTCTTTCATAGCGACTGGGATGCAGTAAACTTCTTTTTGTCATTTTTATACCTGCAAGGGTCTTGATATTTGTTGAATTGCCAGACGCCGTCTTCCCATGTCTGTCCAGTGGTTGAGGATAGAAAGCAGGGGAGATGTGGATCAAAGGGGGAAAACCAGTGAAAAACTTATGATAATGTTTTCGAAAAATATAATAATTTACCTCGTTGCAGCATCTCCGCATGCCTCTTTGCGGTCTCGTTAACTGAGGTCGTCTTCATAGTTGGGATCAGAGATTGAAAATCAATTGGTCCATATGTGAGGTTAGCCCTAACCTACGCGAAAGCCCCGACTGGTCAAGTCTTATCCACGACAGAAACGGCAAGCCCAAAGAGTCTTGTCGGTTCAGCATGGCAGCATTTTCTTTATGGTCGACAGCGCCATTTCCAGCTGATTTCCGAGACCGGACGTGGATCACAAAATACGGGGCTTGCAGCCTGCACAGATCTCGAGGAATCCTCCCTGTGCCGCGATATCAGCCCAAGGCATCTACGATGGAGGTCTTTATGCGCACACCAAAGCAAGGGCATTGGCGTTCGAGTGACCACAGCGGAAAGAAAGGCTCAAATGGTTCACATCCCAGTTCAGAACGTCCTCGGAAGCGCGACGCAGAAACTGCGAAAGTGCGACTGCTTAAAGTCTTAAGCTCCCTCATTAACCTTGATTCTCAACACGGAAAAGTGGAGCAGCTCATTTTGGAGCTTGAGAGTCTCAACGCCAAACCTGTCACTGACACGTTCACCGAGATGGCGCTTGCAGGTGAATGGAAACTTATTTTCTCATCAATGACGACAAAGACGGACGGGAGTATTCGAATACGGAAAATAGGACAAAAGATTGATCCGGAGAAGAAGAAATTAATTAATGAGGTTTTGTGGAGTTTCCCTTCTGTGGACGGCACGGGCAACATCGATGCTTATCTATGGGCCGAGTGTGACTACAAATTTGTTGCCCCGGGGCGGTTACAAGTAGAGACTCCTTCGCACTCAGTGAAGATTGTAGAAACGGAAGACGGTAAGAAGCAAACATTACCAGATGACATGCAGAAGGTGATTACTGCTTTGCGAAGTGCGTTGCCGATTGACTTCTTCGAACCGCAAGGCCTCCTCGACGTCAGCTATATTGAACCGAACTTCCGTCTCGGCCGGTTCGTGGGCAAAAGACTTGCTGGTGTGCGAAACGTTTTTGTTAGAGAGGGTACTGATGGGTAAACTACAGACCAAGTGGTGAAGAAAATACAGTACCAAACGAGTGGGCCTTGATATAAGCTTCTTTCGAAGTCTGAAAATCGCTCTACTTGACTACGTCGACAGAACATTATTCCTGGAATGATCACGATCTCCTAAGTGGTTTTAACTGAAACCTACGCTCTCTACCTGCAGTTGCGAATTGAAATGACTCTTGTTGAGAAGCGTATAGTTTTCTCTTCTTCACATGCAAAACTGAGAACTCTACAATCTTGACGATAGCTGCGGTTTGTTGATCTCGTACACAGCTGCTGCCCCCATTCCCGAACCGATACACATTGAGACTACTCCAAAGCGACCTTGACGCCGATGCAGCTCGTGAATAATGGAGACAGTCAGCCGAGCGCCTGTCATCCCCAATGGATGACCAATCGCGATTGCTCCGCCGTTAACGTTGACAATGTCCCGATTGAGGCCCAGTTTCTCAATGCAGTACTCTGCTTGAGATCCGAAGGCTTCGTTAATTTCAAATAGGTCAACATCATCCGTGGTGATGCCTGCCTTCTCGAGCGCTAATGGTATCGCGGCTGCGGGTCCGATACCCATAATTGCAGGGTCCACTCCAGTTACAGCATATGATCGAAGCCTAGCAAGGGGCTCGAGGCCGCGCGCTTCCGCTTCTGATCTCTTCATTAGCATCACTAATGCAGCTCCATCGCTGAGCTGCGAAGAATTCCCTGGAGTGGTGCTACCTCCTTTGCGAAAGACGGCCGGAAGTTTGGCAAGGCGCGCTATCGTTACCCCAAGCCTTACACCCTCATCAGAATCAACGACGATATCTTTCACACCAGTTGCCTTCTTGGTCTCCCTGTCAATGACCGTCACCCTCGTCTTCACCGGGACAATCTCACTCTTCTGCCTCCCGGCGAGCTTCGCAACAGACGCCTTAGCGTGACTGGACACTGCAATTTTGTCTTGCTTTTCTCGAGAGACTCCAAACTTTTCAGCAACGTTCTCTGATGTCTCACCCATCTGGAAATAGCAGCTTGAAGCTTCTTTGAGAGTTCTCACCTGTGGATTCGGACGAAGTTCTTTGTTCTGCATCGAAGCCATACTCATGCTCTCCATACCCCCCGCGATGACGATTTTTTGATACCCAGCCTGAATGGCAGCAGCTCCATCGGCGATAGCCTGAAGCCCAGAAGAGCAAAGACGGTTGACAGTGCGAACAGGGACAGTAGTTGGCAAACCAGAGAGTAGCCCGGCAACACGTAGTTGGACCACACCTGTATCTCCTCTCTGAAGGACGTTTCCGGCGACAAGGTCACCAACTTCCTCGACGTTCACATCAGTATCTTCTAAAACTCTTTTGAGAACTGGAATCATTAAGTTGTCAGGTAAGGTATCCTTGAAACCGCCGCGTCCTGCGCGTCCAACAGCCGTTCTGAAAGCCGAAACGATGACGACGTCACCGTGCTCTCCGGTCGAAAGTGGTGGACGTACAATTTCTCCAACAGCCTTGTTGCGCGCTGCTGAGCGGATGAGGCTCTGCGAAGGTTTGAACAGTGGAAACCCATTGGACATCTTGAGAAAGCGTTCAAGCTCTTGTAAGACACCGACGGCTCCCCCAAATGTCTTCTCAGCCCAGTACATCAGTCCGCCACGGAAGGCAGGGAATGCCATTCCCATAACAGAGCAAACATCCAAGTCTACGGAGCTCATAGCCACACCTTCTTCAAGAATACGGTACCCTTCGTTGACGCATGATAGGTGAATCATGTTGACGATGTCACTATCCGACAGGTCTGCTACAACTGCTCGAAGCTTTTCAGCTTCAGGTCCAGAGTGTACCTTGGCGCGAGCACGCTCGAGGAAAGGTGCAATCCCATCTGGGTCAGGCACTGCTTTCCTGGATTCACTGCTGTAGCGATAGAAACCCACACCGGACTTCTGTCCTTTCCGACCTGCTCCAAGCATCTCTGCGATGACCGGGTTTGTTTCCACCGTTCTGTCCGCAAATGCAGCGGAAAAAACTGAGCCGACGGCAACACTTATGTCCAAACCTACAAGATCAGAAAGACGGAACGGGCCCATCGGTAATCCAAAGGCCTCACAAACTCTATCGACTTTGTAGGGATCCAGACCCAGCTCTATCAAGAGGAATCCCGCCACCATGCTCTGAGGGAAATAGAGTCTATTCACTGCAAATCCCGCGCAGTTTCCTACCACAACCGGTGTTTTCTTAATCTTCTTTCCGAGAGCGAGAACGTCTTTGATTGTTTTGGCACTAGTAGATTCAGTCCGAACAACTTCAAGCAATGGCAGCCTATGAGCGGGAGCAAAGAAATGTACTCCTATAATTCTTCCCTCTTTGTGGGCAATAGGAGCCCCCATTCCGATTAAATCCAAGTTAATCGTGGATGTATTCGTAGCTAAAATGCAGTCTGGGCGACAAGTGGACTCCAGTGCTGCAAAGATTTCCTGTTTCAGGCTTGGGTTTTCAAGAGCTGCTTCGATCACGATGTCAACATCGCGAAGGTCATCGTATTCAGTTGTAACAGATAGCATTTGCATTTTGGAAGCTCCCTTAATGCCAAGATTTCTCTCCACTCTCTTTCGAGCACTTGCTGCGAACTTCTCGTTAAGCTCCTTGATCACGACTGGGATATTTGCGGACAAGATAGCTGTTGCAATCCCAGCCCCCATGAGTCCACCGCCGATAATGCTAACTTTCTTAGGTACTCTCCCTTTCTCATTGGCACAGGGATCATTTTGCAGTTTAACCTTTGAAGTCTGCCTAGAACCGAAGAACATGTGCACCGTTCCTTGAGATTCTGGTGAAGTTACTAACTTGAGAAATACTCGAGCCTCTTCTTTGAGGCCTTTTCTTCCACCATGCTGAACGCCGTACAGCGATACATCAATGAGGTCCGAAAACTGTTTCATATGTCCGCCACGGGAGAGCCTTGGAACCATATCGCGCTTCAGCTTCGCAGCTATGGCGTGACACTCTTGCAGGCTTCCAATCTTGTCAGTCCTGTCAATCGCTTTCTCTGCGCGTGGGATTTTCCCATCTGCAAGCTTCTGGGCGTAGTTGACCGCAGCCTCAAGAACATCCGAAGAGACAACTGCATCGACTAGACCGGCGTCGCAGGCAGCGTGGGCTGGCAAGACCGAAGAATTCAGCATCATGGGAATGGCCTTCTCGAAGCCAACAAGCCTCGGAAGCCGCTGGGTACCGCCTAGACCTGGAATGATGCCCAGCTTGAGTTCTGGCAATGAGAAGGAGCTCTTCTCCGATGCAACTCGCGCTGAGCAGCACAGAGCAAACTCGAGTGCACCCCCAAAACAAACTCCATCAACCGCCGCAACTACGGGGATAGGGGATTCTTCCGCACCAGAATAAAACCATGACCCTTCTGCTGAGAAAACTTCTTGTCCTGAGGCGAAGCCAGCGAACTGGGAAACGTCAGCACCAGATGAAAAGAAACCTGGAGATCCAGCCCCGTGCACGACAACCGCGCGAACCGACGAATCCGCGAGAACAGACTTGAGAGCAGTCGAAATTTCCTTTTGCAAGGTTGAAGATAACGCGTTCACGGGTGGGTTTGCAAAGGATAGAATCGCTATTCCTCCCTGACGCTTGTCCATATCAACTCGCGGGCGACTCATAGTTGGTACTGTCGAATGGGTGCGAGGGAAAACGTAGAATACGGCAGTGGTTGGTGACGTCTGTAGTCTACAGAAGCCTTCGGCCGGTCCCTGTCTATAAGTGCCTTCGTCGTGTTGAGCTAGCTTGCACGAACCGAAGCTCCAGGGGTCTGCTTTGTCCACAATCTCTTGTTCAATCCTTTCGTCAGAGAAAAATTGTGGAATCTTAGGGTGAGATAAAATCTGATTTCCGGTTGGGAGTTCGGGTACACAGGTGACTGGACGTTTCCCCCTCCTGGGACTCGTCAAGGGGTGCAGACTGGTTCAGCTCCACTGATTCGGCCTTGTGCAGTGTGATACTGTAGGTACTACTGCGGGGCCAACAATGTGATTCTTTATTTGGCCAAGAATGCAAAAATTCAGACCTTGTCCATTCAACACGTCAGTCAAGTGACCCTTCGATATCGATTGGTTGCTCGTGTGAGTATGAGTCGCCTTCAACGTCCTTACCTTGTCAGGGACATCTACGGCATAAAAAAAAAAAAAAAAAACCCACGAGACTTGCCACAGTCACCCAGCTTACCTATCGATCGAAGGTCTTCTTGGTCTATGGCGATGGAGGGCGGCGACCATTTGCAGCAGTCTTTACATATGCTGCAGATGAAATGATGACTGGGTTTTCAATGGAAAAGCGTGCCCAAGTGGTTCGTGCAAATACGAGTCTCAAAGGAAGTCCGCCCTACTCGATGTGACACACAAAGTCTAGGACGTCTCCTTAAGTACACGGAGTTTGCTTTTGCGGGATAAAAAACATCACAAGGAGAAGGACATCTGCACAAATTTAAAGAAACACCGGTATGTTGTCCATCCAAATCCCCTGGACGTACACACGCGATTTGTCTCGCGCATGTTTGCTCCATTGCTCTCGCGTTGTCATCGCCTTGATTAAAATCTAGTCGCCTCCCCCGATGGCAGATAGGCTGCTTGTCAACCTGTTTAACCCTTCTGTTGGCCCAAAAAGAGATATATGTTCCCCCCAGAAGCCTCATGGAATAAGAGCTAAAACGATAGTCTGGCTACGTGTTAGGCCTGGGAAGTTAAAAAGGCTTACTGCATAAAGATATGTTGTCTGATCAAGTCAAAAATGAATCCATTCAGTACCAAAACGAACAGGCTCTTGCCTCTTACCCCATTTCCTTAAATACGTTCTCAGATGCGTGCATCCTGAGGCTCCTGAGTTGCAGCCAAATAGCTTTGTCAACTGCGCTGTAGGGGAAAGATACCACCAAAATCTACGCAGACCTGCCCGCCGAAATGTACATAACATTATTTCCGCGAATGAAGGCGTCTCCAAAATTGTTCTTCAATTCGCCGTTTTCGTACTCTTCCGTCTGTTCCAGGGCGATGTTCATGTAGCCATCGAGGCAGGTAAGAATACCACGATACTCGGTAGCAGTGTTGAGTTTGACAACAACCGGTCTTCCTAGCACAGCCTTCAAGAAGTCTGACGGTGTACTTCCACGGCTTTGGTTTCCCGATGTCGAAGGACCGCGCTCATCGCCTGCCTGAGATTTGGTAGTCGCCATGGCTAGGAAAGCTTCTTGAGCGCAAACCCTTTTGATTAAGAAGCCAAGCTTCCCCTGCCTGATAGTCCTCTCCGCTATGGGAACGTGGGGGAGGTTGCAATGATGCGGAGAAGCTGTATCAATTGCAATGCAGACACGGTTCTCGCTGGTTTTGGAGGAGACCACATGTGTGCAATTCTTGCCGCAGAAGGACACGTTGAACAAATGTACGATCTGGATGTATTAAGGACGACTTTTTTGACTAAAACGAATCTGAACTTTTTCTTTGTACCATGATTGGGCACAGTAGCCCTCTCATAACCCATGTTTGCGGGCTGCAAAAGCAGAAACCCGCCTCCTTGGAAAAAGTTCCCTTCGCATCACCTCGACCACCCACAACACCTGCAAGGTACTCATCAGATCGCACATTGCCCGACAATCAGCTATTTTGCGCCGCATTCTGTGTTTATCTTCACAGTCTTGGAGACCATATCCATCAAAGTGACAAAGAAGATAGCCGTGCGAACTGGACAGAATGAATGTGATGATGAATATCCGGAGGGTTGCTACCGCGCTTTCAAGACGACCATCTCCTAATGCGTTCCGCACTTTATGTGCTCAACCAAGTGATGCTCAATCCAACCCCCTGAGCAGTCCCATGCTGGATCAACAAAAGTCATTTATGGCATCTATCGTTGAGATGCTTCCCAACTCCGTTACAGCTGCGCGTATCCAGAGTGGAAATTCGCCGATGGGTGCTGAGATGGTTCTAGAGGTTCCAAATGATATGACTATCCGCGTTTTGCGCTTCCTAAAGTTGCACTCCTCTTCTCAGTTCAAAGGGTTCATTCAAGCAACCGCTGTGGACTATCCCGAGCGCAAAGACCGCTTCCGTGTCGTCTATAGCTTGCTCTCTACACGATTCAACGCCCGCATCCGCGTTCAAACTTATGTGGATGAAATCACTCCACTCGAGTCCGCGACGAAGATCTTCAAGGGCGCCGATTGGTTCGAGCGCGAGGTTTGGGACATGTACGGCGTGTTCTTCCATAGTCATCCGGACATGCGAAGAATTTTGACAGATTACGGCTTTGAGGGTCACCCGCAGCGAAAAGACTTTCCACTATCAGGATACGTGGAGGTGCGATATGACGACACCGAGAAGCGAGTGGTCCAAGAACCCGTCGAGATTGCGCAGGAGTACCGCAGTTTTGAATACTCTACACCTTGGGAGGTATTCCCGGAGGGCACCAGACCGAAAGATGCTCTCCAGATAGAAGAGCCCGAAAAAACGCCATCCTAAACAAACAGACTTAGTGAGTTGGAACGTTTGTCCTAGTTTAATACACTGCGCATGTCTTCGCACCCATTCCTCCCTGTTCTAGCCCCCGAATCAGCGACGATGGTTTTACAGCCCTTCTACGCTATCGAATCTTCCGCAAGTCCTCGGAGCATCACCTTTACACGAAGCTCAGCCCCGTTTCCAATGGAGAACTTTCCTTCTATTGTCTTGTCTTGCACAGATATCAAATCATCTGGCCGAAAAGTCAATCGACCCAAAGTCTTCTTACGCTCAACCACATGGATTGCAATACTTGTTTCTGAAGTATCATCGCAAAGGACATCATAATGAAAATTCCATTCAGGGTTTGTCGGGTCAATCCCGTGAAGCGGTTCTGATGGTTTTGTAATCTCCGGGGTTTCAAACAGTAATTTAGTTCCCACCCAAACTTTGCAGGCGACCTCCTTTGTTTCTGGTGGTAGATTAGTTGCTCGATTGATTAAAATCGATAGTAAGCAGTATCCTCGTACTGGCAGCTTCGGATCCTGCAACTTATACAGTTGCGCACCAACAAAAATTTCGCCATGCTTCGCAATTCGGTCATCAGTGTCGCCAAGAGGGACCCATTTTGGACCCGTCGTAAGAAGTTCTTTCGCTGTTAATGACAGGGATCCTACCAAGTCATCCCGTGTCACAGTATCTTTGTCGTAGCACTTCAACTCGAAAGGCTGTTCATAGTCCGACAAAATAAACAGTTTCAACGAGTTCCACTCAGGAGATAAATTGTTCATTCTCACATCTGTTTTCATATCTTCAAGCCCAAACGTCGCTTTGCAGTACAGGTCTGGCACCTGCTTGATCATTCCCAGCTTCTTTTCAATCGTGAAACCTCTCCCCTTTTCTATAACGATGGCAATTACGCCAGCTGGAGGATAATACACATCAAAGTAGTCAATGGTGTCAGAGAGTTTGTATATAAAACGATTTGGAAGGACTAGCATCGAGGCAATGACGTTTCTTAGGACTTTTCGAACAATCTTTTCAACAGGACCGAAATCAGCGAAATCAGCTACGCCCGTGAAATCCATGTCGACCTCTGGATGCGTAATCATTGCTGCTTGGACAGCTCCAACTAGCGGCAGAGTGGGAATAAGCGGTCGCAGCAGAACGCTTAATCTCCCCCTCCACTTCAGTTCCTTGACCCCAAACGGCGCGTGGAACGGAGCGCACTTCATTGACATATTTGGTGATCCGATGAAGGAGACGTCAAGGTCAAGTGCAATTGAGTTCTTATATCGCCGGTGCACCGTCACTCTGTCAACCCTCAAAGGGTCTTTGCCAAGACTTGCGCTCATAAACTTGAACTTCGAAAATGGTTTCGGCAAATAAAGATTAATCAACGGCTCGATTGTCGGAGCGAGGTGAGACTCAACGATCTTTCCGATATGTGGCCAACAGATACGAGTGATCTCATTGCACCAGTCGAGACTCTCCACAGTACGGGCAATCTCGTCTCTAGGCGAGAGGGTGGTGGTTACCGGCACTTGCACTGGTTTGATTTTTGGAAGGGCCGCCCTGTGTGGATGTCTTGTCGCTTCATGGACATGGTTTTGCGCGTAAAGAACCCGGTACGAATAATAGGCAAGGACCACCAGAATCAACAACCAAATCATCGCACTTGAATGCGAGTTGACTTGCACAGAGAGACTACAGCGATATGCAAAAGACAAGTTCTTTCACTCCTTCATATACCGTAGAGCTTTGTCCTCCCCGTCAATCATTCTATCGCCAAATATTTCAATATCTTCGCCTTGGCTGGCAAGATGTCGAGTCGTATGAAATTTTCAGTACAAGATGGATACTGCAATGCGTAGTATGACGGAGCAGAACCTGCCTTGCAAGGAAAAGCCCACTTGCCACAAATTTAAGTCTCTGTGAGGCTCCAACGCGCAGTGAGATGTGATGAGGAGATGTCGCTATCCTGCGGATGTGCAACGGAGAGGTGTTAGGATGCCCAACTGCGGCGATTCGACTGCATCTTTCGCCAATTCAGCATGCGAGTCCAGCAGTACTTAAAACAACGTCACTCATGGGCCTTCCAGGCTGACGCATGTTTACTGGACAGTACACGTACTGCGGAACAAATCATCCCACTGTAAGGGGACCTTACAGTGGGATGATTTGTTCCGGCAAATGGTCCTCTTACAGTGGGATGATTTGTTCCGGCGCAGCGGTGAATAATATTGTACCCTGGTACTGTAGGCACTGCCTATCATACATTACACTTAGCCCTCAGTGTTAGATCTAAATCATACGTTCAGGAAAACGCAATAGGTACAGTACCCAAACATATCGTGAGCGTTTGTCTCCTCCTGCTCGAATGGGGCGCTTGGCAAGTGGGAATGTACCATCTTCTCTTTGCCGCCGAGCTTCGCGCCGATTGTCTCATCTACAGTAAGCTATGCATGGCGTGAGGCGTGCTCGCCCTAGCGCAGAGGCTTTAGAGCAGGACAAAGAAAGGTCCATATTTCAAGCGGGTTTGATACGCAGGGCATTGGTCATTCGAAATGATCCGGAGCAATCTGTTTTTGATGAAGAGTTTGAAAAGAAATACAGTGTTGTTCAACGAGCTATCGAATCAAACCCAGATGAGTACACCTTATGGGCGTTTCGGAGAGAGATTCTTATCGCAAAAAGTGAATCTTCATCTCTAACTGACGATGAGTGGAAGTCAGAGTTGCAGCTAACATCTCTAGCACTTCAGAGACACCCAAAGGCATATCCAGCGTGGCAGCACCGCCTTTGGCTTCTTTCTGATCGAAAACACATGTCGAAGGTGTCCCAAGGTTTGAGGGACGCATCTTTGAAAGAGGAACAGAGGTTGAGTGCGTATATGCTTTCTAAAGACGGTCGCAATTTCCACGGCTGGGCACATCGCATGCGCGTGCGTTCTATTCTTGAGTCCAAGTCGCCAGGAGAGGAAGAGAATATGTGGAGACAAGAGCTAGAATTTGTTGAGGGCAAGATCAATGATGATTTTGCGAACTATTCAGCATGGCATCACAGAAGCGTTTTGCTTCCGCGAATCCATTCCGAAGGACCTAACATCTTCCTTTCTGATGAGTTGCAGTTTGTAAGACAAGCATTTTATACAGAGCCTGATGTTCAGTCAGCATGGTTTTATCATCGCTGGCTTCTAGCTGGTGCACCGGCTAGAGGCAACAAAGCTGTTGTTGTTGACGGCTTGCTCGAAGAAGAATTGGCAGCATGTGAAGAACTCCTTTCCATTGAAAAGAACGCTCGTTACGCTTTGCAGACCAAAGTACATATCCTTACCAAGTTAGGTAGGCAATCCGAAACCACTGAGGCCCTTGACCTTCTTGAGAAGATTGTAAGTTGTCAAGACCCAATTTCCATCTTTGATATATTGAGTTGACCTGCTTGGAAGCTAACGAAACCTTCTATCTCCAAACTATTGTCAAATTAGGATCCATTGCGGCGCGGTTATTATCGGCATCTGCGCAAAACGTGAAAGCCCTAGATCTAGCTTCTTAATTTGAGTCTCGAGTATTCGGCACAAGCCGTATCAATGGGATTGGTTTACGAACTTTACCTCAACTAACTACTGGACGATGGCCGATCTGATGCGGCCATCGTAAGCAACAAAATGCGGCTTCGATACACTTGCCAAGTGAACCTAGAGTCTTTATGATGTCATATCTGTCAACAGATGTGCGCCAATCCCCATTCTGGACTTCGGAAACTTTTTTTTTAAAATCTGACCCAGGCCTCCAAGGTAATGACTGTACCATTCGTTTTGGACAGGGCAAAGAAACGACAGCCTGTTCATGTATAAAATAAACCTTACCTTGACAAGTTTCCATCAGTTTGGCATCTACTACGACGACAAAAATTTGCCTCCCGTGTGTAAGCGCGAGAGATACACGTCTTTCGAAAAGTAGGATCCCTTTACAATCAAAAGATCCCGTCGCCTTCACAATGTCCTTCCCGTCCTGTAAAAACATTGATCGCTTGCTGCACGTTGTTCAAGCCGCTACCAATGATGCTTCTCGAGCTCTGAGAACTCAAACATGCAAAACCACACGGCTTGTCACTCGGTTCCATCTAGGGCTTACATGAGTGAAAGCTTCTAGGGCGACCGCGAGACTACGAAATGCTAGCATCGACGAACACCCGACGTTTCAGGGTCGAAGTCGCATTGCTATGCGGCAAGAGAGACATCAGGTGTATGGGCAAAGTCGCGACATGTTTTTCTTGATCTACTTGGCGCCGTCGCCTTCATATACTGGGGCTTCGTGACGCCAGTGATGTACCATCGCGCGTTTGAAAGGGGCAATCTTCCGCACTTGTTGCTTCTCCTCCTCTGGTTCTATAACCTTGTACTCATACCCGTTGCGCTCTGCATATTTCATAGCAGCTTCTTTAGTTGGGAAAGGCATTCCCATGTTTGACAGCGGATCTCCAGTACTTGTCCATCCCTTTGCATGGAAGAAACAAAACCATGATGATCAATGCAGGAATAATGTTAGAGTTCTTTGTATTCAAACAATCTGCCGCTGCAACGCAACGGCACGGGATGCAAGATATCATGTTGAATTTCAATGACGCACCATAAGTGGGTTTGTCCATCGATCATCGCCTTCGATCTTCTCAAACTGCAGCCGCCACATCTGGGTAAGGCCGCCTCTGCCCTGTTGCGTCGCAACCCTTTGAGAGCGCACACAAGCTCCGCAGGTCAGTCTCTAGATTAATATGCATAACATGAACGGAAGGAACGCAAAGAAGACAATTTGTGGTTTACTCACTTCGCTGGCCTGTGAATCCGGACGCGACGAGCGGCATGCTTGTCGGGGATACCGGAGAGAACATTGACGCTAGCGTCCCGTGACGAGGACAATTGGCGAGACGCCATCGGGGCTAAACGCGTCATGGATGCTCGCCATCCTGAAAGTGACATCTTCTGGCTTTGTAAAAAACGAGACGCAGCGCGAAGGGAACGGTCTCCAAGACTCGGATAAACGCTGTGCTGACTATGGTGGTGATGTGGACCGCAGAGCACATGGGACCTGTGTGGATGCCGAGTGGTCCACAGGGAATTCAATGCAAAGATATGTCTCTTCGACCAGTTATGCACAATGCTGTCATGCCATGGAAATATTTTCCGTAATAAAATTGAATATTTTATGTTAAATAGTCAAGTTCCTACGATACACTCATATGCACACATGCCCTCACTCTGTTTCGGTCAGTTCCCTCCTGGCTAATATTCGGTGACATCGACGACCATGCTAGCTGCCCGAATTGCTGCGCGACTACTTCTGCCTCTAAGAATCCCGTTTGTCAGCCGTCCCAACAAAGAAAGATAAAGCAGAACAAAGTCCATCCCAGAAAAGCAAAGAAGCTAAGAAGACCATTGCCTTATTCATCTATACACATCCCTTAACTTGCCGACGCGTCCCTCGCAATCATGGATGACCGGAGCATGGCGGAAATTCTCGCCACTCTCGAGCCGAGGGTAGTCTCCGTGCCCAGCGATTCCGCGTTTTCCCCGCCCGCGTCAGCCGCTGTCCCTGCACTATCATCCGTGCCTCTGTCGAACCAGGGTGCTCTGCCAGGTCATCCCAGCGAATTGCACACAATGAAGGTTGTGGGAAACGCAGGAGCCCATCTTGACCAACTGGTGCATTTTCTTGAGACAAGCAGAAACCCCAGCACGCATCCTCCACAAGAAATAAGTCGAACTCCTCCTCACGATGTCCCCACATTGATGCTTGGTGGCTTCTCTCGCGCCGCTTCCACTCATATGCCACCTCTGGAAGTCGCTCCTGTGTGCTGTGATCCAAAACCATCGAACGCCGCAGTTTCATCAGGAAACTGGGGAAGTAGAGAAACTGAAGCGCATCTAGTTTCAACGTCTCCAGCGCGAGGAGGCCAGCTTGGGGTCCTGGACCCCGTCATCTCTGGATCCAGTTGCGATCCCCCATCTAGGTCTCCGAAATTGACTTCTCCAGTTGGACTACAACGGTCCATGGGCGTAGGTCCATCTTCACGCGTAGATGTTTCGAAGCACCTGAATAGTACACAAGACAGCAAAAGACCATCTCTGGAGTCAACGTTGAAGCCTGAACCAGTCCCGAAATATGGTAAACAAAACCTACAACCACAGCAAACTTCTACCCGTCTCATTCAGGGAGGGCCTCGCAAATCGATTCCGTCCCAATCGCGGAGGATGATGGTCCTGTTCTGCCAATTTGCGGTTGCTACTCAGGATAAATTCATGCAGGGTCATCCCATGAGAGCGCAAGCGAAAGAGAAGCTTCGCTATGACCTGCACGAATATTTAACATTGTGGAACACAAGAAAGATGCGGGCGGGGAACGTGTTTGAGTTAGTCTCCGAATCTGTTCGCAGCTGTTGCCCACATGCCGCGAAGCTCGACCTCATTACTAAGTTTAAGACATGGTACAAAGCATTACTGCAACAGAAGAATGAATCGACGGCGGGCACGGATGCCATATTCGTACAACAGGAACAGGCGCCCCTCATACCGAAGCAAACAATGCAGGTAGTTCGAGAGAAACATCTTGATGTGCAAAGCACAACAGCCCCGAGACCAATAGTAACTCCTGTGCAATCCTGGCGTTCAGGGACAGGAACTCAGGATCCCGATCTTGGGTTACCCCTAAAACTCCCAGTAAACGCTAAGAGAGATGGGAACGCGCTAAACCTGGCAGCTTCCAGTCCAGGGGATCCATACCCACACTTCGCGGATGGAACTCATTTGCAAGGTAGTTTGAGAAATATACAATCAGGTAGGAACAATCTCTCGTGGAGTGAACAGGCTCTTGCAAGAAAAGCGACTCGAGCAGAGATCTTCGCGGACAAAAAGGATGAAGAACGAAAAGCATCTCATTCACAGTTTGCGCCGGCGATGAACCAGACTTCTGTAAGTGTCCCACCTCCCCCGACTAGTGAGAAAGAGCTTATCGATGTGCATGGTATCGGCTCAGGGCTTGAAAATATTGCCCATCTGCAGAGTCTGTATCCATCTTCGATACCGGAAAAGACATGCCGAGTCGATTCGAAGGATCTGCGAAAAGCTCCTACAAATTCTAATGAAGGGAAGCTGCCTCTTCGTCCTATGGCTTTCAGAACTGTACACAATAGCTTCGAGGAAACGTCCTGCACAGAGCAAAAACGTCATACCTCAGAATTGGAATCGCACCATGCGGAAGGTCAGTTTAGACCGCTTTTGACAGATAGAAAGAGATTGTTAGACAATAGTGGAGCCTCAGATGGCATTGGTCCCACAAAACGAACGAAGAAAAGCTCGAAAACGATCAGAGAGGGTACGAGAGCGGGAAAACGTTCTACGCCTCTGTCAAAGAATGGAAGTGGATGTTCGACTTTACCGATGTCGGCTCAAGGTATGCCCAGGAAAGGACAAACAACAGCAAAGAACGGGAAAGCACGGTTTGTATTTGGAACCAGCAATAGGAACGCCGATACTTCAGCAATAACTAACATTCAAATCAGATCAAACAGTCATGCGAAGGCAGCGAGGGGTGTTGCTGACGACCTTGCTCTTCTGGGAAATGTTGTCGACTTGGATTACGAGGAAAGCTTTCTTGCTCATGATGAAAAAACAGCTGGTGATGGGGACATGGAGGCTGTTGGCTACAATGACGGCCTTCTGCTGACGGCAAACGCGTTAGGTAAAAGGATAAAAGCAGCTGCTAGGCGCAACCATTTGAAAGAAAGTGTCTCAAGAGACGCAATGGAGATAATTTCACTAGCTGTGTGTGAGCGACTGAAGAGCATTTTAGAATCTTTAAAAGTAGCTTCTTCGGTTCGTGTCGATGCCGACAAGGATCTGTGGACCACGGCAGTGCCCGATGAAACTGTTCGCGAGAAGTTGGGACGCTTGTTTGAAGAAGAGGAGCGGTCTCTGGATGAGAAAGCGAAGCTTCGCTTAAAGAAAAAGAAGGAATTAGCGGATATTGAGGCGATGAGGGTCTCCAAGATGGTTATAGGAGAAGAAAACGACAAGACACCCCGACTTGTGGCCTCTAAGGCCGGGCGAAAAGCAAGAATTGCCCGCGAAAAGAGTCTAGAAACAAGCAACAATCACAAGAAGGCGCTTTCTGGTGTATTAGCTGGAATTCAGAAGATGCGTCGAAAGGCAAATTTTGAGAAACCTCTAGGTAGCTCAAAAGCGTTGCTTCCGTTAATCAAAGGATCTGGAAAGCTACAAAACATCACTTCCATACTGCCGCCTCTCCCGACAAGGAATGTTTCCGGTGGGATAATTCAGCGACGCACGGATGAATTAGACAGAACTGACAGGAAGCACGAAGGGTTACTGAAGATGGGGGGACCCGAGACAACTAATAGATCACATCTACCTAAAGGGATAGTTGCGGTAAGAAGGAAGAAAAGAAAGTACGGTCTTACGCTGAAGGATTGCCTTTTCTTGATGGAGTCAGAACAAACCACTAGAAGGAGTTATGCTTTGTATAAATGGTACGGACGATTAGATGCATCCCGTTGATGCAGTGAAAGGGACGTAATGCGTAATCATCGTACCTCAGCTCTCATCTGGGCTGAGCAGGAAAGCAATATTGGGATGTCCATGACGACTAGTCTAGCTTCGAGTGCGCAAACACACCAGTAAAGCACGAGAAGGCTGCATTTTACGTGTCTGCAATTTCCAGGGTCAAAAGCTGATCAACTGAACGCAATCGCATGTCCATTGTATGTTGATGACAGACAGACAGTAGATGACTGTTTCGATTTACTGTGGCATGGTTGGGATCAAAGTCACGGGCAGAGCTTTTTCGCATGACGACAATGAAACGTGGCCTGCGGAGGAAAAACAGGGGGGCGGGGCAGGGGGAAAAGCGGAAGATTGTTTTTGCTGTTGACAGCATGATCGGCATAGAGGCTACAGCAGACTCGACGATGGAAGCATCGTCGAACGGTTTGAGATGGGAGAATGATGCATTGTGGTTGGCTGTGAATTTAGCTCTAGTCACGTTTGCGGAGACCGGAACGGATTCTTAATTGCGGCTCATGTGCCGTAGCGCCCCCTACCGAATGTGGTTTGCTCGCATTGATCAAATAGAGCCTTTCGGGTAGTGAGCAGTTGGTCAGGCGGCTTTACGAAAGCAAGAGAGCTCAACTGTACTACAAGGGGGTGGGGTGGCACCACGTTTCTTCTGATGGAAGCTCCCCGAGTCTCTTTCCGAGTGATCTGCAGCCATTTGGCGATTTTGGGAGCAATGATTGTGCACCAATGCTTGTGTGAGGAATAGCCGTGGGTAGCCTGTTTGCAAGAAGTTTGAGCCAAATTGAAAAATTAAATTTTTTCACGTCCGTCTGGGGGGTGAACCAAGTTGAGCAGGATGTTGCTCCAGTCTTTCCGGACGGGCGGACGGGCGGCGACCCGAAGAAGTTAACAACGCAGTCCTTTCATGTTAAATATTTCCCTCGTTTTTACGCTGTATCCGCCTGCGCGACCATTTCTGTTCGTCCCCGCCGGCCCCCTCTGTTATCAAACGCCCTCACCGTTCCGTCTGGTTATACCACTGCGTCATCTCCCCCCTCCTTTTCCGCCAGAGACGCTTCCTCCAGTCTACCGCTTGCTCCGCTTCGGCCCGACTCATCGTCCCTCCCTCACTGTTCCATAACAGCGCATCATCCTGATTTCTCCTGTATAAATTCTCTACGTTCCATTCTTCTAACATCTCATCCAACACAACTCTCCCCTCCACACTGTCCACATTGCGTTCACCTTGCGATAGCAGCACAACCATCAACTCATCGCACATTCGCACACGTCTACACGGCTGCAGTTTCGCTCTATTTGAAGCCATCGCGAAAGGCCCTCTTGTTCTCCTTTGTACCGGAATCCTCTGCCGTTTCTTCGTTAACCCGTCGCGATTTGATTTCATCTGTTGGGAACCGAGGCGCGCTAGCGCTGCCCGAGCGCTCCTCTCTGAGCGTCCGCTGTGTGGCTGCCTTTGCAAGCAGTGAAGCATCATGCCGAGAAATGCTATGGGTCGCTCGGCCTTTCCCTGGTCGTGGGCACCCACCCGACATGTCGATTCTGTGCAATTCGGCGTGCTAAGCCCGGATGAAGTGCGACGGATGTCTGTTGCGGAGATCAAGGAAGAGCGTCTCTACGAAAACGGCGAACCAAAGCACGAGGGTCTCGTCGACAGTCGGCTTGGGTCCAATGCACATTTCCGCTGCACTACTTGTCACGGTGATGACCAGACTTGCCCTGGTCATTTTGGCCATATCGAGCTTGCTAAGCCCATGTACAACGTGGGCTTTGTGAATACTACCCTCAAGATTCTGCGCTGCGTGTGTTATTATTGTTCAAAGATATTATGCAATGACGCGAACGTCGAACTACTACTGCGAGTCAAGAAACCTGTGGATCGTCTGCGAAAGGCGTTGCTTACATGTTCGAAGGGCAAGAGTGTCTGTTCAGAGGAAACTGGATGTGGACATGAGCAGCCCAAGTACTCTCGTGAAGCTTTTCGAATCAAGGCGCTTTTGAAGGAAAGCGGAGAGACAGGGACTGAGTCCAAGGAGACGTTAGATGGCAGTAAAGTCTATGCCATCTTCAAGCGAATCAGCGACAGAGATTGCCGAGCAATGGGATTTTCCCCGGAGTTTTCGAGGCCGGAGTGGTTTCTTGTCTCTTTGCTCCCCGTGCCACCACCACATGTCCGTCCTTCTGTCATGCGGAATGGATCACGAAATGAAGATGATCTGACGAGCAAACTTGGGGACATCTTAAGAAATAACAACCTCCTCAAGACTTTGGAATCTACGGGTGCAGTCGCACACGTTCTCAAAGAACAAGAAGCACTGCTGCAGTACCACGTCGTCACATACATGAACAATGAGTTTGCGGGTGTCATTCCGGCCACTGTAAAAGGAGGGGGTCGCAATATTAAGAGTATAGGACAACGTTTCAAAGGCAAAGAGGGTCGTGTTAGAGGAAATTTAATGGGAAAGCGAGTAGACTTCAGTGCCCGAACTGTGATTACTCCAGATCCAAACCTGAAGCTACACGAAGTTGGGGTGCCCATTTCAATTGCGATGAACTTGACATACCCGGAGATCGTTACTCCGTTTAATCGGGAGGATTTAACCAAACTCGTCATGAGGGGTCCCCATTCGCATCCCGGTGTCAATTATATTGAAAGCGAAGATCGAGTGTTCAGTCTATACTTTCAGAATCCCGCCGACATCCAATTGACTGTCGGAATGAAGGTCTTTCGTCATATTCGGGATGGCGACTACGTGTTGTTTAACCGGCAGCCCAGTCTACACAAAATGTCAATTATGGGTCATAGAATTCGCGTGCTTCCCTACTCAACGTTTCGCCTCAACCTTTCCGTAACATCGCCTTACAACGCTGATTTCGATGGAGATGAGATGAACTTGCACGTTCCTCAGAGCCACTTAACGCGCGCGGAAGTTCAAGAACTGATGCTTGTGCCACATTGCATTGTATCACCCCAAGGGAACAAGCCTGTGATGGGCATCGTGCAAGATACTTTGCTTGGATGCATGCTCTTCACACAAAGGGACACGTTCTTGGAGCGAGATCTGACAATGAACCTGCTCATGCATGTTGGCGATTGGGACGGAGTAATACCAGAACCCGCGATATACAAACCACGACCTCTCTGGACTGGCAAGCAAATTTTCTCGTTGATTCTTCCTGCTGTGAATTTGGTTCGCTTCAACATCACTCACCCCGATGATGAGAACACCGACATTTCTCCAGGTGATACAAAAGTGTACATCTCACGAGGGGAGCTGGTATGCGGTATCGTAGACAAGAGGACTGTGGGAACATCCGCGAATGGCCTAATTCACGTTACTTGGAAGCAATGCGGTGCCAAAACGACTGATAAGATGATCTCGCAGATCCAGGTGCTGGTGAACCACTATGTTCTTCAGCGAGGGCAGTCCATTGGAATTGGAGACACGATTGCAGATACCGCAACAATGAGTAATGTAATCAGAACCATTCAAAGTGCAAAGGAAGAAGTTAAATTGCTTGTTCGCAAAGCTCAAGAAAAGGAACTAGTTCTCCTTCCCGGTAAAGGAATGATGGAGTCATTTGAAACTGAAGTGAACAAGGTGCTGAACGGCGCTAGAGATAAGTCTGGTGCCTCGGCTCAGAAATCGCTTCTGAAGTCCAACAACATCAAACGAATGGTTAGCGCCGGGTCCAAGGGTTCCTTCATCAATATTTCACAAATTTGTGCTTGCGTAGGCCAGCAAAATGTTGAAGGAAAACGCATTGCGTACGGGTTTAACAGACGGACCTTGCCTCACTTTGTCCTGGACGACTTGGGACCTGAGAGTCGTGGTTTCGTGGAGAACTCGTATCTACGAGGTTTGACCCCGTCGGAGTTTTTCTTTCATGCAATGGGAGGTCGAGAGGGTCTGATCGATACTGCTGTGAAAACAGCAGAGACTGGTTACATCCAAAGGCGTCTTATAAAGGCGATGGAAGATGTCATGGTTAGATATGATGGAACCGTGAGGAATTCGGTCAACCATATTGTTGAGTTCCTTTATGGAGAAGATGGAATGGACGCAACCTTTTTGGAGGACCAGTTCTTGCGAACTTACAAAATGTCTGATCGTCAGTTGCGCGACGAATACTATCTAAATCCAATGGATCCAGGATTTGGTCGCGACTCGAAAGGCCGTCCATATTTGGATACAGAAATTACGGAAGGCGTGCGGCAAGACGCCCAGATTCATTTGGAGTTGAAGGCAGAGTTCAGTCAAATTCAATCTGATCGTGAGACCCTGAGGCATGAAATTGTCAAAAACGGTGAAGCCAAACGTCCCTTGGCCGTTAATGTAGACAGAGTGATCTGGAATGCAAAACAGGAACATAACATCCGCCCTGACTCGGTTTCCGATCTTAATCCAGACCAGATCTTGAAGGGGGTGAAAATGCTGATGAAGAGGACGAGGGTTATTGTCCTAGGCGATGAAGACGAAGAAGAAGCGAATGCCACTCGGAACGACGATGAGGGCAATGTTGAAGACCGCAAACCAACCCTTGTGGACCCTATCGCCCGCGAAGTCCAGGAGAATGCAACACTTCTGTTCCAAATTCACCTCCGCTCAATGTTGGCATGTAAGAAGATCATCAAAGAACACAGACTCACGAAGAAAGCCTTTGTTTGGGTGCTTGGTGAAATTGAGACACGCTTCTTAAGTTGCCGGGTTGCTCCTGGAGAGAATATTGGTGCTATTGCTGCGCAGTCAATTGGAGAGCCTGCGACTCAGATGACTCTCAATACTTTTCATTACGCAGGTGTCTCTGCCAAGAATGTCACCCTTGGCGTGCCTCGTTTGAAGGAAATTATCAACGTTTCCAAGAATACTAAAACTCCCTCTCTAACAGTTTATTTGAAACCAGAGTTTGCTGCTGACAAGGAGAAGGCAAAGGAAATCCAGGCGTCTCTGCAGCACACGACTCTGCGAGACGTTACGCAGTGCACAGAAATCTACTACGATCCGGATCCATCTCGGACAGTTGTGGCCGAAGATGAGGAAATGGTTTCAAGCTTTTTCGAAATTGAGGACGTTCCCCATGCTGCGTCGCCTTGGTTATTGAGAATTGTGCTGGACAAAGACATGCTACAAGATCGGAGCATCAGTATGGATCAGATTGAAAGAATAGTGTATCAAAACTTTGGCAGCGATGTACACGTCATCAGATCGCAAGACAATGATGAGCGCATAGTACTTAGGCTGCGTGTGACAGATGAAGCAGCGAGAGATAAATATGGCGAAAATGGAAACGGCGGCGAGATGGATGACGACGAGGAAGAAGACGACGAAGACTCTGACAATGCCTTCTTGAAGCGCTTAGAATCAGAGCTCCTGTCTGAAATGAACCTCGGAGGCATCTCCAGAATCCGCAAAGTATTCATGCGCCAATCTCGCACCACCTACGTGGACGAAAGCGTTGGACGCTTTAAATCCCGAGAAGAATGGGTGTTGGATACGGATGGTGTTAACCTGATAGCAGTCATGTCTCACGAGGCCGTTGACCACACCCGAACAACTTCAAATGACATCGTAGAGATCTTCGAGGCTTTAGGCATTGAGGCGGTCCGCGAGGCACTAATGAACGAAATCCGTGGAGTTATCTCCTTTGATGGAGCCTATGTGAACTATCGACATTTGGCGATCCTCGTGGACACAATGACTTATCGAGGTCACCTGATGGCAATTACGAGGCACGGTATAAACCGAGTTGATACCGGTCCCTTAATGAAATGTTCTTTTGAGGAAACAACTGATATTCTGCTTGAGGCGGCGCAGTTTGGTGAAAAGGATCACCTACGAGGTGTGAGTGAAAACATCATGCTCGGTCAGCTTCCACCTATAGGAACTGGGAGCTTTAAACTTTTACTCAACGAGGACAAGCTGAAGGACGCAATCGAACCAGAGGCAGCTCAGGAACAAGTAGCAGTGGGGTCACCTCTTGGAGTGGTTGGTGGGGGGTTCGAATCTGGAGCGTGGAGCCCAGGGCGACCAATGGCCACGCCAGGACGAAAAAGGACATTCGATGCCCGGGCAACACCAGGGAACGCATATTCCCCAGCCGCATGGCAAACACCGAATCGCATGGGATCCACGAGAGGGGCATCGCCTTTCAATATGCAGTTTTCTCCAACTGCTGATGATGCGCAGTTTTCTCCGATGCCCGCAACTCCTGGTGGTGCAGGGGTCGGTGGGGGTGGCTACACTCCTTTGCAATCTCCTGGCCGTGAGTATGTGACACCGTTGAGCCCGGGTGGTGCGGCAAGCCCTTACCACAATCAGAGCCCTGCGTACGCTTCCAGTCCTGGATATGCAGCAAGCCCTGCAGCGGGAGGAGCGGGTGGGTATGGTGCTGGTGCCAACACGTTTGCGCCTGCAAGTCCGGGCTACAGGTTGACATCGCCTGGACCAAGTGCATACGCCATGGCGCAATCACCGGGTGCACAGTCACCTGGGGCACAGTACTCACCGACAAGTCCAGGGTTTAGTCCTACGAGTCCGGCCTACACTCCGAGTGGTGCGGTGGCGGGGGCTGCCGCTGGTGGAGCAAGTTACTCTCCGACTAGTCCAAGCTACAACGCGCCTGGAGCCGCTTCACCAGCGGCTGGTGGCTACGGCGGAGGGTCGGCGAGCCTAGCGTACAGTCCGAGCTCACCGGCAGCCTATAGCCATAGCTCCCCTGGATTCGCTCCAAGCTCACCAGCGGGTGGGTACGCGCCATCTACACCAGCATATGCAGCGCAATCGCCGGGTGCCAATCGGTACAACTCCTACGGACGAGGGTCGAATCACTACTCTCCATCGTTTGCGAACAATGCATCTCCGAGTTCACCTCAGTACTCCCCTTCCTCTCCACAATATTCACCTAGATGAAAGGTTGCTGTAAATGAAGAGAGTTTTGTACATCCTCACCGAAAGTGTGATTCATTTTCGGAGGGGGTCGCGGGGGGAAAGAGTAAGCTCCTGAGTGTCGTCGAGGTCGGTTGAATAGACGCATTGCTGGAAGATCCTCCTTCTTTACACTGTACTGTTTCTACTCATTGCACCGGTGCACAGTCCGGTGCATTCCGTATTTCGTTCTTTACAGATTTGTTGCGTGGGTCGAATACGAACACGTGTATCATGGCTACACGTGGGGCACAATGGTCCCGTATGGCCAACAAGACTGTGGTGACAGCGTGTGCTGTGCAGTGTCACACACACAGCTCACAGCCGCCCGCGTGCTGTTGCACCCGCGTTTGGTCATCTTACACAACGCGACAAACCACCCATCCAGAACTCTCCAGGTCTGTGTTGGCACACGTGCGATGTCTAGGGCCGAAAAAAGGAAGAGATGAATGCTAAGTAGAGAGTGCGAGTTGGAAATTGTTTGTTTTATGTTCATGCAAGGCTAAGGCGAAGCGCCTATGCGTTCTATTTACCACGACGAAAAAGTAGTGCACCAGAGGAGAGACGCGATCATGTGAAGCCGAAGATTGCTTTAAAATTAGGTTAGGCTGTGTTAGGCAGGTACAGTCAGTAGAGGAACAGCGGGTTCCAAAACCATTTTCACCAAACCAGAACCGAATGTGTTTGAGATTTGCGATGGACACTCGGTGTAGTGGGTGATTGTACAATCCGCTTCGAAGTATACTCAAAGTGCGTCGAGTCCCTGTTGCATGCCGAAGCCGGGGAGGTGTCCGTGCTGATGGACATATCACTCGTCGAGGACACGGAAGCCATAGAGATGTTTCGCGATAAGGATGGTCCTTCATCGGTGCATGCCGAAGTGGTGGGAGACGAGCGCATCTTCCTGACATGGGCACGACGCTTGCGGCTGGCTTCCTTGACGATGTCGGTGAAGTCGACATCGTCCGAGGGGCATGTGAGTTCGACGGGAACAATGTCTGCGTGCCAGAGCTCATAGCGTGCCACATCGACGACGCGGGTAAGTTCTTCGTCGATGGGGTGCGCCTCAAACACATCCAACTGATCAACGAGATTGGTCTCAATCGCGGCAAACTTCTGAGCTGGGATGTCCAGACGAAAGTTTAGAACGGAGAGCAAGTTGATTTCAAGATTAGCAAGCTCCTTGAAGGGAAGACCTCCAACCTTGGCATAATAGGGGAGGTTGTAGGAGACGTCATCAAAATACTTGCTAGCAAGGATAACCGCGGTGATAAATAGACGGTGGACGCTAAGGCTGGAGAGGGCGAGTTTGGGATCCTTGCGAATGGCCTCATCGATGTAGTAGGAGGCGGCGACTAGGCAGGCGTGCGAACAAAAGGCGTACTTCGAAACGCGGGCCACGTAGTCAGCAACGGAGATCGCTGGCGGTTCTTGAGCGTGGAACACAGTCATATCCTCGAATGGTGCCGGGGGTTTGGCATCATTGACGGACACTTGTGCTTGAATGTTGGCAATTATAACGGCGACAAGGGCCGGTGGCGAGGTGATGAGGCTGAACTTGACAGCATCGGAGGAGTCGGTCTCAAAGAGTTGGGCAGTCATTGTGGATAGTGGGGAAGCGGATAACGGATCTGCGTGAGTGAATGAAGGATGTGCGAGAGTGGATGAGATGATGAAAGGAATTAAGTTCGTCGGGTATATATTGGCAAAGGCGAGCAGGGTGGTAAAGTTAGAGGAGGAGGTCGATGGCCAAGGTAGGAATGGGTATTTCTCTGTGCGGAAAATGGGATGGCTGAAGAATTTCAAAGTTGCTGAGGGGGGGGGGGGAGGGGTAATATAAGTAGCGGAAAGGAGTAAAGGTTTTGTTATGGCGGACGACGCCGTGCGGAAATTGAGGCGAGAAATGCAGAAAACGAGTGCGGTGGAAATGGGGGGCTGGGCGATTGAAAGGCCTGTAGAAATGCGACGAGGGCGGGCGAGGCCAGCGTGACAAAAGGGGAGGGGGTTTTATCTCTCTTGTGTCTGACAAGGGGGCGACGGCGGGGAGCGGGGCGACGAGGACGGGTATGACACGGGGGGTCTGGGGGGTGAAACGAGACGTGGATGGCGGGAAATGGTGGTGCAAAGCAGGGATTGGACGAGTGCCAATTGTGAATGCGTCACATGAGCCACAAGATCACCAAAATGGCGCCCTGCGTGCGCCTCTCCGCGGCCACGCTAGTGCCCGCGTGGCCGCCCGCCGTCGTCGCAGATAAATTTACGGCGCCGAGCCGCGCCGCAACCCGAGCCACCCCTTGCGCAGTCTGCATCCGCCCCCAACGGGCTCTGCCACCTCCGGGTGCCCCTGGGGGCTCCGGCCAGCCACCCCCCACCCCGCCTTTCCGCCCCCGCATTCCACACTCAAAGCCTCCCGGCAACGGAAACCTAATCCTTTCTTGCCCGCCCCAACTTGCGTGACTCCACCCCTTCGCCTCCACGCCCCGCTTCCGTCACGCACTGACAAACCGCCGCCTCGCATGGCCCCGCCCCCAACATCAATGGCCAGTGTTGCCGCGCAAAGCTGCCGTGCCCCTCGCCGCCACCTGTCGCCGCCAATGGCGCCCCATCGCTCAAACCGTTACAGGCCCCACCCGCTTTGGCGGCGGTTTTTACCACCGCATAGCGCCCCCACAAAAGACTTCTGATTGACCCCGCCCGCCGCTCGGCGCTCCTCCGCCCACCTGAGCGTCCGAGCGCACCAGGTATGCCGTGCGCTCCGCCGCCGTCGACCAGTGGCACCTCACTCCCTAGCAACCGGCAAATATCAGGCACAAAACCCTCTGTTCTCCTCCATGCCGCCCCGAGCATATGCCGACAGTTGTGCGCCGCTCAATGTTCTAATCAACAACCCCGCACGGCTCCCTGGAGATAAACCTATCTGTGCAGGTCTAAGCAGGATTAGACTGCATTAATCCCTGTGTGATGTCGAGTCGTGATCGAACGAGCACCCAAGCTACTGCGCGCAAGCTTTTGGCCTTCATCGTTGACTTGATGAAAAACTTTGCGGGGCGGGATGGAAAAGTGAAAGACTTTCTTGTTGACCTCTCCAACATGTAATTTTTTGTCCACTTTTTGCCACATTGCTGCAGCCCCAGCACAGTATCTGAAAAGCTGCCAAGTTTCCCATGGTGTAATCGTTTACACTACTGTAGGTCTAATCTTTACAAATACTGCTGTTCTACAGTGTAGCTTACATTGCTTCTCCTCATGGCTGCCAGCCTCCGCCAGGCGAGTCACGTTGAGGGCCAGGTCACGTCACAATACGCAGTCAAGCCCAAAACAGCCAGCCCCCGTCCTTTCTTAAACCAAACCCCCACACTAGTAGCCAGGAAACCCCTCCCTACCCGATGCCTCCATACAAGCATGACACGTGATCGTGCCCCATCCACTGCAGCCGATGTTGCGAGTGTCACGTGGCGGGAGCAACGGATGACTTCTCTCTCTTCCCGCCGTCGCAGTTTGCCGCTCCAATTCGGCACTTACCCTTATGTAATTTCAAAAATCCCTCTATACCCCGCTCACCAGGCCTTGTTGTCCTACACAACGCATTTTGGCGCGTGCAATAGAGACGCACTCAGTACAGTTGAAATTTTCAATTATTTCGGTCCTTGTGAGCAGCCAACGCCGCGTGCTTGGCGCCAAGCAATGAAGCAATGCGTGCTTGGCGCGCTTTTCCTGCGGGGCCACCCAACTGCCAATCGGATTTGCATGCGTGCACCACAGCCTGCTGCCAATTGCACTCGCGCCGACAACTTAGAAATAGATCGACGCCGATCGAATGTTGCCCACAACACGTCTCCCCTCAACGTCTTGTTTCTTGTGATATTTCTCCCACTTCCCTCCATGACGTCGACATCCTTGCTGTTCTGTACACACACGTCCTCGCTGGCTTATCTCGTTCCGGACACATTATGGATACTGTATCGATATTGTGAGGGTTGTGCCAGCACCAGCCAACAATGGCCAACGAGGTGGTGCCCCTTCACCTCGGTCCTCATCGTCTCAAGCCGGCTTTTGCTTGTTTCAGGCAACACCAGGACATCCTCTTCTCCCTGTTGCTATCTGCTGTTCTCCGTGCTTGTCCACGACAAGAATGACACGTTGCTTTTCCGTTGACTGAAGCTCCACATCCGCATTGAGCATTGTCACAATCTCTTTATAGAAACTCCATGCCCCGTCTTCTCTGCAGTCTCAGTCTCTACGTGTACAAGATACAGTGAAATATTGGACAGTACAGTAGAAAGAAATCCCTCTCCCTGCATCAATGCATGCTCCTGTGCTAACTACGCAATGCATTCAACGCCCAGCCTCCCCATTAGCACGTGTTACACCGCTCAACCGATCGGCGTTGTCTCATGGAGAATCTCCTGATGCGCAAACTGTATACCCACGCCTTAATTGACACCAGGAACAGTATCAAGCCCATATCCTTCATTGCCACACCTCTGTGCGGATCAACCTACCCATTCTTCTGTTTTTCCACCCCCTGCAGAACGATCAAATTGGCCTGGCCTTGTGCAGTTTTTCTAATGCCCCGTTCTCCCTCATGTCGTCGACAATGCCCACTGGCCCATACCGCTGCATGCAATGCTTGTCACCCCCTGGTTCAATGGTATTTAGCATTTAGATACCCCTTGACCTGATAATCCAACCCCACGTTACACACAATCCGCCGCTTGCATGCTCTGCACTGCAACGTTTCTATGGTCGGCCAGCCAGATCCAGTCTCTTCCGCAATAAAACAACCAACAGCAGTAGCTTATTCGTTGTCTGCAGTTTCTCACACAGCAATAATTTTTAACGACAACATGCTCCTCAATGCCACCAGTCATTTCTTAGCTCCCACTCTTTTCTTTTCCGGACACAGAGCAAAAACATTAAAACAAGCAACCAAAAGTCCGCCACGCATTGTTGCTAACCGTTCCTCCTTCGGCAATGAAACGCCAAGCTCGTCTTTCTGTGTCAGCATACGACGCAGCCTGTGTTTTGAAGAAAACAAAGTCCATTGGATGCACCTAATCTTCTTGTTTCTTTTCTCGTTTCTTTTCTTGTTTGTTTCTTTTTCGACTGTATTTACTTCAACCTCTGCGATTGTCGACGCATCTCAACAATTGAGATTGTTGAGATTGTTGAGATGCGTCGACAATCGCAGCAAGAGATTTGGCCCGTTCTTGATAATCTTGTGGCCATATCTCTGTTCAGTAACATTCCTAAATATCATGCCAACATGTTTTAGCTAGAAACAGGCAGATTGCCACAATCGAATTCAAAATATACAGGCATGTCAAACTCGAAAATCTGCCATCTCTCGTCTTTGCGCTATTTGGTGAGGAAAGAGAGAATTACGGTAGAGTATCTCACGCATTAATTTATATGAGCATCCCTGTGTGGGTATATGAACGGATGAGGAGGGCGACACATCACATGCTGTATCATAGAACATATTTGAATTCAAAAGGCACAGTGCGAAGGGTACTGCACGTATCTCAAACGAGTACTCGAGATCAATTGCACCACAAACAAACTGTTCGTCATGTACAGTATTGGTGGCAGTCGCTCTCTCCCAATCTGTGAATAGCTCCACATAAGATGTTCTGCTCTTCTTTCAAGGTATTCAAATGCTAGGGGGTGGCCGATACTGCATCATAGGGACGGACTGTCAAAGTACGAACAAGAAGTGCATGCATGCCTCCGAGTCATTTCGTATTTGAGGGTGAGGCAGCCTCGGACGCTTGAAATGCGCAAGCGTGACAGGGGCACGCAATTCTCAAGCCAAGGGTACATCGCCCCTGCTGACACCAGCGTGAGGCTGAAGGTTCCGCTGCCTAGCTGCGACTAGCATCACGCAAAAATGAGGACCATGGGGCATGTCTTTGCCTAGACACAATGAGCTCCTCAAGGGGGCGAGAAGGTGATGACATGAAGGCACACTGTCAAATGCGGCAAATGAGCTCGCGAGGTGAGCATGGGATGCTTCGCTGGTGCCACTCAAAGCGCGGAGCAGGGTTCCGCACCTCGCAAGACGCACGCTTCGTCTCAACAGGGGAGGACCTGCTCGGCGGATGATGTGGAAGACTGCGGCAGGACTCCTGTCTTGGCCGGTCACGGTTGAAGGTGGAGGAAGGAGATACTGTGTTGAGGACAACCCGCCGGGAGTCGGAGATGAGTGGCCACTTGAACTGACTGATGTGGGTGGTGTTTCTAAGTGGTGGACATGGAAGCTGCTGACCATCATCATTTATGGTACAGCACATACTGGACATAACTATGTGAAGTTTAGGGCCGTTTTCTCACTCCTGTCTGGGGTGAGATGCACATGCGTACAGCAGTACAAGTGCAATTTCCAACCACTGTATCTTACGCACAAGCAATTCTGCATGGCGTGTTGTTGTTGTTTTGTTTTGCGTTGTCCACAACATGTCGGTGTTTCCATTGGTCGCATGCAAGAGCGTCGAAATTCTTCCGCCAACCATATTTTGCCTTCACAAGATATCTCTGGCGCAAGATATTGCCCCGCCAGCTGACAGAGTTTCGAACACGTGTACACGTGAACTCAAGCAGATTTGGTCCGGATCAGTGAGGACGGAAAATGAGGATCGCGATCCTCACCAATCAATCAATCTCAATCTCGTTTTTAGTGACAGGTACAGTTGTAGTCGGGTAGATGCACATCCCGTCTTGTTTGCAGTCCTGATTCACTTGGGTGCAGCCCACACCTCCAGAGCTAGGATACAAGGGTGTCGTTTGAGAATAAAGGCTTTACGCACCAAGATTTCTGGAATGTATGTGACAAATACTCTGTAAAGAAAATTTGCAGTAAGGTCAATTTGCCACACGTTCCATTTTAGTTTACGCATGGACTGCGCGGATCGTCATATGACTATTACGAAGGAGTATTACGACGACAGCCTACAGTAGGACGCTAGTCCCATTTTCCACTGTTGAGGCAACATGCTACACCGCGGAAGACAACGCGACCACTCTGTGTCCATCGCAGCCGTGCGATTCCGCAAATGGCGTGTTGCTCTTCGCACAATCGCACATCGCCGCCTCTCCACTCCGGGATCTACTATAGGGAGCACAAGCGCTCTCTCTTTTTGTGTCAAGGGCTACACAGCGCAGCGGCAAGAATACACACGATACATTAGACGATCTAACCGTATATCTCTCTCCGAGTTCTCCTTTAACTTTAATGCATTGACTAACGCTTGTTGTTTATCGTTCTTTCGGTTTACGAAGAGCGATCTTGCTAGGATGGTCACAGCGGTGGGTTGGGTTGGGTATGTTACAAATCGGAACAGGTATAGGTGCAGTCCGTTGTTAGTCGCATGCGTCATACTGAGGCGCTTAAGCACGCCCAGCAGGTGGCGGGATATGGAGTTTCTGTTTGGACGGCATGGGGCGCAGCTCTCTGAAATTTTCTGGGAGGGTATAGAGCAGATGCTCCAGGATCGCGTCGAATTGATAACAGGACCCATGCATGCCTCTTTCATTTGCGAACGGGCATCAGGTTACGCCCATGCTGTAAAGGAAAAGTGTGACGCACTTTCTAACTGCGTTGGTTTTATTGACGGCACTGTAATCGCAATTGCTCGGCCATGCGGTAGCGCCGTTCAAAATGTTGCCTACAATGGACACAAGCGCAAGCACGCTCTCAAGTATCAAGCCGTTATCGCGCCTGATGGATTATTGCTTCACGCGGCGGGTCCCATGGAGGGACGGCGCCATGATTGGACACTTTACTGTAGAAGTGGTCTCGATGAGGAGCTGGAGGAGGTCATGGTGGTGGATGGTTTGCAGTATTGTCTGTACGGGGACTCAGGATATAACGAACGCAACTTCTTGGAGGTCCCCTTCCAGGGGTCACAATTGACTGGATACCAGAATGCTTTCAACAAGGCTATGTCGAAGGGAAGGGTTACTGTGGAATGGTTTTTCAAGGAAGTCAAGCTTTACTGGTCGACGGTAGACTATTGTCGAAAGATGCGAACGGGGGAATCTCCGGTCGGGGCACTTTACCTCGCTGCGATGCTGCTTACAAACTTTCGCAATTGCGTATATCCCAACACCATCTCGCAGTACTTCCTCTGCAAGCCTCCAACTCTCGAGGACTACCTAGCTCACAAAAACAACTCAATGCTCGCGCAGGAGAGCGAGGAGTGAGGACAAAGTCCGCGTGCCGAGCGGAGCGAGTTGCCGAGCGTAGCGAGAGCGGACTTCGTCCGTAGCCCCGCAGGGAGCCCTGCGCGAGCAGACGCTAGGCCGGTTTCGTTGTATCTTCTCTAATCGGAACGCTCCGTCGAGCCGTAAAATGACTGTTAAGACCCGTTGGTTGATGCCTAGCTACTTCCCTGCGCACCCATTATAGAATCCATCATGATCTTCATTTTGTTCAGATCAAGCTCGTTTTGCGCTTGGCGCTCCATACGTCTCTCCTCACGATCCTTCTGCCGTTCCTCTGTCTCTCGATCCAGGCGATGGCGTTCGAACTGAAGGCGCTCGCGTTCAAGCTCAATACGCGCCATGTCGGCATCGCGCAGCGCGTTTCCGAAACCCTCAAGCTCCCCTTCTATCTCGTCGTAAGCACGTGCTTGGCGACGCGGTTTCTTGCGGGCACTTCCATTGCAATCGACCTCCACGATGTCATCCGTTTCATCTCCTTCCAGGCTGCTTACTCCACCACTTCCCTTGCGGGTCAGAGCCCGCGCGACGAGTTCCTTCCCAATACGCTCTTTGCGAGCTTCTTTCGCCTCGGCGGCAACGACTTCTGCTGTCTTAGCCTTCTCGACGTCATTCCTTGCTTCCGCCATCATAGAGAGCAGCTCGCCCAGCTCACCTATCTCTCCACCCACACCCGAAAGCCGGCTATCCTTTGCATCACGACGGCAGAAGGCATCCTGGATCTTTTTGTAGCGATCTTGGATGCTCTTCGCCGTCACTTTGACCGATAGATCCTTGTTCGAGTTTGCCTTAGTCGCGGCGGTGGCGAACATCTTCTGAATTTCGCCATAGGCAGCGACGTGGGCCTTCGATGCGGCAACCTCCCGCGCGATGATCAGGTCATCGCCAGCCGTAAACTTAGGGCGGCGACCGGCCTTACGCGCGGAAGACGGTCGGCGGATAGGGGGAGCGGGCGCGGCAAGCGCCTCCGTCGGTGGTGATTCCGGAACGAACGCCGGGCCTTTGATGAGAGCTTCGGCGTCGGGGGTTAAAGGGGGACTAGCATCGGGGGAAGGGTGGGGAGAACTAGGGGTGGACACCTCTGCCATGCTGAAGGAGAGGGAGAGCGGAGGATAGAGCTTGGATGGGGGAGCTGCGAGCCGTGACACCTTTCTGCAGTACCGTTCTCCCGCCTTTTTGTGTACACGTTTTATGAATCAGATTGCAGAATGGACTTCACTGTGAAGTCACATTTCAGTAAACTTTGTCATGGCCTCGGCCAAGATTTCATTTAGTGTAAGCAGTTTTCGTCACAACTTTAATTTTTATTGCAGAAAACCGTGGTGCGTAAAGTCTCTAATATCACTTCAGTGTCTTCACCATACCCTGTGTTACCATACACTCACGGGAGCGTCGTGAAAAGCACCACTCGACACGCAACAGGCGACCGCTGCAACCTCCACGATTCTCCGTATTGCTACTGTACCACCTGAAGGTCAACGTTTGTCTTTTTCCTTTCCCTCCAGCCCCATTGCCCCATCACGAGATTCGCCCCCCTCTATGTAGACTCTCTCCACCAGTACTGAATCACGTACCTGTCCTGGCAGAAATGAAAGAGAACAACCCGGGCGCGCTATCAAGATTACGACCCAAAATCCGTGATCACCAGTGACGGCACTTTCTCAATCACCTCGCTTCGTCCATTTCCACAGCCGACGTATCCCCTCAATCATGCCACCCACTTCCTCAACCGGTCAAAAAAATCCTCCCCCACTTCCCATAACCTGGCAATCGTTGAACACCAAGAACATCAGACACTTTCAGACTCTCCAGGCCACCATATTCCCCATCAAGTACAACCAACTCTTTTATGTCGAGGCGCTTAAAGCGCCGAAGGGATTTGTTAAATTAGCCTTTTACAAAGAGTTGTTAGTTGGAGCCGTATGTTGCCGCAAAGAAAAGTATACCCCCTCCAACCCCCGAACCCAGATCCTTGGTCAGCCATCTTCCAGCGGAGAAGAATCTGCTTCGTCAAACTTTGGCTCGAGTCTGTACATAATGACCTTGGGAGTTCTGGCCCCGTATCGAGAGCGTGGTATTGGGAGGCGTCTCATCACACATGTGCTAGACCTCGTTCGCACGTCCCCTGCATGTGAAGATGTCGTCGATGTTTACCTTCACGTGCAAGAGGGGAACGATGAGGCACTACGATTCTATGAAAAATATGGTTTTCGTGTTGCGGAAAAGCTCATGGGTTATTACAAAAGAATAGAGCCTGCAAACTGCTATGTTGTCCGCAAGGCAATCAACAAGACCTAGGTTTTCCGTTCGCAACGAACGCTGACATGCATTTCTCTCGCTTAAGCTTTGAGAGCATCATATCGAAAGGCGACACATATCGCAATAGGTATGATTATACAGCAACTACTTTCCAATGCAAAACTCGCTAAAAACAACATCTAGCACCTCTTCGACATGGATAATACCTGTGATAGAACCGATTTCTTTTGCGGCAATACGGAGCTCTTCCGTCGCGATATCCATGGGCAGGTATAGCGACGGGTTGTCACCAGTTCTGCCTTCCATAAAAACACTTAGAGCTTCGACCGCCAGGGTCATGTGATGGCGATGCCTTGCTCTGGTGATCACAGGAATACTGCCTTGTGCTTTACTGGATCTTTCACCATCTTTGCCGACACCGCCACTTCCCTCAAGCCGAACTTTTAAAAGGTTTTCAAGGTGAGTCGTGAGTTCGGAAAGGCCATCGTTATTCACCAACGACGTTGAAAAAATAGGAATATCTCTGACCGTGGTTTTTGACTCAAAGCTATCTGGTATCAAGTCAATTTTGTTTGCCACGCATATAATATTCGCATGCGTCCCAGTCTCCATATCATTCTCGCTGCCTCGTCTGTCCATCGAGATGGATTCGATTGCAGTTTCCATTCCTCCTTGTGATGCATCGTGTACCAAGATTGTAATATCTGCGTTCGAGGCTGCTTGTCGTGCTCGTTTCATGCCTTCAATCTCAATTGGGTCTGCTGTATCTTGTCTGAGCCCGGCTGTATCGCTCACAACAACGGCAAGACCGTTTAAATCAAGGTGCACCTCTACTACGTCCCGTGTCGTACCGGCTTGTGGTGAGACAATGGCTGCCGGTCGTTGCGCTAACGCATTCAACAATGTACTCTTCCCAGCATTCGGCTGTCCGACAATCGCGACTCTGGCCCCACCTCGAACAATCTCTCCTCGATGACCATCATTCAAATGCCCCTTCATTTTCATGAGCAGATCGGAAACTCTCGGCACAATAGCCTCAAATGCATCGTCATCTACATCATCGCCAAAATCGATGACAGCCTCTGCATGGGCCAGACAAGACTTGATTTCAGCTCGCCAACCCTCAAGCAGATCGCGCATCTCCCCGCCAAGTTGTCGCAACGCCTGCTTCCGTTGCAGAGCCGTCTCCGCCGAAATCAAATCAGCAAGTCCCTCCACACTTGTCAAGTCCATTCTCCCATTTTCAAAAGCCCGTCTTGTAAACTCCCCCCGTTCCGCCGGGCGCACTGTAGACGCATCCGAGTGCATATGGCGCAGACTACTGAGAGCCTCGACAACGGCATTGATAACTGCACGGGAGCCGTGGACGTGCAGCTCGACGACGTCTTCCCCAGTGAAGCTGCGCGGGCCCGGAAAATAGATGACGAGGGCCTCATCGAGCAGATCGGATGTGACGGGATGATACAGACGGCGGACAGAAGCGTAACGCGGCTGCGGGAACTTTTGGTTCGATGTAGGATTACCTTTGCTTTTTATGTTGAGCAACTGGGCTAGGCAGATTGTCGCTGCTGGGCCTGATATGCGAATAATGGCGACGCCAGCTGTGACGCCAGCTCCTGATGATAGAGCAAAGATTGTGTCGCCAAGTGTAATGGCCGATTCCAGAGACGTAGACGGATGATGTATTGAGGACAAGCCTGCGCAACTCACGGGAGATGTGCCAGTTAGCGTTGAGCGCGGGCGTTTCCGCGCATCGCCAAGGCGGGTGAGTCGACCGGGGCTTTGTTTTAAAAATAAAGTCGGGCTTCTCGAAGAGGATAGACTGCGCAAAGATAACCGTCGGGAAAGTATAGGGGCACAACGGTAAAGAAATGCTTGAGACATGGCGTGGTTGTGAGGGACGAGACTTGGAATGTGGTCAAGAGGCAGTTAGCAGATATCCAATCGTGGTGGATGCAATTTCAATTCGTCAACGCCCTCACGGAGAGAGGGGTGATTCCGACGTGAAGAACGGCGCGGGCTCTTTGTTGAGTGCCCACATCAGAGGCCGAGAGATTGAACAGCGAACGGGGGAAGCGAAAGTAGTCTGTCGGCTTCTGGAATTTTGGCTTTCGACGGGGACAGGCCAGGCATGGCGTTTTACTACCAGGGGCGGTTCTGGGACAATTGGCAGTTTCGGAAAGAGATCTGAATTCCATGTCCTTACAATGTGATTGGGAGAACTCAAGTACACAAAACCAATGAAAATCGTACACATTTTAAGGTGGCTTCTGATCACGGTCTCGCCGCACATGCACTACTGTAGATCCATCATTGATCCCCAGTCGCGACCTCAAAGCGTTGGTCCCGAAGAGCACCTTTACAGGACCTCGTCGACATCGCAACGTATTCTAGACATAGAAACCAAGTCTGTCGCGGTCTCATCGCCAAGATCTCACTGCGTCACCATCACGAACACGGTCAACCGCGCATCGGACAGACGTACTTCACAAGATGTCCACAGGCGAAACTCATCAAGTGATCACGATCCGTCGGCCCGATGACTTCCACGTGCACTTTCGGGACGGCGAGATGCTAAAAGTAGTTGCCCCGCTCACCGCCCGTCAGTTTCAGAGGGCGATAATCATGCCAAATCTCAAGCCCCCCGTCCGCACTCTACAAGAAGCCGCGCATTATAGGGAAAGGATTATGGAGGCCATCCCGGGAGACATTTCATTTACCCCGCTCATGACTCTGTACCTCACTGACCAGACGACTTCGGAAGAAATAGAGGCCTCACACGCTTCGGGCTTTGTCAAAGCATGCAAGTTGTACCCGGCTGGAGCAACCACAAACTCCGCATTCGGTGTCACTTCTATGGAAAAAGTGTCGACGGCGCTGAGAACCATGGAGCAAGTGGGTATGGTGCTGTGCATTCACGGAGAATCGACCGCTCCCGGCGTTGATATATTTGACAAGGAAGCCGAATTTGTCTCCGCCGTTCTGCCGAAAGTGCTCACAGATTTTCCTAACCTGAAGATCGTTTTAGAACATGTGACCACCATGCAAGCTGTCGACTTGGTTTTGAAAACCCCCGGAAACAGACTGGCCGCAACGATCACGGCTCACCATTTGCTGTATTCTCGACAGGCTATCTTTGAGGGAGCGAAAATTCATCCTCACATGTTTTGTCTGCCCGTTCTGAAGAGAGAGTTGCACAGACAGGCTTTGTTGAAGGCTATTTTGAACGACGCAGACGGGAAGCTTTTCGCAGGGACTGATTCAGCCCCGCATCCTGAAAGCTCTAAAATTTGCTCAGAAGGATGTGCTGGTATATTCACTGGACATGCCGCCGTGGAGCTCTATGCGGAAGCTTTCGAAGAAGCTGGTGCTCTCTTAAAGCTGGAAGCGTTCTTGAGTGAAAACGGAGCCAAATTTTACGGTCTTGATCTAAATGACGATAGGTTGACTCTACGGAAGTCTCCACATGTGGGCCCCTTGAAAATCATCGTACCTGGAAGCGACCCGATTGTTCCTCTCAGAAGTGGCCAGTCAATCGCATGGACTCTATCAAGCGACGAGAACTCTTAGTCTACAATGAGACATTCGGGCGTCATCCGACCGTTTTCATCATTTGTTATTCCCAATGCTCAGCTTGAAGCCATTCTGGTTGATACAGGGACGTATCTAGGTTGCAACCGTGCTTCACTAACCTGAGCACAACATGACGCCATCGAACATGTGAAACGTAAATATCGTGACTAGCGATGCAGTTGCGTCTCCAAGAATTCGAGTGCTTCTTCAAAGTGATCGGCAGTAATTTCATGTGATCCCCAGGCGCGATTCAATTCTTCCGAAAGAGCAGATTCGTCCGGACGGAAATGATCGCCTAGTTTTGTGCCAAGATGTTGGACTGAATTCCTCCATTGCGAGCGTCGCGGGTCGGACAAGAGATGGAAGTGAGCATCTAAATATCCACCTCGTTGGAGCGCTAGAACAAGCTCTTGTGCATTACTCATGTCCCATTTAGACACTGAGTCCTGTAAGAAATGCGTAGTTACCGACTGTGGCGGGACAATCAGTTCCATCGACGGTGTGCCCATTGTTTCGAGGATATCCATGGCTTTTCTGACTCTCTCTGCTGTGTGCTTGTCTTTGAGCCCCATATGAGTAAAGACATGGGGCGGGTAGTCTTTCCTCAGTGGACTTTCTTTATTCCAAACAGAGGACACAGCACCAGAGACGATGGAATTGACTCCGGAGACTCGAAGGCGCATTGGAAGCGACGTGGCAAATAACCCCCCAGATGAGATGCCGACTGCAAAGAGCGGAAGACGTGGGGAGTAGAGACTGCGTACGGCGGCTTCTCGCAATGCCTTGTTGACACGTTCGTAATCGGGGCCATCAAAGGTTTGAGTATCTGTTCTCCAACATTTGCGTATGCGATCAGTTGAGGATACTGCGACAACGGTGTATCTTTTCTCCAACGCAATGCGAGTCATTTTGAGTTCCTCGGGAAGGCCAATGCATTGAGGACAGTTGGAGCCAGATGGAAAGAAGTCTGTGGCGGAGTGGGCGCAGCCGTGGAGGAAAAGGACTGTGCCCAGCGAAGGACGCAAGGGCTTTTGAAAGACAAACTCTGTGCCGTCTATTGCACGGACATAGGTTCCAGCAATATGGAGCTCGCTAATGTTTACCGCTACTGGGGCGGGAGGATATCGGGTAGGGCGATTGGTATGTGAGTCTTGCGGATAGCGGGGTACGTGGGGACTTGTTGGAGCGGTCAAGGAGAGGCCGTAGATGAGGGCAGCAAAGGCAAAGCATGCTGAAATGATGCGCGCCAAGAACATGGCGGCAGGCCTTCTATCGCACACGCCATAGGGTTCGTGCGAGACCGACCCGAAGCGAGACTCTAAGGCGAGGACGCTGAGGTACCAGGAGCGCATGGACAGGCGACGGAGACGGGCGAAGGCCGTTGAGAAGGCCAGGGCGGGCGTGTGGGCAGCGAAGGCGTAGGTGAAGAAGTGGCGGCTGTGGAAAGTGGTTGGAGTATGCTGACGACTGGGTTGGGGGGACGGTGTGGAGGGCTGTTTGGCAAATGACGGGGGCGAGTTGGTTGTTTTGAAAGTTAGCTTGTTGCAGCGGCGGGTGGCAAAGGCATGGCGTTAGTGCATGAAGCTAGACAAACGGAAGCAAGGGTGGTCAAGATTTTGGAAATCGGAACGGGAGGGCGTGGTGAGTAGAACTCTCGTGGCCTCGGCGGGAACGAAAACAAGGGCGGGGCAAAGGGAGCAGTGTGGCAGGACAGGCGTGTTGAGGTGTGGGAGAATGAGGAGTTGTTCTGTAACTCGCGGCACCGATGCCGCGAGTGAAATGAGAAGCCCATTAGAGCTCGACACGTGCACACGTGTACTGCATGCACTGATCTGTACAGTAGACCCTGCGGCGTCGACAGTGACAGTGTTTGTGTCACTGTCGTCGCCGCAGGGTATACTGTTGGTATACTTTACTGTAGACAAACAGTCTACTGTACCAACGGTAGCGTTGGAACTGATAGGCATCGGCCGAACAGTCCTGTACTGCTGCATTGTACACTTCTGTACCCCATTACAGTCTCAAACTCGCCTCCTACGACGAGGGGTCGTTGTTTTGCATGACATACAGTGGCGAGCTGGGCCGGGCCATGCTAACGAGGAAGACTATAATCGGCCGTTAAACAGAATTCACCTCATGCTTACGCCTTACCCAAAACGTAATTAAAAAGCAGATCCGGTACGTAATCGGCGGTTCTCTACTGTGGCACAGGTCAGAGGTAGCCTACCCTTCGAAGGGTACCTGTGCCACAGTAGAGAACCGGCGGTTCCTGCGCTGCGCAGGGCTGCTTGCCGTGGTATTCTTAGGATAGGGGATTAGGGGACTAGTATGTATGTGGATAAAAGTAGAGAGGAATTAATGTTCATCAACCCTTCGCCCATGTCGATGTCTCGCAATGGTGGGTGCTCGTGCAATCGAGCCACTCAATCAGCGGGACGTAGAACACTACTACCCTTCGAAGGGTAGTCTCTCCTCTGCCTCTTTCTCGCCCGCTACTCCAGAGGAGGGCTTGAATACAAAGGCAGTAAAAACAGGCAAGTGCATCAACCTGATATACCGATATGCATGATATACTGTACAGTACCCTTACCAAAGGGTACAGATATACAGGGGAGAAAAACTGCCAGGTAGAACGGCCCTAATTAGAAGTGCATAACATTACACAGGTTTGTCATTTTCAATACTTGCAGCTCCCAAATCGAGGTTGCACAAGGGCAGACGCAAGGAGCTCTGCGTTTGTGGACAGCAGCGCGAGGCGGCGTCGGTACGTACTGCCCAGTGTATGCATACGCTGCTGTACGCATCGCGTCTTAACGACGTGTACTGTATGATACTGTACGGCACTGTGTCTTACCTCATAATATCTGCTCCGTGTCGAACAGCAATGATTGCGCCGACAACAGCAAAAACTCTCTTCATCTTAGAGTTTCTACCCACATGAGTATCCATAAACGTTCTGTCTAACGTTCTGTGCAGAGTGTGCTGTGTGCAGAGCGTTTAAAAACGTTCTGTTTATGGTCTTCGCCTTTCTTCGCTCAAACCCATCCCTTTACTTCAAGCTGCTTACCCATACCAAATCAAATTGCACCACCCTCTCCATTCCCAACAACTGTAGATTTACCTCTCGTGCCCTTCCGGGACCCCACCCAATGCACCAACTCAACCGCATCGTAAGAATACAGTACAGTACTTCACAATAGCAGCCCAAAGAGCGCCCAGCCCCACCCAACCCAAACCCTTTAAAACGCATCCGTATTCTTCCGCAACCTTTTCTCCCCGCTCGGCCTCTCACCTCCCCCACCTCCCAAAATGCCTCTCCAATTCCTCCTCGTTCTCCTGCTAGCCGTCTTGCTCGAGCAGTGCGTCTGCACCAGGGCCGCCGCCCGTCAGATCCAGGAGCGAGTCTACATCCGCAGCTTCAGCGCCCCTCTTGGCCCAGACGGCACCATCACCTTCCCCTCTTCCTCCACCCTGCCGCCTCTCTTCCGCTCCCTCGTCCTGACCCCCACCGACGACAACTTCACTGTCACGGGCCCCTATCTCACAATCCCCGCCTCGGCAAGGCTCGTGAACCCCCGTCTCCTCTTCATCAAGTTCGATGTTCCCACTGTTCGCGTCTTCTTCGCCTTCCGCCGCCGCGGCAGCTCCGTCTCCCTCCGCGGAAATGCCAGACACTTGTTCGTCCGCCCGTTCGGCATGCGCCTGCATCGCTCCAAGCTCTCCGTGGACGCCGGCATCGATGCCGCCACTAAGGCTCTCGACACGGACCCCACGTCCCTAAGGTTAGTCCGCCGCGTTGACCACGCTAAAGCGGCATCCTCCGTCAACCTCATGCTCGCACCGTCATCCCTCCTCGTCTTCAGCGCGGTCGACTCCGGCCCTATCTGGCCATTGTTCCCCGTCGCGGGCCTGGACCTCCCGTTAGAGATTGCCGTCATCTCCTCCCCGCTCGGCGTAGTGTACGTCGGCTGGAATGCCAACTCTCTTCTTCGCCAGCGTGCTCAGATCCCGGCGAACCGCGGCGCTTTCAGAGTGCTCCTAAGGCAAGACCGAATTCTGGCACGTATTGCAAGTGCCGCTGCCGGCCGCTTCCTCTCTCCGGGCGGCCTCCGCTTCGATATTCCACGGATCCCTGTCGGAGACGAGAATGGTGTAAAGATAGATAAAGTAGAGGGTGACCCCGTCGCAGCCTTTGAAGGGCTAATCGAAGCGCTTGAGGTCGTCGCTCCAGTCAAAATCTCGTACCAGGTGTCCCATGATGAGGAGGCTGAGGCCGCGGGATTGCCGACCAGGGGGAGAGTGAACCGCGTCGTTGTGTTTGGAAACCCAATGGCGGGGACTCCGCTCATGCAGCAATCGTTCACGGCCGCACTGGATCTGCCGCTCAAGATTGCCGTCTGGACTGAAGCGGCAAGTACGAACAAAATTACGGTCGCTTACACGACGCTGGAGTGGATTGGGTTGAGACATAAGGTTGAGGTTCCGGGGATGCTGCGCATGGCTTTAGAAGGCTTTGCTAATGCAGCTGCGGATGCGGCTGCATAGATTGCGCTTGTTTTAGTAAAAGTGCAATCTCTGTCACTGTGACCAATATCTTTGGCGACTATGGTCCCATATGTTTGCAGAATTGCACTGTCCATCCATGAGAACGTGTTTGGGTCTGTCGCAATGCCGTTAAAAGATGAGTTCGGAAGGAAAGTTGGCCAGTTTCTGGTGTGAGTAACATACAAAGGTTGACCGAATGTTGAATAGCAGCATGGGTGATGACCCGCTTCCTACAGTACGAGAGGGAATCCGCTCATTTGAAATAGATCCGGCAGAGGATCCATCTACTGTACTACACTGAGTGTACGTACACACGTAGACCCTTACACTGTAGTACAGTAGTACCATGGGTATTGTACTGCACAAGGGAACAATACCCTTATTATATATTACATCACTGCTTGTTGTCGGTGAAATGGGGGAGGCGGTTCTGGGGAGCGTGCCGTTCGTGGTGAGGGTTCGCCGAGTGTCGTCCCCCCTTCCCCGCAGCGCCCGTCACCCTCTCTCTTTTATTTCTACGAAATTCCTTCCAGAAGCGTCCACGCATCCGGCCCGGATTCCGCCGGGCCGTCCGCGTGCGCTTCTCTAAAATTCAAATAAAATCTCGGACTACAGAATAAAATCTCCCTCTACAGTAAAATGCAAATATTTCCCTAAAAATATCTCACATGACCCCCTCCTCAGGGCAGCCCACGGGGCTGCCGCTGCACGTAAATATACTGGCCCCGCTTCCTCGCGTGACCGCTCTGGCCCCCCCGGCCACCGTCTTTCCACCTTGCCACTGAACTGCACTCTCCCTGCCTCCTCGCGCCTCTCTCGCAGTCGAACTTCTAACAGTCAATTTCAAGCCGCGCTTCATCTGCGTCGCCCGAATTCCGGTTGCCCAACGTCTGCTTCGCGTCAGCCTCGGGCCGCGTGGTCTCCGCGTCGCCTGGGACTGTGGTCGCTGACGTCAATCGTCGTCTGGGACTCAGGCCGCGTGCTCTGCGCGTCGCCTGAGGCTCCTTTTCCAGTCGTCCCCGTTTCGGGACTTCTCGGAAACGCACAGCGTCTCGAGCCGCGCACGGGAGCTCTGTGGTCCTTCAGGCGGTACTCCCTGTGCGCACTATGGCTCGAACCAAGCAGACGGCGAGGGCTTCCACCGGCGGGAAGGTACCACGCCGCGCTATCGCCACTAGGGCCGCCCGCCGTTCAGCGGGCGTGTGGCGACAGAACGGCCAGGACGTCACCGAAAGGGCGTCTCATGGCGTGAATTGCCCTTTCATCGACTTCGAAGACCCAAGTAATGCCGAACATCTCCCTGACCTTTGGGAGCACGCGGGACGTTCCGACGTCTCCGCGCTTCGGTACCAAGTAAGAAATGGTTCTTTCCGAATCAAATATAAGGAAGTGGGCAACTGGGCGTCCGTCGTAGCGGCCGTATCTGCCGCCGGGGCCCGGCTTCTCTTCGAGGCCCATGTGTTGGCCTTCGTATCGGCCCGCCTCGCTCGCAAGGCATGGTTCACCTCCGACCGCTGCTACCGGCTGGGGCTCACCGAGAGCCACAGCGACGGGACGGAGTACACCTGCTGCGACGACCCAGAGTGGATCGTCGAATTTGTCTGGTGCTCTGATGGCGGTAACGGCGAGGTCAAGGGTTGCCACTACGCCGTCGGAGAGGGGAGTCCAGAGAAGTACATGATACTTCTCTACACGATGACCTTCGATCGCGTGCCCTCTGCGAACGGCACCGCCCGCCGGGGCTTCAACTCTTCCTTCGGTAAGGAGTGCTCAACGCGTATGGACGCTATTCTGGCTATCGACAATTGGTGTAGCCAGAATAGAGGGAAGAGGAAGCGAGTGAACTTTGCTTTGTCACGCGTCTCCCCACTCGCTTCCCGGTACCTTTGCACGTCCCGGACCGTAGCGTTCCAAGACAATACCGTCTTGTGCATCCGGTCTGCGGTCTGCAACGCTATGCTCCTTGTCGTTGGTCGCGGTGCTGCTGACCGCCTATGGGTGGCGGAAGCGGCCCGAGTCGCTGCGTTCGAGCGTCAGATGGACTATTCCCCGAGCGTGCACCACTTTACGCACATTCAGAGGGTAATCCGAGCAGATCACCACGGAACAGTTTCTCTTGGTCATGTGGCCCCACCGCCGGGGGCTTTCATCCAAGGGAGATCCAGCTCCAGACTCCCTCTGTGGTGCAGCTCTGCTGTTAGCTGGTTACTTCGTCTGCCGCGGGAGCAAGCGGGTGTCTATGTTCTTCGCATCACCGACGTTAACCATCTCCAACACGCCGTCTGCATAGACGCACGGACGGAACCGGCGCTGATCTACGATTGCGCAGAACGTTTCGCCATGCAGCTCAAGGACACTTCTCTTCGCTTGTGCTGTCCCGCCGCCGATCCGACAAAGTTCCAGTACTTCGATGATGTGCGTCTCTTGCGCCGAAGAACCCAGCAGCGTA